GGCACCCCGGGGGTCTCCCTCAGGCCCCCTGCCTGCCCCGGAGAGGGGTGACTCCTTGAGGTTCACCTTCAACCTCAGAGGAACTGGGGGACCCTAGCCAGGTCGGGGGGTCTTAAACCCCAGGAATTAGATTATATATTCTGTTTTTTTTTTTTTTTTCTCATACCCCATCCATAGGGACGGGGCATGGAGCGAATCTCCTAGTGGAAGGTGGGGGGCACTGAACGAGCCATACGTGTCCCCCCTCAAAAGCTCCGGTCCCCCAGATTTGGGGTGGCGGGCGCGTGACGTGACGGAAGGGAATCCGCCCCCCCAAAGACGCCGGGGCTCGGCCTCAGCCACTCGACCCTGCCAACGCTTGGGAGCCGACCATTGGCCAGGAAGCAGCCGTCCTCGATGTCTCATTGGCTCGCCGTGCCGTCGCTCGGAGCCGAGAGCCAGTGAGCGCACGCCGGGCAGGAAGGCGGGGTGCCTCCGCGGCCCCTATTGGATGCCATGAGGCCGCGGCCCCGCCTCCGCGCTGGCGTCAAGGCCTGGTTTGCATGCCCGGCCCCGCCCCGCTGCCTGCAGGACGTCAGCGCGGACTGCAGCCGTGCAGCCGCACCTCGGCTCCCCGGGCTCGGCGCTCCCCGCTCGGCCGCCAGGCTCTCCGCCGCACCGCTGCAGGGCGAGGTGAGCGCGGGGGCCGGCCGGGGCTGCTGCGGGGCCGTCTGCGGGGGGCGGACGCATGGGGGGCTCCGGGCCGGCATGGCGGCGCTGCAGCCTGGACTGGACGGGGCGGGGGGTGGCGTGCAGGCCGGGGCTCCCAGCCTTCCCGCAGCCGCCCGATCGCCGTCGCCTCCATCACCGCACCGCCGGGCGCTGCGGCGGAGCTGGAGGGAGCGGGGGAGGGGAGGCGGGCGCCTTGCGGGACGCGGCAGGCGTGCGCGTGCTGGGCACCCGCGGGTGCGCGCCCGCCTACCCTTGCGTGTGTAGCAGGGGTCGGCCTGGGTGACCTCTCCCATCGCCCTCTGCCCCCGGCCCGTACGCCATGGAGGAGCGGGTCCCCGGCCGTGCGTGCCCTTTGCACGCGTTGTGGAGGGAGACGCGGGCATGGTGCGTGGCAGGAGGGTCTGCGTCCCTGAGGGGGTGCCCCCTGCAAGGGTGGGTTTGCTTGCACGTTTCTACATGCGAGCTGCCCCACCCGGGGGACAGTCGGGGATTGGCCCCGTGCACCGGGAGCTCTTCTGTCCTGTCCTGCTCCTTGGCTGGGGGTGCTGCTGGGGATTTGGGGGTGCAGGCAGGGAACAAGGGGCGAGGCAGGAGCAGGGCTGCACGCGCGCGTCCCGGGGAGGGCCCAGCTCGCGCGCGTGCACGGGCACCTGCCTGCAAGATGGATGGGGGGGGCCGACTGCAGTCACCTTCCTTCTCCCCCACCCCCCTTCCAGAGGTCTAGGATTACAGCCAGACCCCAAGGGGTAGAAGGGTGTGCCCCACCTTGACCTCCCAGGAGTTGCCCTCTGCAATCTCTCAAGGTCAGGGTCAGGCCCGACACCTGCACTGGGGAGGTGAGGTGGGGCGGCTGGGCCAAGTCAGGCCAGCGCGAGCTGACCCTGGCGTCCTGCACCTGGCACCACCCTCCGCACCCCAGATGGCGTCGGCCACAGACTCCCGCTACGGTCAGAAGGAATCGTCAGACCAGAACTTCGACTACATGTTCAAAATCCTCATCATCGGCAACAGCAGCGTGGGCAAGACGTCCTTCCTGTTCCGCTACGCCGACGACTCCTTCACCCCCGCCTTCGTCAGCACCGTGGGCATCGACTTCAAAGTCAAGACCATCTACCGCAACGACAAGAGGATCAAACTGCAGATCTGGGTGGGTGGAGGGGCGGGGGCGAGGGGGAGCTCTCCTTGGCACCTGCTGCAGAGCTGGGTGGGTGGGGGACGTGGGGACCCCCGTCTGCTCCTGCGGTCTCCCCGGGAGCTCTCCTTGGCACCTGCTGCAGAGCTGGGTGGGTGGGGGACGTGGGGACCCCGGCCTGCTCCTGCGGTCTCCCCGGGAGCTCTCCTTGGCACCTGCTCCAGGCCCGGTTCCCCTCATGTCCGCTTGGAGGTTTTGTTCTGTAGCTGTTGTGTGATTAAGAGAGCGAGGCCTGAACCCCTGCAGGTTCACTTCTCGAACGCTGCTGCTAAGAGCTGCGTTTCCAGACCCGCCCCCCCCCCCCGGGGCGGGGGAATTCTCCCTGCGTGGGGTGGCAGGGACCCTGGCCCCTGAACAGGCTCCCACCACATCCCAGGGCATATCCTAACAGGATTGGGACCCAGAAAGTCTGCCGTGGTAAGTGTGTACTCCAGAAGGCAGCTTAACGTGCTACACCGCACGACAACAGCCTCCCCCCCACCTTCCTTTGATCTTACTGCTCCCATTGTCCCATCCTTCAGGCACAGGGCATTTTAGCTGGATCTTGGGAGGCCAGTGCCCCTCCCCTGGCCTCTTCCCTTGACCCTGAGGAGACCGAGGGGAGAAGGTCAATCCCAGATCAGAAGTCTTTTCCGGGGCTGGTGTGGTGCCCGAGTGGATAAAGCTACCACCTGCTACAGCATCATCCCACAGGGGCGCCAATTTCAGCTCTGGCTGCTGCCCCACTTCCCATCCAGCTCCCTGCCTGTGGCCTGGGAAAGCAGTGGAGGACGGCCCAAAGCCTTGGGACCCTGCACCCGCGTGGGAGACCTGGAGGAAGAGGCTCCTGGCTCCTGGCTTCGGGTCAGCTTAGCTTCGGCCATTGCAGACACTTGGGAGTGAACCAGTGCATGGAACATATTTCTTTCTGTCTCTCCTTCTCTCTGTGTATGTCTGTTTCCAATTTAAAAAATAAAATCTTTAAAGATTTATTTTACTTTTATTTGAAAAGTAGAAAGAGAGAGATCTTTCATCCACTGGTTCTTTCCCCACGTGGCCACAGCTGAGCCGATCTGAAGCCAGGAGCCAGGAAGTGGAGCAGCGGGGACTCGAACCAGCGCTTTGTGGCTTTACTGGATACGCCGCAGCGGGGCCCCACGCCTTGATTCTTTCCGTCCATCGGCCTGGTCCAGGCCTCTCCCTGGGCCCCGAGGGGCACGGGGCTGGAAGACGTCCCGTGCAAGCGGTTTGAACCTCCGCCGCCTTCTCCCTCAGGACACGGCGGGCCAGGAGCGGTACCGGACCATCACCACGGCCTATTACCGCGGCGCCATGGGCTTCATCCTGATGTATGACATCACCAACGAGGAATCCTTCAACGCCGTCCAGGACTGGTGAGTGCGCCGTCCTCCCGCTCGCCGGGCGCTGGCTCACGCCCCCGTCGGTGCCCGCCCCGGCCAGGCTGGAGCAGCCGGGAGCCTGGCGTTAGACCGCCACCCCAGAGCGCCGGTTCGAGTCCCGGCTGCCCCACTTCCCTACCAGCTCCCTGTGTGTGCATCCGGGGAAGCGGCAGAGGACGGGCCAGGCACTGGGGTCGCTGCACCCACACGGGAGACCCGGATGGAGCAGCTGGCTTCGGTCTGGCACAGGGGCAGCCTTGGGAGTGAGGCGGCACATGCAAGATCTTTGTGCATTGCGAGCAATATGAAGACACATAAGTATTTTTTAAAAATAGTATGTATAGGCAGGATTTGAATCTTGAAGTTTTCTTTCTAGAGACCGTGATAAAATTCCGTCATTCTCCCCTAAGATGTATTCTATTCATGTGAAGAGCTAGAGAAAAGTCTTCCATCTGCTGCTGGTTCACTCCCCAATTAGCCAGCGAGGCCAGAGCTGGGCTGGTGCAAAGCCAGGAGGAGCCAGGAGCGCCATCCGGGTCTCCCCTGTGGGCAGCAGGGGCCTAAGGACTTGGGCCATCCCCTGTTGCCTCCGAGAGCGCGTGCAGGGAGCTGGCTCAGAAGTGGAGCCGCCAGGATTCGAACCGGTGCCTGCATGGGCTTAACCTACAAGGCCACGGTACTGACCCTGCAACGGGGACCTGAGCAAGCCCATGGAACAAACACTAGAAGGGGCTAAGGAATTCTGGACATCTGGGGGTGAGGTGGCAGCCAGCCTCACCTGTTCCCCCATCGCCTCCTCTCGCAGGTCCACCCAGATTAAGACCTATTCATGGGACAACGCCCAGGTGCTGCTGGTGGCCAACAAATGCGACATGGAGGACGAGAGGGTGGTGTCCTCGGAGCGCGGCCGGCAGCTGGCCGACCACCTCGGTGAGTGGCCGCCACCGAGTCCTCTGGGCCCGGGGACGAGGGTGGGAGCTCCCCGCGCTGCCCTCAAGCTGTCCAGCGCACATGTGGGTGTGGCTGGGCTGCGGAGTCGTGTCCAGCTTTGCACGGTAGAGGACGGGCAAGAAGAGACCCCCAGCATCTTGGGCAACAGGTGGTTTTTATTGTTGTTTTTTTTTAACATAGACCCTTCCCAGGGTGACAAGGCTTCCTGGGCCTGGGCAGGAGGACTCCTCAGGGTCCTGGAATGAAGAGGCAGGTGGCTAATCTTGAGGGTAGAGAAAGCGGCTGGGCCTTCAGCCTGGCGGTGCCTGCCCGCAGGACTTGTCAGTGCCTTGACCAGGAACGTGCATGCCTTCCCAGCCAGCCCGTTGCCCCTCTGGGCAGTGTGCGGTTGGGGTACCAGGCTCTTGATCGGCCTCTGCGCCCGCCCCCCACCCCCAGGCTTTGAGTTCTTCGAGGCCAGCGCCAAGGACAACATCAACGTGAAGCAGACGTTCGAGCGCCTGGTGGACGTCATCTGCGAGAAGATGTCGGAGTCGCTGGACACGGCGGACCCCGCGGTCACGGGCGCCAAGCAGGGCCCGCAGCTCACGGACCAGCAGGCACCGCCCCACCAGGACTGCGCCTGCTGAGCGCCGCCCCGCCACACCCCCGGCCCGCCCCCACACCTGCCGCACCCCGATCCCTTTATTTATGACCGTAGCTATTTATTTATTTATTTATTGCCGAGATGTCTCCCCACTTCCCGCCCCCCCCAACCACCTTCTTCTTCTTTATGGGGGCTCTGCCCTCCCCACTCTGCTGTACGTGGCCCTTTAACCTGCCCACCTTCCTGACCCCTCCCACTTCTTTCTCTTTTCTGGTTTTTTAATTCGGCCTCCAGTCCACAGCCAAGTTGCAGGGAGGTGGGGTGAGGTTGGGGTGGGTGGGTGGGGAGGGGACCCAGGGCACCTGCCGGGGTCACGGGGGACGGCCCACCCCCATCTCCAGGCTCCTGAGCAGTGAGCCCGCCAAGGAGGGACCAGGGTCTCTGTGGGGTCAGTTCCAGGGGGCCAGAGTCCCGCCAGCTACCCTGTCATCCCCTTGGGACCCCCTCCTCATCCCACTGTATCCCACCCCCGATCTGTTCTGACGTCACGTGTGTCACACACTCCCGCCATCTAGGACATGTTAAGACCACAGTACACACCACCCAATAAAGTGAATGGACCGAGCCGTGTTCCCGGGAGTGCCGGGCCGCCCCTCCACACGCCGCTATCCCCCCACCTCCGTAAGCCCCTGGGAGTGGGGGCACGCGTGTCCAGGCCCCCAGGACACCTCACGTTGGCTGAGGGGTGGGGTTGGGGGAGTGGGCGTTGGTCCTTATGACTGTGTTTCTCCAGGGGAGAGGCAGACCCAGCTCCAGGCGTGGAAGGGGGCAGCTGGGTGCAGAGGCCACTGCGGGACCCCCACCTGGTGCTGAGTGCCCCCTGGTGGACGGGTAGTGTCCACCTGGCCTCATGTCCAGTTTGACCCTGGCCTGGGGCAGAGCGCCCCCTGGTGGACAGGCAACGCGGCTTGGTGGGCAGCCTGGGGCAGCTCAGCTCACTCCATGTCCAGGGTGGCCATGTGGTCTGCGGCCATCAGCTCTAGGCCTGGAAGGGGGCAGCTGGGTGCAAAGGCCACTCCTGGACGCCTACCTGGGGCAGAGCGCCCCCAGTGGACGGGCAGCTCGGTGTGGTGGGCAGTGTTCGTGGTGTGTCGTGCAGTCAGGCTCAGTCCACTCGCGTGTCCAGAGTGGCCATGCCGCCTTGGGCCATCAGGGAACTTGGAGCCTGTCACACAAGAGGATCTGGTCATAGCCCGCCCTGCAGCCCACTCCTGTGGGGCCTGGGCCATCACCCTGCAGCCCCCCTGCCCGGTCACCCTGCAGCCTCCTGCCCTGTCACCCCACAGCCCACTCCTGCTGGGCCTGCCCTGTCACCCCACAGCCCCCTGCCCCGTCACCCCGCAGCCCCCTGCCCCATCACCCCACAGCCCACTCCTGCTGGGCCTGGGCCTGCCCGTCACACATACCCCTGCCCCGTCACCCCGCAGCCCCCTGCCCCGTCACCCCACAGCCTCCTGCCCCGTCACCCCGCAGCCCACTCCTGCTGGGCCTGGGCCTGCCCGTCACACATACCCCTGCCCCGTCACCCCGCAGCCCCCTGCCCCGTCACCCCGCAGCCCACTCCTGCTGGGCCTGGGCCTGCCCGTCACACATACGCCTGTCCCCTGCTCACCCGGTGCTTGAGATAGGACAGGTAGGTGTCCCAGCCCAGTGTGAGCCCGTTGATGTAGGTGACACGGAACTGGGGTGGCACGAAGAGGAAGTTCACCAGCTGTGCCGGGGGCCACACGCACCAGTCAGCCTGCAGGGGAGGGCGGGGCTTGAGGGGCGGGGCCAGAGCAGATGGGCGGGGCAAGGGCGTGGTCAGGCTGGGAGGGGGCGGGATCAAGGTAAGGGTGTGGCCATGCGGTGTGGGCGGGGCCTGATTGGGAGGCGAGGGGCAGAGCCAGGCTGGGAGGGGTGGAGCCAATCCCAATGGGGCGGGCACCCATGGCGAGGGGCGTGGATCCAGGCAATGGGCGTGGCCAGAGGGGCGGGGCTCCATCCTAGGGCAGAGGTCTCCCACCTTGTAGAACTCCCAGAACTTGTCCTTGAGCTCTTGGTAGCTCTGGGCCGGCGTCTGGCCCTGCAGGCAGCCCAGTCCTGGGGAAGAGACACAAGGGGGCATGCGAGGGGGCGTGCGCGGTCAGGGCGGGTCAGCTGGCAGGGACCTCGTGGGATGGAGGGACGGGTCAGCTGGTGCTGGGAGCCTGGTGGGATGGTGGGATGGTGGGCAGGTGCTGGGAGCGGGTGCTGGGAGCTCGGTGGGATGGCGGGAGGGCGCAGCGGGTGCTGGGAGCTCGGTGGGATGGTGGAGCGGGTGCTGGGAGCTCGGTGGGATGGCGGGAGGGCGCAGCGGGTGCTGGGAGCTCGGTGGGATGGTGGAGCGGGTGCTGGGAGCCCGGTGGGATGGTGCACGGTCCACGTGGGACACAGGGGATGCAGGCTGGGATCTTTGGGTCCAGCTCCGCCAGGAGCTCTGCACGCCCAGCATTAACATCATTCCCTGAGCCCACCCTCCACCTCACCCCCAGGGCTCAGCTTCCCCAAGTCCTCCTTACCCAGGAAGTACCAGACACCGAGCACCGGGGAGGCGACCAGCTGGTCCACCAGGACCTTGCGCAGGACGTTGGGCAGGCCGTGGAGGCCCGAGGCCGGGAAGCGGCGATCCAACCAGAGGTACCAGTAGTGGAGGAAGGGTCCCATGCTGCAGCCCACCGCAAACATGCTGACTGAGGGGAGAGGCAAGGCAGGGCCTGGGCGAGGAGCTCACGGCAGCACCTACAGGGTGCCCATCCCCGCGCCCGCCTAGCAGGCACCTGGAGGGCAGCAGGGGGTGGTGGTCCAGGGAGCTCTTACCCCTCACGTGGCCGAGACCCACCTGCCAAGCTACAGCCTGGCTGCACCTGCCGCGGGGCGCAAAGCCTGGGACCAAGTTCATGGGTGCAGTGGGTGGGGGACACGCTTGGACCGGGGTCACGGGTGCAGGGGGGGTGACCCCGGATGAGGTGACAGGGCAAGTGGGGTGACAGACCACAGGACTGAGGTCAAGGGGCAGGTGGGGAGACCCTGGGTGAGGTCACGGGGCAGGTGGGGAGACAGACCACAGGACTGAGGTCACGGGGCAGGTGGGGTGACAGACCCCGGGTGAGGTCAAGGGACAGGGGCGGTGACAGACCACAGGACTGAGGTCACGGGGCAGGTGGGGTGACAGACCCCGGGTGAGGTCAAGGGCAGGTGGGGAGACCCCGGGTGAGGTCACAGGGCAGGTGGGGTGACAGACCCCGGGTGAGGTCACAGGGCAGGTGGGGTGACAGACCACGGGACTGAGGTCAAGGGACGGGGGGGTGGGTGACCGACCCCGGGTGAGGTCAAGGGGCAGGTCCGAGGTCACTGGGACCGAGCTCACGGATCACCCCACACTCCCCGGAGTGAGCCCGATCCAGCCGGCTTGCTCACCTGATCGCCGAGGATCGAACGCCTGTCCCGGCCGGGCCCGGATCTCCCAGGCCTGGCGCGCGCCGTCGCCGGCCGCCATGAGCGCGCCGCAGCCCAGCGTGTTGGTGAAGAGCAGCGCCCGGCCCTGGAACAGCGGCCGCCCCGCCGCGCACAGCATGCGGACCCAGCCGGGCGCCATGGCCTCGGCGGAACCTGCTCGGACGGGCCCGCCCCGCGCCGGCCGGCCAATCGGCGGGCAGGGCGAAGCCGGAGCTCCCGCCCACGCCCGTCGATCACCCAAGGCCGGCCAATCGGCGGGCAGGGAGCAGCCAGAACGCCCGCCCACGCCCGTCAATCACCCCAAGACCCGCCCTACGCCGGGACGGCCAATCAGCAGCCATAGCTCTCGCCTCCACCTGTCAATCACTCTGCCCGTCCTCGTGCACGCCCCAAACCCCATCTACCAATCACCATCCTCGGAGTCTGCCCCGCCCCTCACAGTACTGCCCAATAGCAGACTAAGAACGATGATAATAACAATATTAATTGTAAGAACAACAGCCGGCTGCAAACGCGCTGTGGCCGGACGTCACTTCCGGGTGGAGTCCATGTCTGGCGGCAACAGGAAGACACGCGGCCGAAATAGCTCAGTTGGGAGAGCGTTAGACTGAAGATCTAAAGGTCCCTGGTTCGATCCCGGGTTTCGGCAGCAAGTTTGTTGTTACTATTATGATAAATAAATATCTCAGTAACTAGATGTGACGTCAGAGGCTCGATACCTGGGTTCCCATGGGGGCTGGTGTTCGAGTCCCAGCTGCTCCACTTCCCCCACCTGGGAGACCCAGAGGAAGCAAGTCACTTCCGGCCATTTAGGAATGGAAGATCTTTCTTAGTCTCTCCTTCTGTCTGGCTTTGCAATAAAAACAAAGTGCATCTTAAAAACAAAAAATGTTCTAAAACTTATTTTAAGTGTCCGGGTTTATTCAGAGGGGGAGGAAGGCAGACCTTCCGTGGCCAGGGAAGGCGAGAGGAGCGCCACTTCCGTCCTCCATTCACAAAGAGCCAGCCAGTGGCCAGCCACGTGAGCCGCCGAGAGGATGTGTGATTTCTGGAAGGGTCAGGGAATTGCAGCTTCTGTGTTGGTAGCTGCAAATGCTGTCGTCAGCAGCTCTCCACCAAGAAACAGGAACAAAAACAAACCAGAAAATCCCCCGCAATCAGACACACCACAAGCCGGGAGATTTCAGGAAAGCAGTGGGGAAAACACAGACAGTGGTCAGGAAGGCAGGGGGAGCAGGGGACCCACCGAGGACGAGGCCATCCCAGGCGTGTGACGCCCAGAAAGGGCTGAGCGTCGGCCCAGGGGCCACAAGGTGGCATTGGAAGAGAAAGATCCATCATCCACTGGTTCACTCCCCAAGTGACCGCAACAGCCGGAGCTGAGCCGATCCAAAGCCAGGAGCCAGGAGCCTCTTCAAGGTCTCCCACGCGGGTGCAGGGTCCCAAGGCTTTGGGCCGTCCTCCACTGCTTTCTCAGGCCACAGGCAGGGAGCTGGATGGGAAGTGGAGCAACCGGGACTTGAACAGGTGCCCTGTGCAATGCCAGCATCCCTACACTAACTGAACCTGTGCCACCACTGTGCCAGCCTCCGATTGTCTTTTTTTTTTAATTTTGCCTTTTTTTTTTTTACTTTTTATTTTTAAGGTTTCTATTTGTTTCAAAGGCAGAAACACAGGCCATCTGTTTGTTTCACTTCCCTTCCCGTGTACTGCCGTCAGTATAGCCGGGGCACCCACATGGGTGGCAGGCCCCGGCCCTGAGCCATCCTCTGCGGTGTCCCACACCCCCCGTGATGGGACCCTGACAATTTCCACACTCTCTTCACCTTGTGTTTGATTTTCAGTTGGGTGGGATTATCATAATTGTGGCTTAAAAAGCAGTTCAGGGGTTCGGGGTGTGGTACAGGGGGGTAAAGCCGCCGCCTGCAACGTGGGCATCCCCCGGGCGTGCCGGGTCAGCGTGTGGCCAAGTGCCACTCCTTGTGGCCATTTGGGCAGCGAGCCAGCAGGTGGATCTCTCTCTCTATGAAATGCATGTATCCATCTTTTTCAAAAACTGCTGCTTCTGTGGTTCCTGTTATTTCCTCTACCATCTCGTTTCTCATTTTCTAAAGGAACCTGGCGCAGGCGTCATCCGATCGAATCACAACATGCGAGTTTATTGAATGCTTTCTGATTGAGCACCATTTGGATTGGGTGGGTCTAGATGTGGGGGGTTCGGGTACGGTGTAATGGGGGCAGCAGCGCGGGCTCCTCTGCCAGGCACTCCTGCCCATCACTTGGGGCACACATCCCTGCTGCGGTGTTTCAGGAATGGACAGGCGTCCGGCATCTCGCCCTGCGTGGGGGAGAAGCTGTGAGTAGCAGGTGCAGAGGCCCCGCCTGTCAGCAGGCCTCACCCCCATGGGAGGGGCCCCGCCCCCTGCTGCCCACCTGGTACAGTTGGCACACGAGGCTGAGCAACTGGGTGAGGTCATCCATAGGTTTCTGCAGCAGATGAGATGGGAAGCTTTTGGGTCAGCCCCTGTTCTCCCTGCTGCCCAGGGTGCCCTGCCCACACAGCTCTGGCACGCCCTCCAGGTACCCGGAGTGCCCCTCCAGGCTCCCAGCATTCCTTCCAGGCCCAGGGGTGCTTCTCCAGGCTCCCAGGGTTCCCTCTAAGCCCTGGGATGCCCCTCCAAGCTCCCAAGATACCATCCAGGCCCTGGGGTGCCCCTGCAGGCACCCAGCATTCCCTCCAGGCCCTGGGGTGCTCCTCCAGGCTCCCAGCGTACCCTCCAGGCTCCTGGGGTACCCTCCAGGCCCTGGGGTGCCCCTCCAGGCTCCCAGCATTCCCTCCAGGCTCCCGGGGTGCCCTGCAGGCCCCAGTTTTCTCCTTACCCCATTGACGACGACCCAGGGCACATACTCATGCGGTGGCTGCAGTGCGTCGGTGAGCTGCGCATTGTGGTGCATCAGCTCGGTGCCCTGCGCTCCCGTGGCGCAGGCCAAAATGCTCTCGGGGGTCACCTTGGGGGCGTAGATCTCCAGGCACTGTGGAAGGCGGGGCGAGGGCAGGGGGGCAGGCTGTGGCCTCAACTTCCCTCTTATCTCCCCAACGGTCCCTGGTCCCTCACCCGGGGCCCCTGAGCCAGCTTGGCCCCCAGTGCAGCGGACAGCAAGTGGCCAGCATGTGCCTGCACTGAGGGAGACCCATCCCAGAGCCAGGGGTGCAGCCGGCTCGCCTCACAGCCACCGTACGTGCTGTTCCCTTTCCCTCCACCTCCTTTCCCAGCACCCCCTCAATCCCGTGTGGCTGGGGTGCAAGGGTGCTGCTAGGGTGAGGCGCCCCAGATGTCTAATGCGTGAATGCACCATCAGGGCGGATGAATCACTCCTTTGGGAGTTCAGTTGTCATGGCACATTCCGGTTCATCCTTCCATGCCCCCCTCAGCGATGACGCCTCCTCCAGGATGCCTTCCCTGCTTTGTTCCACGCCCTCTCCTCCCCCACCATGCTCCCCTGACACAGGCTGACAGCAAAGGGGGAAGCTGCTGTCCCGTGGTGCTCAGCGTAACGGTCGAAGCCAGGCCTTGACCTCGGGCACCCGTCTGCTTCCCTGTCGAGCTGGGGGTGGGGCGGCATCTCTCACCGGCCTCAGGTTCTTCTCCATGTCGTCCAGCTCCTCCATGCAGACGATGGTGAGGAGGGCCGCGTTGGGTGACAGCACGTTCAACAGGCAGGCCTGGGGAGGGACCGGGAGGGTGGCGTGGAGGGGGCTAAGCGTCTCTGAGATGTGGGGGAGTCAGGCAGAGCACCCTAAGGCCTCCCGGGCACCTTGGTGCTGCTCAGTAGCAATTGGATGAATGAACAGTGGCCGGGCAGGGGCCCACGGTGCTGCCTGGTTCAAGTTCTGGCTGCTCCACTTCCCATCCAGCTTCCTGCTAAGGCACCTGGGAAGGCAGCCAAATCAGAGTGCGCCCGCTCCCACGTGGGAGAACCAGATGGAAATCCTGGTTTCAGCCCGGCCCGGCCCTGGCTGCTGTGGGCGCTGGGGAGTGGCCCGGTGGATGGAAGGTCTCTCTGAGTCCCTGGAGAGGGGAAGCGCTCACCTCAATCTTGTTGAGCCTGCATTCCTGCTCCCCGTGCTGGCAGGTGAATTCCCAGGAGCCATTAACGTTTTGCTCCTGGAAAATGGGGGGCGGGGGGCGAGAACAGGATGCTGAGCATCTGGGGTGGGGCGTGGTCGGGATGTCACCAGGGTACCAGTCCTGCACAGCTGAGCGCTTGGCTAGGGTGACCACCTGGGTGGGGCGTGGTCTGGGGCGTGGCCAGGGTGCTGTCCCGCCCCTCTGCACACCTGTGCGTTTCCGTAGGGCACCAAGGTCACGTTCATGATCTCCAACACCATGAGCCACGTCGGGAAGAGCTCGCGCACCAGGAACCCGCGGCAGCCGGGGCACAGCGCCTCGTAGTACAGGCTCACGTTGACGGGCGGCGCGTCGGTGGCCAAGGTGTGGAAGGGCGCCTTCAGGCACAGGCCTTGGACCTGCTGGGTCGGAGCGGGGTACCAGTGAGGCACATCCAACAGTCGGCGCCTACTCGCTGCACTGCACCCCTTCCCGGGATGCGCCGAGCAGGTGCACAGCCCCCTGGCTCCGCTCCAGTGGAGGTGAAAGCTCTCGCCAACGCAGGCTGCACGCATTTCAGGGACTTTTCTTTCTGATCAGGAAGTCTTTTCCACACGGCATACCACAGGCGCCTAATGCATGCTCATGCCCCCCCCACCACCACCATGCTTCACTCCCTCTCCTCCAACAGCCTCAGGCCTGAGTTGGGCAAGACCCCACACCCACACAGACTCCTGACGGTGCCTCTCCGCGGGGCCTGCGTGAACCCACAAGCAGAGGCGGCGCCTAATAAGCGCTGGCTTCCGGCTTCAGCGGGAGGGAGTGTCAGGAGTTGCGTGTCTCCCCGGGCTGTGATCAAGGTGCTGGGACTTCGGGGCATCCCCAGCTCTCCGGACCAGAGCCCACACCTTCCCCCACGCTGGCTGGAACGCACACAGTAAGCGCCAAGATATGCTTGAACAGGCTTCCCTGGGGCTCCCGCCTCCCGAGCCCAGAGTGGCTCAGCGTGGAGGTGACATGAGCCGCGGAAGGGGTGCGCTGTGTGCGTGTGTAAGGAGGCAGTCTCCCGTGGGGACCTCGGGTCCGTCCGTCTGGGGCAGCGAACGCAGAGGACCGCGTGCCCGTGGTGGCCCTTCCTACCTTGCATGCGCCCGCGCCCTCGGGGGACTCGTCCAGCGGGGACGCCTGCGCCTCGCCGGGGCCCTGGGGCGGCAACAGCAGCAGGAGCAGCAGCAGGAGCAGCGGGGCCATCGCGGCTGGGGTGGCGGGGCGCTGAGGAGGCGACTTTAAACAGGACACGGTGGCCACGCCTCCAGGGACCTGAGCCACACAACACCACGCCCCTCCGAGAGGGGGTGCGCCCCTTTCCACGCCCCTTCACGGGCCCAGGGCCAGGGACTCCCTTCCCCATACCACGTGCGTCCTGAATCACAAGACTGCCCCCCTACTTGTCCCCTCTCCAGGCCTCCCCCTCCCTGCCTGGGTCACTTGAAGGCAGGTGTGCAAGGAGGCGGAGGCTGCGGGCACAGGGGCGTGGCGTAGGGGAGAACAGCATGGCACCCTGTGACCCTGTCACGAGGAAGGCCGCCACCATGGCCTGCCTGGCCTCCTCTCTCCCTCGCTGGGGTCCACTGGGTGTCTGGCCTGAGGCTGGGGATCCCGGCCCCCTCGCAGGGCAGGCCTTGGAGGAGGGGGGACAGCCCAGCTGGCCACGCTGAGTGAGACGCAGGCCTGGCCCGCTCCTCCACCTCAGCCTCCCGCTCTGAGTAAGCCGGGATGTCCGAGTTGAGCTGGCGGCCAGCTCTTGGGGGGATCCCGGCCAGGAGTTCCCCCAGGACAGGGGACGGTCATGGGGAGGAGTTTCTGGGCCCCCTACAGGGACTGTCAGCAGGCCCTCATTGTCCTCTGGGAGCCCAGGCCCACCCTGTCATCTCCAGCAGGCAGGAAACCCGGGCAGGTATCCAGTGGGAGGGTGGGAGGCACAGCTTCTCGGCTCGCATTGGCTAAGAAGGGTCAGAGAGGGTAGGCCACTTGGCCAAGGACACACAGCTTGGTGGGTGGATAGAGGAATGTGGACGGACGACAGTCACGCCTGGCTTGGTGTCTGGGTGTGGATGGGGCACGGACTTGGGGGAATGACTGGGGCCACGGTTGAGGATGTTGGGCTGGGGGCTGCTGGCAGGGGAGGGGTGCAGGGAGCAGGGTCCCCATGCTGCCCATGCCAAGAGGGGTTGGTGGATGCAGGCAGGCAAAGGGAAGCAACTTGGGGACATAGCGGGTGGCCAGGCTGGCAGCATACCCCTTGGGGTGTGGAGGTGGCAACCCCGGCCAGTGCAGGGGCCGGGAAAACAAGAGACAGACTGCATCTGCAATGCCTTTATGGCCTCAGTAACAACGGTACCGTACAAAACCCGCCCCGGAGCTCTGCGGCAGGCGGGCGGGTGGCGTAGAAAACGAGGGGGGCTTGCGTCCCAAAAGAAGGGAGAAGGGTGTGGCGGGCCAGGCTGCATGGGGTCACGGTCCCCCACGAGCAGGGCAGGACTGCTCGGCTCCAGGCGCCACGGGCAGTGTTTTTCGGCGGGGACGTCCCCAGCCTGGCTTGCAGTCCCTGGCCGGGGGCAAGGGGGACGACGCGGGCCGGCTCCTGCGTTGCTCCGTCATTCCTGGGGGATGTCCAGGCGGGGGCGGGAGGGAGGAGGACTTCTCGGGGGCGGTGGCAGCCCCGGCGTTGGGGAAGACTGCCTGGATGGGTTTCACTTCGGTGTTTCGAGGGGGAAGTTGGGGTCCATGGGGCGGGTCCCGCCCAACCCGAAAGTCCTGGCCAAGGTCTCTGGGCGCCAGCGTGCTTCCTTCCTGCCCCCCCCGCAAGCGTCTATGGCTTAAAAGTTGGGGGAGGGGGACTCTGGGACTGTCCCCCACCTCCCCAGCTGGAGACAGATGGGGGAGGGAGAGGGTGGGATTATGGGAGATCTCCACCAGGAGTCCAGAGCGAAGTGCCCACCGGCCGGCGCCAGCAGCCAGTGCAGGGCAGGGCTCTGCAAGGCGGAGGGTCAGCGCGCGGCGGGTGGAGGCCCGGGCCCGGGCCCGGGGGCGAGCACCGGGTGGGCCAGCGTGACGGTGAGGGCATCGTTGTGCTGCACGAGCGAGGCGTGTTGGTAGTGCAGGACCAGCTCCTTCAGGGAGCCGTACAGGTTGTAGGGCTCGGCGAAGCCGAAGCCGGTGGCCGTGCGATAGATGACACAGTGCTTCGTGTCCCCGTCCACGCTGCAGGGGGAAGGACAGAGGGCGGACAGCACGTGTCATCCGGGGCCAGGGTTCCCGTGCTGCCCACCCTCAATGCCCCACCCAACCCACCAGCCCACCTCTGGCCCCGCCCACCCGGTCATGTCCCGCCCACATCTGACCCCGCCCACATCTGACCCCACCCACCTGACAATGCCCTGCCCACCCATCTGGCCCTGTCCACCCCTGGTGCTACCCACCGCCCACGCCCTGCCCACCCCATCTGGCCCTGTCCACCCCTCGTCCTACCCACCACCCACGCCCTGCCCACCCCATCTGGCCCCGTCCACCCCTGGCCCTACCCACCGCCCACGCCCTGCCCAGCCTGTCCGTCCCACCCACCCTGCCCACCCCATCTGGCCCCGTCCACCCCTGGTCTTACCCACTGCCCATGCCCTGCCCAGCCTGTCCGTCCCACCCACCCTGCCCACCCCATCTGGCCCCATCCACCCTGGCCCCGCCCACCGCCCACGCCCTGCCCAGCCTGTCCGTGCCCGCACACTCACACCACCGAGCAGGCATAGCAGCCCCGCTGGCTGCTCTCCCGCACCAGGAAGGTGCCATCCCGCTTGCCGCTCAGCATCTCCTCGGCCTGGGTGCGGTTGATATTGCCCACGTACCACGTGCGCTCCTCGTGGTGGGGCAGGTCCTCGTCCTCGTCCATCAGGGCGTACTGGCTGCGGGCAGCAGGGGCAGAGCCCTCCCCCGTCACTCACGGCCCGCAGCCCGCCCAGCTCCGCCTCCTCCGCGCGCCAGGCCCCCGACTCCCTCCTCACAGCCACTCACTCCTCAGCATCGTTTTTGATCCCCAGCCACTCGTTGATTTTCTTCTGCCGGGCACCTTTCTGGGTGAGCCACCTGCGAGAAGGGGCAGGGGTCGGTGGGTGGGCAAGTGGGGCGTCCCTCCGACAGCCAGGAATCCAGCCCTGGGTCTTGGGGTACGATGCCTGCAGGTGTGGTCGGGGAGCTGGGCAGCCCCATACCGAGCCAGGCCAAGCCCCTGGGCACCCCACAGCTCTGCTCCTGGCCTGCCCACCCTGGCCCAGGCCCATACACCCAGGCCCACCCACCCCGGCCCTGGCCCCCCACCCAGGCTCTGCTCCTGGCCCGCCCACCCCGGCCCTGGCCCCCCACCCAGGCTCTGCTCCTGGCCCGCCCACCCCGGCCCTGGCCCCCCACCCCACAGCTCTGCTCCTGGCCCGCCCACCCCGGCCCTGGCCCCCCACCCCACAGCTCTGCTCCTGGCCTGCCCACCCCGGCCCTGGCCCCCCACCCCACAGCTCTGCTCCTGGCCTGCCCACCCTGGCCCAGGCCCATACACCCAGGCCCACCCACCCCGGCCCTGGCCCCCCACCCAGGCTCTGCTCCTGGCCTGCCCCCCCTGGCCCTGGCCCACCACCCCACAGCTCTGCTCCTGGCCTGCCCACCCTGGCCCTGGCCCACCACCCCAGGCTGCCTGCCCACCCCAGCCCTGGCCCCCCACCCCAGCCCTGGCCCCCCCCCCCAGGCTCTGCTCCTGGCCCGCCCACCCCGGCCCTGGCCCCCACCCCAGGCTGCCTGCCCACCCCGGCCCAGGCCCCTCACCCTAGGCTCTGCTCCTGGCCCGCCCACCCTGGCCCAGGCTCCCCACCCCAGGCTCTGCCCTGGCCTGCCTACCCTGGCCCAGGCCCACCACCCCAGGCTGCCCGCCCACCCTGGCCCAGGCCCGCCCACCCCACCCCAGGCCCCCACCCCAGGCTCTGCCCTGGCCTGCCTACCTTGGCCCAGGCCCACCACCCCAGGCTGCCCGCCCACCCCGGCCCAGGCCCCCACCCCAGGCTCTGCAGCAGAACTGCCCACCCCACCCCAGGCCCCCACCCCAGGCTCTGCTCCTGGCCCGCCCACCCTGGCCCAGGCTCCCCACCCCAGGCTCTGCCAGGCCCCGCCCCAGGCTCTGCCAGGCCCCGCCCCCGGCCCCCACCCCCGGCTCTGCCAGGCCCCGCCCCCAGGCTCTGCCAGGCCCCCACCCCCGGCTCTGCCAGGCCCCGCCCCAGGCTCTGCCAGGCCCCGCCCCCGGCCCCCACCCCTGGCTCTGCCAGGCCCCGCCCCCAGGCTCTGCCAGGCCCCGCCCCCGGCTCTGCCAGGCCCCGCCCCCGGCTCTGCCAGGCCCCGCCCCCGGCTCTGCCAGGCCCCGCCCCCGGCGCTCACACGAGGTACTGGTCCCGGATCTTGCGCAGCTGCATCAGGTCGGGCTTGAGGCTGTTGATGCGCTTGTCGATCTCGCGGTTGTCCGAGGCCTGCGCGCGCAGCTCCTGCTCCAGCTTGCTGCGGCTCTCGTGGATCTCGGCGATGCGAGACTTGAGACGCTCCGAGTTCAGCAGGATCCTGCAGGCGGGAGGGCCCGGGTGGCCGCCAGCTCCGGGCAGCGGCTCGGATCTCCCAGCTCCCGGGGCAGCCCTGCCGCGGCCCGGATCTCCCTCCTCGCCCCCAGCCCCTCCAGCCCCACCTCTGCACCCCCTCCTCGGCCCCTGTCCCTGCAGCCCCACCTCTGCACCCCCTCCTCGCCCCCAGCCCCACCTCTGCACCCCCTCCTCGCCCCCAGCCCCACCTCTGCATCTCCTTCTCGTTGCCCTCCCGTCGGAAGCGCTCCAGGTACTCCTTGCTGTACTTCTCCTGCGTCTGGCCCTGCTCCTCGAAGATCCTGATGGTCTCGTTGAAGGCCTCGATGGCCGTACGCTTCATCTGCAGCTCCTGGGGCCGGGGTGGGGGTGGAGGTGGGGGCTCTCGATGAGCTCCTGCACAGCCCTCCAAACCCCACGCTCCACGCCCTCTCCCTGCCGCGCCGGGTTGGCCAGCTCCCGAGCCTGGCCCGGCTTCTGCGCTCTCTGTCCTGCGTCGCCCGTCCCCAGGTACCTGGGAGGTGCGTGTGTATTCCTCGTAGAGCTGGTCGTACTCCCGGCTCTTGTCCTGGAATTGCTGGTGGTAGACCTTGAGCTGCGCGCCCACCGCCTCCACGCTGTCTTCCTTCACGATCTGGTCCTGCAGAACGCCCGGTGCGGTCAGCAGGTGGGGGGACCCCTGACCTAGGGGACCCCCTCCCGTCACAGGCAGCAACGGCACCGACCTGCTGGTACTTGGACACGGGGTAGAGCAGCCGCGTGTCCAGCTTGGCGTTGTACTGCGCCAGCGACTCGTGCCGGTAGTGCGCGATGAGGTCCACCACCGAGCAGAAGGTCAGCGGCTCCGAGAAGCCGTAGTGGCCGTCTCGGTGGAACACCTTGATCAGCTTGTTGTTACCGCCCTTCCTGCGCAGGGGGACCAGGGATGCGGCCTCGGCGACCCGGCCCTGTCCCCGAGGCAGCCTCCGGGCCACCGAGCCCCGCCCTGCCAGCCAGGCCCCACACCCCGGGCCACCGAGCCCACCTGGGCTGCACCTTGCCCACCTGAGCGTCAGCGTGTACTCCCCCTGGATCTTGCTGGACGCGTCCCGGACCAGGAAGGTGCCATCTGGGGTGTCTCGCAGCTTCTCATTCACCTCCTCCCTGGGGGGACACACGTGGCGGGGTGGATGGGGGAGGGTTGGGGCTGCCCCCTTCCCACGCCCGGAGGCGCCGTCCTGCCCCCCACGCACCCCTACCTGGAGATGTCTCCCCAGTACCACTCGGCGTCCTGCAGGGACGAGGGGCTCCCCCCGTTGGCCAGGCCTGCAGGGGCTGGCTTGGTTTTGGCAGGTTTAGGGGGCAGCGCTGGAAGCGGGAGGCAAGCACACAGAGTAAGCGCCGACTGCATACATGCGGGTCGGCAGAGCCGGGCTGGGGAAGGGGGCGGCGGGCTCACCTGGGGGCGCCAACTCCTGCTCCTCCAGCTGTTCTTGAAGTAGCTTTTCCACCAGCAGCGCCGGGAAGTCGGGGTTCGGCTCGCTCCTAAGGGGGGACAGGGAGCCGGGTGAAGGCTGCACCCACGGACGCGGCAGGTGCATGCAGCAGGCGCAGAGTAGGTGCACGGACCCTGCGCCCCGGGGGGAGCCGGAGTCCCCACGCACCCCAATCCAGGCTTCTCGGGCTCCACCCACCTGGTCGATCCCCGCCCACCAGAAGCCACGCCCACCCAGGGCAATCCCCGCCCACCACGAGCTCCACCCACACGGCGATCCACTCCCTCCAGGCCCCGCCCACCGCCGCGGCCCCGCCTCCTTCGGCACGGCCCCGCCCCTCACCCGTCGGGCGCGCCCCCTGGCGGCGGCACGCGCAGCAGCAGCGGCCCCACGATGGCGCCCAGGGCGCGGATGGCGGTGCTTGGGGTCGGGGCGCGCCGGGCCAGCCGGCCCAGGTGCTGGAGCAGGAAGCGCAGCGTGAGAGCGCGGTGCAGCGGCAGCGTGGGCGGCTCCAGCACCGGCCCCACGGGCGCCGAGGCCTCTGTGGGGACAGACAGGCCATGGGGGGAAGTGAGCGGACTGTGGGGTCTCATCCCACGACCACCACCACCTCCCCCATGGCCGTGGCCTCTATGGGGACAGACAGGCCATGGGGGGAGATGAGCGGACTGTGGGGTCCACTCGCTCACCCCACGACCACCACCACCACCTCCCCCATGGCCGCGGCCTCTGTGGGGACAGATGGGCCCCCTGACCTGCAGGGCAGGATAAGCTGGGGGGACTGTGGGGTGCTCGCTTACCCCGCAGGGCCTGGTGCGCCTCGGCTGCAGCCTCCGGGGTGACCAGGGGCGCAGGCAAGGCCAGGAGGAAGCTCTTGATGGCGTCCGACAGGGCGGCTGCGTCCCACTGGTCCAGGTCGCTCAGGGACCAGTCTGCAGGGGCAGCGGGAGGAGGGCGGGTCACACGGGGTGCCAGGAGCTGCCCGTCCTCCCACCCGGCCACGGCGGTTCCCGCTCACCTGTGCGCGGTGCGGGCAGCTCGGGCCTCAAGTAGCACTCAGTGTCCACTCCTGGGGTGGGGCAGGGAGGGCACGGGTCAGCTTGCAGAGGGCTGCCCCACGGCAGGGGTGCTGTGCGGTGGGCAGGCTTGGTACCCTCCCCGCATGTCTCACCTGTCTGTTCCAAGGCTTCTACCAGCTTCACCAGCAGCGGCGGGGCTGCGTCGGGCGGCGAGAACTGCTCTGGCAGGTCAGGGAGGGTGGAGCCTGGCAGGAGGGGACAGGGCCAGCACGTGAGGCCCTTGCACGGAGCGTCCCTCCTGTGGGTGGTCCCAGGCCCAGCTCAGGGTGCCTAGAGCACCATTTTCTGGCTTAAAACATTAGGAGTTTGGTGGCAGAGTGGGTTAAGCCACCATCAGTAACCCTAGCGTCCTAGAGCGATGCTGGTTCAAGCCCTGACTGCCCCACTTTCGATCCAGCTCTCCGCCAGGGTGCCTGAGGATGGCCCAAATCTGTGGACGCCCTGCCACCCTGTGGGAGAGCCAGATGGCGCTCCAGGCTCCTGCCTGGCCCTGGCCACAGTGCAAGACACGTCATATGGCTGTTGTCCTCCCCCTCCTCCAAAAAACAGATGCACCATGGTCCTGGGGACCTTCCTGAAAAATACGGCGGGTGCAGACACGATACTTTCAGCGAGGGGTGCTGAGAGCCGGGGACGGGAGGGTGGTGCCTGGGGGGGCTCCCAAGAGGCCGGGGTGGGGCACGTCTCGTAGCAGCAGCACCTGTGGGGTGCTGAGCGAGCGGGTGCTGGCTGGCATGGGAAGTCATGCCGCCTGGCCGCTGTGCAGCCCCAGGCACCGACCCTCCCTCTCTGGGCCTCGGACTCTTTAACCCAGCAGAAGGACGCCGTGCAGCCGCCCAGCGGGCCCGGAAAGCAAGCGACCCTTTCTGGGTGTGCGGCGCCAAGGCCCATCCCCTCCTGGCCCGCCCTCTCCCCACCCCCTTCCCACCAGGCAGGTCCGAGGCACCATCCAACCAACTGCGGGGGCCCTGGCACCCCGTCAGGCAAGCCATGGCCCGCGGGAGGCCTCCCTGGCTGAGTGACGGGCCAGGTGGTGGCGGCGGCGGCAGTGGGAGCTGGGAAACCGCCCAGCTGGGCAGGGAACTGCCAAGAATGCATGCGGGCGGTGCGGGAGGCAGAGGGGGCAGCGGGCGAGGCGTCTGCGGGGAGATGGGGGCAGCCGGGGTGCCCCCACCAAGCCCTAGTTCACAGATGCAGCATGGGTCAGACGGGGCGGGTGCTGGGGGGAGGTCGTGACCAGGTGGGGACCCAGCAGTCTAGACAGATGCCTCTGGTGTGTTCCCGGCGCAGGGGGTGACGGGGCAGCTGGAGAGGGGCTCTGGGCAGCTGCCCCGGTCTGTGTGTGTGTGTGTGCACGCGCGGGATGTGTGTGAAGCTGGCCGGAGGCCAGGCGGGAGGCGATTGTTACCAGGGCGGAGAGGCAGATCCTGGCTGGGGGCCCGGCTGGGGCCGCCTCCAGGCCGAGGCAGGGCTGCGGGGCCGGCCAGGCCTGGGCTGCCTCCTTCTCCTCTGGGGACACCAGCTGCACGGAGCCCTGAGCCAGCTCCGCCCCTGCTCCCCTCCTCTCCTCTCCCCTGCCCCGCTCTGCCCTGGGACTTTGGCCTGACCCAGTGGAGGCGCTGGGCACCTGGCGGGGGGCGTGACTGATGGGGCAGTGGACATGGGGCAGGCCTCAGCTTCCCCGCTGCTGTGACCCCCACACCCTGCGCGGCCCCCATGCCCTGCGCAGCCCCAGCTGGGGAGGCAGAGCTGCCTGGTGCTCACAAAGCCCTATGGGTTTTGTGGATTCCTTGAGGTTTACCAAGAGGGTTCCTGAAGGAACCCCCATGTGCAAACCGCAGCCGGCTGGACTGCGCCTCTGCATCCTACCCAACGTTCCTGGGGGGGCCCATGTCTCCAAGGCCCTGAGACCCTCCCCCATCACGCGTGGGAGGGAAGAAGAGGGAGAAGAGGCGCCCCTCTTCCTTCTGCCCCCACGGCGGCGGCTCACCTGACTCGGGAGCGCCCTCCCTGGGCCTGGCCGGCAGTGGACGGGGTCCTCGCGGCCGAGGGCCGGGCCGGGCAGCGGCCACGGGCCCCAGGAACTCCACGTAGGTCCCGGGGAAGTCTCCGCGCTGCCGCGTGCGCTCGTTGAAGCCGGGCATCCAGCCCACGCTGTGCGGGCAGCGTTCCCCGCCCTCGGCCACGCCGAGGGCCTGCAGGGCGACCCGGCTCACCACCAGCACGTCGCCCGGCAGCAGCTCCAGGTCCTCCGGCCGCTCCCGGCGGAACGGGTAGAGCGCCCGGTACTGGAAGCTCTCGGCGCCCGCCATGGCGGCGTGCGTGCGTGCGTGCGCGCGGGATACGGCGCTCAGGTGGCGGCCTGGGACCACCGGGGCCCCATGGGCTGCAGGGGGTCAGGGGTCCGCTGGCGGGGCGCAGCCTCTAGGCGCAGCCGGCGTCACAGGTGCGCATGGGGGTCGCGCGTCTCCCACAGCCCGGCGGAGGGCTCGGCGCGGCTCCGGCCACCAGCATGCATCCACGCGGGTGCGGGGACCTCGGCTCGCTTCCCCGGGGCGCTACGGGCGATCACTCCCTTCCGCCGGGGGCCGCGGGCACCCGAGGCTGGAGGTGGCACCGGGAAAGGGGGCCGAGGGCGCGAGCGGCCACCATGCTCGGCCGGGGGCGCTGACCTGCATGGAGAGGTGGGGGACAGGGCAGGGTTACCCAGGCTGGCGCCCCCTCGCACCCCCATAAGCGCACTCCCTTGGAATTCGCTCCTCAAGTGGAGGCCCTCAGCTTCCTGCATCTGTGCAATGGGTGTGTGCTAACAGCCAGCACTGTTCCTGCGGGAGGCTGGGGGCAGGAGGGGCCCGGGAAGACAGGCTGCAAGCCCAGATCCGCCGTGGTCACATGGCCCTGTGGGGACCCCACCCAGGTGTGCGCAGGGAGGAAGGGGGTCGGGCCAGCAGTTAGGCAAGGCGCCAGGTCCAGCAAGGCCAAGGGACGGGGGGTCTGCAGGCGTCCAGCGAGCGCCCCACAGGGCGGGGTGCAGGTGGAGACCCCAGTCCCGGCGTAGGACAACGAGGAGGCTGCGGGGCCTCCTGGGATGGCCACCAAGGGACAGGGTGTCCATGCGAGCACCTCAGGTGCAGGGGCAGGGGGCTAGGGGGCCCCAGCTCGCCTGGCCCCTGCTGGCATGGACACTCTCACAGGTGGGGTACACTGAGGCCTAGGAAGGTCTGGGGGCGGCCTGGCCACCCCCTGGAGACCGGGGTGCAGTGGTTTGCACAAGCAAAGGCCACAGGCGGGCTGCGGGTGGGGGTGGGGGCAGCGAGCTGCATGGGGAGGGGATCCACTCCCGGCCCCTTCTGCACCCCCACACGAGGCCTGGGCGCCCCCGCTCCCAGCAAGGCCGCCCTGCAGTCCCTCCTCGCTGACCCAGGCCTCCCTTCGCTCCCGCGGGGACCCCCGGAGCTGGCGTTCGGTGTGGGGGGGCGAGGGGAGCCCCCGGGCCGCCCCCCACCCGTCCGGCACCCCAGCCCGTCCTCCGGGGGGTGCACCAGCCCGGCCCGAGGGGACTCACCGGCTCCCTGCCGCCGTCCCGCCGAGTGCAGCCCGCGGGATCCCCGCGTCCGCCGCCGCCGCGGTTCCGAACTGCCTGGGGCCCGCCCCCACCCCCTCCCCACGGCGGAAACAGCCGAGCGCGTTCGGGCGAACCGAAGCCGAGCGGGTCGCTCTGGAGGGTGGGGGGAACGGGACGCGGCCGAGTGCTTCCGGAAATGGCCGAACGTACTCCCGCGGGACTGACCGGCTGGCGTGGCTCCAGCCGAGGACTTCCGGAAAGAACCGAACGGCTTCGAGCCCGGCCGCCGGGAGAACGTGGCCTCCGGAAGCCCGGATGGGAATGCTGGCTTCCGGAACTAGCTGGAGCCGGCTGTGGGAGCTGGGGGCGTGGCCAGCGCGGCGAGGACCGAAGAGCTCCGGAAACACCCGAACGCGCTCGGGCCCGGGAACCTCCAAGTGGTCGAATGGTACAGCCCAAGAAAACGGGGTAGAAAAGACACTTGACCAAAAGGAGCGCTCTGGATGAAGAAAGGGGAGCAGGGGGAGTGTGACGAACTCCTCAAAATCCACTTGGGGTGCCTCTGACCCAAGTCTTCTTTCACCCCTGCCCACCAACAAACTCAGACGTTAGACCCCCCAGTTTTTTTTCTTTTTTTTTTTTGTAAAGGTGGCTTTTATTCACTGCCAGCTCCAGGATGGTAAAGGGGGTGAGAAGTCATGCACACAGCCTTGGTCTAAGCCTCCAGCAGCAGCAGCCTGGGCTGGGGTGGCTGGGCAAGTGGGCTGGACAAGTGGGGCCACCTGCAGCTGTGGCCAGACCCTAAGCTCTGTGCTGCTGGGGTGCCCTCCCCGCCCCGACACCCCGTTCTCAAGGGGGCAGGGCCGTGGCCACCCCATCTCGCTGGACGTGCAACATGACTTGGTCCCCAAGCTGACGGAGCCAGCTTCCCACCTGCTCGAGGCTGGCTGAGCCACGGGGAGAAGCTGCACGGAAAAGCGCTTTGGCACACAAGAGGCGCTTCATAGTAATAAATAGTTTTGTAAACACAAAGACACTGGAGGCAAAGTGGGGAAAGCCACTTCCCCTAGGAGCCGCACACACGGGGGGCTTGAACTGTCACCCCGGGGGAGGGGCAGCTGGGACACCTGCTGTGGCGACATGGGAGTTGTCACAGGCACATCACAGCGGGGGGAAAGCCAGCTTGTCCAGGACGGAAGCCTGCACCCTCACACACACACACACACACACCCAGCATGGGTGCCTCGCCCACACCTGCTCCTGCAGGCTGTGCTGGCCTGGACGTGCCCATTGCAAAGGCCAAGGCATGCTGACAGGGCAAAGGCCTGGGGTATCTCTGTCCTGCTCCAGGCTGAGCTCAGGTCAGACACACACACACACACACACACACACACACACACACACACACACACACGGCTAGCCAAAGTGCACGTCTCAGCCGAGGGGGCGTGGCTGCAGATGCTATGACCCGCCTCCACCAGGGCCACAGCGCCTCCCAGTCTGGCTATTGCTTATAAAAAGTAATAAATTAGTCATGGGGTAGGGGGCGCGGGAGCCGCTGCTATTTACAATGCCCTTGTCCCCTGACACCTGTCGCTCCCTATTCTAGAAGGCTCTTGCCCCTGGAGGCAGGTGCCAGAGGCCCCCGTACGTGACCTCATGGAAACAGCAAGGTTGCACATCAACAAAGCCAGGCCCTCCTTGGAGGCCAGGGCGGTGGGACTACCAGTCTCCCCCAGCAGCAGGTCCAAGGTCTCCTGGGCCGGCCTCGGCACCTTCCACGGCTATCTGCGGCACCGAGGCCGGCGAGGGCGTGCTGCCTTCCTCTGGGGGCTCGTCGAAGCTCACTTCCTGCACAGCCTCCTGCTTCTTGAAGGAATCCCGCCGCTCCGACAGGTGCAGCCGACGCATGATAACCAGCTCGGAGGCGGCGTCGGGCCCCCGGCAGCTGCCACGCCGTCCCGTCTCGCCGTCCAGCCGCTCGCCCGAGCCCAGCTTGTCCGCCGACTGGCCCCGGCGCAGCAGGCGAGGGGAGCGTGCAGGTGCCAGTGGGTGCCCGGGCAGGGGCGACGGTGAGCGGGGTGGGGGTGCAGACACGGGCGGGCAGGCCAGCGGGGAGGGCGGGATACTGCTAGTGGATTTGCGGCGGCCCGTCTTGTGGCGGGGTGGCCCCAACTTGGCAGCCAGGCCGTGCAGGGAGCTGGGCCGGGTGTGGCCGGTGGCTGGAGAAGCGGGGCTGCTGGAGTTTGGGGATCCGCTGGGGGGGGACGCGGTATCTGGGGATGACAACAGGGTCTTGGGTCAGGGTGACTGGCCTCCATATCCCCCCATTCTACCAAACTCACCTGCTAATGGCCCTTGTGTGAGCTCCTGCCCCCCCATCAATGCCCTAACTGCCATGCCTTCTCTTCCAGCCTGTCCCAGCCTCTCTCCTCTCCCCTCCCGAGCCTTACACTAACCCAGGAGGCTCAGGTTGCAGGTTGAGCTAGGTCACCAGCTAGCTCATCCTCCCCTCTCTCACACCTTCTGCAGCAGCACCGTAGGGTCCCCCTCCATTCTTGGGCCTTGCAGCCACCTGCCTGGGCCCCTCGGATTCCTGGAACTCCCACGGGCGTGAGGTGCACTCACCTGCGGGGGCGTCAGGGGCAGGGCTGCGGCAGGCCGTGGTGGGGCTGGGGGAGAGGCTGTGGGTGGGGGAGCCGGGGAGGCTCTCGCTGGAGGACAGCGAGTGGTGGAGGCCGGAGGAGAAGCTGCGGCTCGTGTGCAGCACGGAGGACTGCTTCGAGATCTTCTTAAAAAGCGACTTTCTCCTGGGGAAGAGAAACCTCAGGGCTCCAGAGCCCCGCCCACGTGGCGACAAACCCCGCCCAGCGGCGGCAAGCCCCTCCCGCTCGGCGGCAAGCCCCGCCCCTCCGGCCGGCCGCGCGCATGCGCACTCCCTCCCCGGCCCCGCACCTGTCCTGGGTCTCCCGCCGGCGGCTGCGCTTGCTCCTCCGCGCCATGCGGCCCTTGGCCACGTTCTTGCGGGCGGGGCCCACCTTGATGGATGTGTTCTCCAGCGCCGTGGTCCGCAGGGATATCTTGTTGCCGCTCTGGGGTAAGGAGGCAGGGAGGGAGGAAGGGTCAGGGGTCGGGGGTCCACCAGGATGATGGCCCCACTGCCTGCAGGCACCCAGCTCTCCCATGTCTCTGTTCCATCCATCCACCAGCCCCCACACCACAGCCTGTCACTCACTGGGTCCAAGACACGCCCACCCACACCTGTCCATCTCTCTCGGCCCCTCCTCCTCCCTTGAGCTCCCCCTTGCACCCCCAAGATGCACTCCACCCTGGGGAGCCCCTGGGTCAGCTGGGGAGGCCACGCACAGGTCAGGATAGAAGACCCAGGAGGACCCAGGACGGGTGAGCGTGGAGGGGCACGCACCTTGAGCAGTAATTCCACCACGTCCCTGTGCACCAGGCCCAGCACCGACTCGCCATTGATGTGGGTGATGAGGTCTCCGGCGCGCAGGCCTGCCTCCTGGGCCGGGCTTCCGTCCTCCACGCTCTGGGGGCAGGGACAGCACATGGGGACAGGGTGTCAGAGAGCCCGACCCTCCCTCGCAGGCCACTGCCCGGGGTGTCCAACCCCGCGGACGCACCCAGACCACATGGTGAACGGTGTACACGTCGCTGTCGCCCATGTAGACGCGGATGGCGCGCAGGCTGAAGCCGTATTTCTTGCCCGAGCTGTGGATGACGATGGGCGGCCGCAGGCTGCCGCACACGGGCGACGGGTCCCGGCTGGGCGACGAGTCACGGGAAGATGGGTTGGAGGAGAGCGAGCGCGGGGACAGGGGGCTCATGAGGGGCCCACCGCTGCCGTCGTCTGCAGGGTGTGTTGGATGGGGGGGGGGTTATTAGTGCGAGGGTCCGCCCCAGCACATCCCTCCCCCAGGCGCAGGTGCTCCCGGCACATCCCTCCCCCAGGCGCAGGTCACCTGCAGTGATGATGAGCGACAGGGCAGACACAGAGGCTGACTTGGGCACACGGCCGCTGCTGCCTCCGCTGGTGGCCTTGGCCTTGTCAGCGTCTCTGGGTCCCCCGAGGCGGCGGCCCCGGCCAGCGTCTGGGGGCCTTGGGGTGGAGTGTCGGGTGCCCGTACTGTTGCTCCGTAGGCGGGCACGGCTGAGGGCGGCTGCGTCGGCTAGGGAGAGGTGAGAAGCTCAGCCTGGCACCCCCACGTCTTTTCTGGTACCCATGCCAGCCTCCAGGTCTCTCTTCACACCCTGGACCCTGCTCTTTGTCTTAAAACCTTGGTTAGGAATTCCCACTGTGAGTCCCGGCAGCCCCACTTCCCACCCAGCTCCCTGCCTGTGGCCTGGGAAAGCAGTGGAGGACGGCCCAAAGCCGTGGGACCTTGCACCTGCGTGGGAGGCCCAGAAGAAGCTCCTGGCTCCTGGCTTCAGGGCGGCTCAGCTCTGGCCATTATGGCTATTTGGAGAGTGAACCAGTGGATGGAAGATCTCTCTCTCTCTCTCTCTGAACTCTGCCTCTCAAATAAATAGTTAAATCTTTACAAGCATCAGCACACCATCTTGGTTAGCTTCACCAAACTCCTGCTCACCCTCAGAAACCCATTTCAAACAGCCCCTCAGCTCCCCACCTACCAGAAAGCCCTGGAGGCTTGGGCGTGACTGGTGTGGCTGGCGGTGGTGGCGGCTGGGGGTCTGGCTCGCCTAGCACGAAGACAGGCCTTTTGGTGTCACCGGGCGCCGGGCAGGCCCCCTCATCTTCGGATGAGAAGGCAAACTTGGGCATGGTATCCGGGCCGATGGTGCTTAGCTGGCATGGGCTGGGGCCGCGCTCGGGCTGGCACAAAGACGAGTGAGAGGAAGAACCTGACGACGTCCAGGACCGCAGGCTGCGGGGGACGGAGACAGAGGGGTGGGCGGTCACCCTACGGGTCAAGGGTCAGGCCAAGACCCACGGGGGCGGCCCTTCAGCATACACCCGGCCGCCCCATTTACCGGGTGTCAGCGCCCAGGCGGCCGCTGCCGTCCCCGTCGCCCGCCCGCTCCCAGCCTTCCTCCCGGTCCTCGCTGAAACTCCTCTCGGCCAAGTTCGATGCGGTCTGCACAGCCAGGAACTCAGAGCTGCTGTAAACCTGGGAGGGGACGGGAAACAGCAGCCATGGTGACCCTGGGGAGCGGGGGTCCAACAGCTGCCAAGAGCCACAGGGGTTGGAAACAGGAGCCCATTGCAAAGCTGGAGCCATGGAGGCCGGGTGGGGCTGGGTGGGGCTGGGTGGGGTCTCCTGGGAGGGGAGACGTTAGGAGGAGGTGGCACCCAGAGCCGGAGGCTGTTCACTGTCTCCCATGCGGGTGGCAGGGGCCCGAGTCCTCGAGCTGGCACTCGCTGCCTCCCAGGTGTGCCCCTGCAGGGAGCTGGGGCATCGACCCAAGGGCTCTCCTGTGGGACCCACACCATTCTCTAGAGGGAGTTTTCGTTATTCTTATTAGCCATTGCCTGACGCGCCAGCATCCCATGTGGAAGCCCCGGATGCAGCCCCCGGCTTCACCCTGCAGCCGCTGCGAGCATCTGCAGACCGAGCCAACACACTGCAGCTCGCTCTCTCCTCACTCGGCCTTTCCCGCAAAACCAGCTGTGGCGGCCCCACCGCAAAGCGGCCCACCTTGCTGAAGCGGTGGGAGCAGGAGGAGAACTGCGGGATGCCGGTGGACTCCTCGTCATTGGTCTCGTCGTCCTCGGAGCCCAGGTGGCGGTACCGCTCCGAGCGCGCTGCAAGGGCGAGCAGGTGTCTGTGCCACAGGCGGCTGCGGGGCTGGCGCTGTGGCCACAGGACCCCCACGTGGGGCCCTGAAGCCAGCCTGACTGGAACCCTGAGCTGGGGACTGAACATCCCAACTCCCTGGCCGACTCCTGCTCTGCTAACATTGGCCCTGTGTGCAGGACGAGGCCCCGTGTGTGGGACACAGCCCGCTTCCCCGGAGGGTCACGTAGCTAGCAGCCGCTACGTTCGGTGCCTTGGTTTCCCCTGCTGAATTCCAAGGAGGGGCCCTGGGGTCAGGTCAGGAGTGTTGCAAGGTGTCAGTACCCTGCTTCCAAACCTTCAGGACAGCCCCGCCTCTGGCCGTGCCCACACGCTGCCATGGCCGTGCCCATACCCTGGCCCAGCCCCCACTTACTGTCGAAGTAGCTGGTATCATCTTCGGCCTCCAGCTGTGGCACAAACTCGGCCTTGTGCCGCAGGAGGCCGGCCCAGTCCAGGCCCCAGAAGAAGGCGTGCTGCTTGACCTCGTGGGTGCCCCCTGCAGACGTACCACGCTCAGGGCTGAGGACCACTGCCTGCCCCGCAGCAGCACCCACCACCTCTCTGCCCCTCTAAGACGCACACCCCCAAACAGGGGTGGCCTGAGTTGGGGCGGCGGAGGCGGCAGGCCTGGCTCCTCCTCCGTGACCCCACGCCCACCCCCAGGGGTAAGCGCCCACCCAACCAGCCTCACCGGTGCCCAGGCGGTCCATCGGGCTCTGGCGTAGCAACCTGGTGATGAGGTCCTGGGCATCGGCAGGGAGGGCATCGTCCCCTTCAGGCCACATGATCTCGTCTGAGAACGGGCAGAGGCAGGATGGGGGGTTAGCAGGCTGGGAGACCACGGTTGGCACTCCCACACCTCACATCGGAGGGCCTGGGCACCATCCCAGCTCCGCTTCCGATCCAGCTCCCTGCTGATGGGCAGCTGCAGGTTCAAGGGCTTGGGCACGTGTAGCCACATGGGAGACCTGGGTGGACTGCAGACTCCAGTTTTTGGCCATGCCCAGTCATGGCGGTTGGGGGCATTTGGGAAGTGAACCAGCAGTGGGTAGAGTCTCTCTCTCCCCTCTGCCCCCTCCCATCACTCCCATCAAGCACCCCAGGCTGGTCCCACCTGCCCATTTTTGTCCTGGCTGGGGCCTCTGCCCAGAGCTCCACCCCACCAACCCCATCTGGTTCTGCAGCTCCTATATATGCCCCTGCTGGGGAAACCCTGATCTAAATCAATCACCATGCCCACCAGCCTCGCCCCCACCATGCCCACAGCCATGCCCTCCTCTTCAGCCACGCCCCAGCCCCTGACCGAAACAGGCACGCACCGCTGACGACCTGGCCGAACAGCTCCTCGGGCGTGTCTCCGAAGAAGGGCACGCAGCCCACCAGGAACTCGTACAGGATGATGCCCATGGCCCACCAGTCCACCGGCTTGCCGTAGCCCTGGCGGAAGATGACCTCGGGCGCGATGTACTCGGGCGTCCCGCACACCTGTGCCAGAGGCCATGGCGAAGCTGAGGCTGCCTCCCTCATTCCAGGGTGTGGCAGGGAGGGCCGGCCACGGGAGACCGTTCTAGAATCATCTCGCGTTTACCACGACCGAGTCTGCTGGGGTCTACCGCCCACCCACCTGCTTGTCCACGAACTCCCGCGCGTCCTTCTCAATGTGGCCCTCGTAGAGGTTGGTAGCCATGCTCATGAGCCCAATCTTGGACAGGCCGAAGTCGGTCAGCTTGATGTGGCCCAGGGAGGTGATAAGCAGGCTGTGGGGGCAGAAGTGGCAGTGGGTGGCACCCCCTCAGGCTGGGGGGCGGAACCTGCCAGCCCTGACCACGCCTCCCGCTTGCAGAAGCCAGCCTGGGATGTACGGGGCGCTGTGCCCAAGGGGTACAGGCGTGGATGTCCTGGGCACGCCGCTACCCCCACCACACAGAGAGCCCGGGGGCCTTAGGTCACGGGACATCAATCAGTCATGTGTAGGCACCTGCTGTGTGCCTCTGATGTGGCTACCACACGTCTGTTAGGGGCCATCCCGCAAAGTCCACAGGACAAAGTATGAAAAACTGCTGTGTGTGAATGTCCAAGCTCTTTTCACGCCTTCTTATTACTGTGACAGCAGAGAGAACTGGGCTACATCCCAAATGCCAAAGCTGGGCCAAGCCCAAGGCAGGAGCTCCATCTGGGTCGCCCACGCGGGTGGCAGGCCCCCAAACACTCGAGCCACACGGCCCGGCTCCGGCCATTGCGCTTGAAAACCCTCATACAGCAGACACCTACTAAATGCACAGTCCTCTGTATACAGCAGGTGTTCGGCAGGTATTTTTTCTAACCCTGACCCTTCTCACCTCCAGGGAGAGTTCAGCGGAGCAGGGATGCAGGCTGCCCGCCACCTGTTCCGCCCCGGCCCACAGCCACGCCCTGCCCGTCACATGCACAGCCCCGCCCCCAGGGCTCACTTGTCCGGCTTGAGGTCTCGGTGCACGACGCCGTAGTTGTGCAAGTACTCCAGCGCCAGCACTGTCTCAGCAAAGTACATGCGGGCCATGTCCACGGGGAGCGGGCCCATGTGCTTGAGCAGTGTGGCGCAGTCGCCGCCTGGGGGGTGTGGGGTAGACAGGGTCAGGCTGCACACCACCCTGCAGAGGGGTGCACTGTGTCCACACAGCGTCTGTCCCCCACCACCACCAGTCCCGGGGTCAGCAGAGCGGCCTCCCACCCTGTATACAGCTGGTGCCTAACGCCCCCCGGGGTCAGCAGAGCAGCCTCCCACCCGGCATACAGCTGGTGCCTAACGCCCCCCGGGGTCAGCAGAGCGGCCTGCCACCCTGTATACAGCTGGTGCCTAACGCCCCCTGGGGTCAGCAGAGCGGCCTCCCACCTGGTATACAGCTGGTGCCTAACGCCCCCCGGGGTCAGCAGAGCGGCCTCCCACCCGGTATGCAGCTGGTGCCTAACGCCCCGAGCCTACCTTCCACGTACTCCATGACCATGCAGAGGTGGCGGCGCGTCTCGAAGGAGCAGAACATGCCGACCACGAAGGGGTTCTCGGCGAAGGTCAGGATGTCTCGCTCCACAAACACCTGCTGGATCTGGTTGCGCAGGATCAGGTTCTGCTTGTTGATCTTCTTGATGGCAAAGCGCTGCCGTGTCTCCCGGTGCCGCACCAGGTACACGGCGCTGCAGGAGGAGGGGTGGGGCTCGGGCTGGAGGCCACGCCCACTCCACCTGTGCCCAGGGGCGGGGCATCCAGACAAACCCCGCCCACTCCCAGACCCACCTGTGCCCAGGGGCGGGGCATCCAGACAGACCCCGCCCACTCCCAGACCCACCTGTTTCCCCCAGGGGCGGGGCATCCAGACAGACCCCGCCCACTCCCACACCCACCTGTGCCCAGGGGCGGGGCATCCAGACAAACCCCGCCCACTCCCAGACCCACCTGTGCCCAGGGGCGGGACATCCAGACAGACCCACCTGTGCCCAGGGGCGGGGCATCCAGACAAACCCCGCCCACTCCCAGACCCACCTGTGCCCAGGGGCGGGGCATCCAGACAGACCCCGCCCACTCCCACACCCACCTGTGCCCAGGGGCGGGGCATCCCAGCCAATCCCAGCCCAGAACCCCATCTGTGGGACCCTTCACCTGGCTGCACCCTCGTGGGGGTCCTGCCCCTCGCGCCCCCCAAGGCTGCAGCCTCCTGCCCCACAGTGCTGTCCCTGTCTCCTGGCCTGCATGTGTGAGCCTGGGCCTCAGCCGTCCCCGTGGACATCTGAGAAATGGGCCCATGGCGGAGGGGACTCACCCATAGGCACCGTTGCTGATGAGTTTAATGGTCTCGAAGTCGCTCTCGCATGGCTTCCTCCGTGACGGGCCAACCAGGGCCCGGTTCTGGCGGCAGGGAGGGAGGGGGGAGGTGTTTAGGACCCTGCCCTGCCCTGCCCTGCTCTACCTGTCCCACCCCCAATCCCTTACCCCAGTCCAACTTATCCCAGAGTCTCTAGCCAGCTTCCAGGTTTCTGAGTTTGGATTCAAAGCATGCTTTCCTTCCTGAAAACTCCTACACATCCTTCAAAACCCACCTCCCCAATGTCCCTCTAGTGCTGCACAGCCTGACATCAAGAGGAGGATGCCGCCCCACATACTGGTATTGTCTCCCCCAAAGTCACGGGTGCCTGTTGAGCACCCCTCACTCTGGTCACTCGTGTCCTCCTGGTCTACCCTGGAAAGTGGAGCTCCCCGCTTCCACCGCAGCTCACCTCTGGGGACTCAGGGGCTGGCGGCTGTCCTTCGTTATCCAGGTGACACAGCGGCACAAACTCTACAGGGTGAGGGAAGAGCTTTGGATGATGGGATCCCCAGCCTTGCCCCTCCAACGCCCAGCAGCTTCCGGAAGCTTCCATGGCCCACCCCAGGCTGGGGCCCAGGCAGGTACCTGACCAGTTCCTGGGTTCAACCCAGAGAGGCTAAGGAACCTTCTAGAAGAACCAACAGGCAGCCCCCGGCTTGGGATGGCTCAGCTGGAATGGAATGCAGGCTGGCAGCCAGGGAGCCCCCAGGCCTCGGCGCCTCTAGTGGGCAGTGCGGGGGCAGGAGCCGCGATGAGGACAATGGGGTAAGTGTCCCATGGCCACGTGGCCAGCCTGGGCCTAGGACATGGGATCCTGGGCCCTGGGCACTCCGGGAAGGGGAGCTGCTGCCACTGTCTGCCTTCTCCACTGCCCACAACAGTCGGCCCCACGTGCCATGGCCACGGGCACCCTCGGCTTGGAACCCCTGCTGGGTCTGTGACTTCGGCTTCTGCCGCTTTCCACGGGGGCGGGTGTCGGGGCCCACAGCCTGGGTTCAAATCCCAGCTCCACTTTCCACCCAGATCCCTGCTCAAACGCATTCCAGGAGGCAACAGGTGAACACTCCGGTGCCTGGAGCCCTGCGTGGGACACCTGGAAGGAGCTCCTGGTTCCTGGCTTCAGCCCAGCCCAGCTCTGGCTGTTACAGGCCCTTGGAGGAACCGAACTCAGGGCTGCTTGGGCCCAGCCAAAATCAGGAGCCAGAAGCTTCTTCTGGGTCTCCCGTGTGGGTGGCAGGGCCCCAGGCACATGGAGCCATCCTCTGTTGCTTTCCCAGCAGGGAGCTGGATGGGAAGTGGAGCAGCCGGGACTCGAACCGGCACCCACCTAGGATGCTGGTGCTTGAAGGTGAAGGATCAGCTTGTTGCGCCATGGCACGCCCCCTCCTCCTACCCACCCTGCAAGGCACTTAGCAGAAATGGGGCAGCCGGGATTCAAACCGGCCGCCTGACATGGGAAGTGGGTGTCGCTGAGCTCACCTCGCATCTCAATTCAAACTTGTGCTTCGGGGGTCCTAGCAAGCCTGGCGTGCGCCCCGAGGCCTTGGCGTGTGCCCCCACCCTGGGAGGCTTACCCTGCAGGGGGTCCTTGGTGAGGCCCAACTGCTCAATGATGTACTGTGGCAGGTCCGTCTTGATGCCCTGCCCCTCCCGAGCCTGGCCCTCAGCGGCCTCCAGCAAGTGGTAAAACTCTTCCGGGTCGAATTCCTGGGGGTACACGGAGGGCAGGAAGCTGGTTGCTTGGGGATCAGCTGTGCCCAGGGCTTTTGCACGGAGCACAGCCCCGGGACCCCCTTCCCAGCCCTGCACCAGTGGAAAGTCGCGTGGGAATGCCAACAGGGCCGGCCGGTGGCTGGAAGCGGACTCACCAAGCACTCCAGCAGCCGCGCGGGCCGCGAGATGATGATCAGTAACTTGCGGACCAGCTGCACGATGAAGCCCACCTCCTCGCTGTCCGAGCGCTCGTGGGCCTGGGGGAGGAGGGCGGGGTCTGTCAGGTGTAGCCCCGCCCCCGTGCCAGCGTGGCCCCGCCCCGCATCTCCCACCCCCCACGCACATCCTGCAGCAGCCGCTCCAACTTGTCCTGCATCTCCAGGAAGTAGCGCGAGGTGACCAGGGCCTCGCCCGACTTGGCCAGGCAGTCGCGTGCCAGCTCCATGATCTGGTGGTGGATGAAGCCCAAGACGCCGTCCGCCAGGCCCAGGCGGGCACCGGGCGCCCAGGCCGCCAGGAACTCACGCAGGCGGCACTCCATCTGTGCCGTGGCCTGGTGTGGGGAGGCACGGGGAGGGGCGACAAGAAGGGGGTGGCCAGGGATGGTCAGGCCTGGGCGGCGGGGGTCGGGGTGGCCAAGCCGCCCTCCCGGGATGCCCGCCCGACCAGGGGCTGGGGGTCCCTGCCATCCACCCACTCATGGGGGAGACCTGGATGGCGCGCCGGCGCCCTTGCCCAGCCTGGGTCACGCTGTTAAGAAAGCATCGACTGGGGGTCCCAGGGAGCGGGGTCAGCCCTGCCCACCTTGGGGAAGCGTTCTCGGTACACATGGTTCATCATGACGATCTCATTGTCGAAGGTCCCTGTGGCGCGTCCCGGGCTGCAAGGCGACAACGACAGGTGTCACGACGATGGAGCCCGGGGCTGTGGGGTACGGGGTGGCGGTTGAGCCAGGGAAGAGGCGGTCCCTGGCCCACCTGAGGCTGCGGGAGCGGGGGCGCAGGCGTGGTGAGCGGCCGCCCTCCTCGTCCACCACGCTCTCCGAGCTGCGGAAGTGCTTGGCCAGGAAACGCAGCTCGTCCGCCGTTGGCTGGAACGGAAGCTGGTGCAGCCGCTCCCGGGAGGATGAGCTGGACTGTGAAAGGAAAGGAGCAGGAGGAAGGAGATGGGCAGGGCCCCAGGGTCACGGGCAGGCAGCCAGCACCACACTCCAGACCCCTGTAGCACCCCCTCTGTTCCCCAGGTTGCCTGCTGCCAGCTTTCAACAAGCTTGGCTCCTATACATCCCTCAAAACCCCACATGCTATGCCCTCGCCTTCAGGAAGCCCTCCCTGGGGCTGCCTCTCTTGGTGAACCCCCTATCTCGGCCTCCAGCTGCACTCTGAGCTGGAGGGGTCCTTCAATGGGGACATGCCTACATTTTCTTCAGGTTCCCCACGCTGCCTAGAAGAAGGGATAGGAAGGGGGACAATGGGAGCAGAAACAGCCAGGATGTTTGCAGCTTGACTAAGTGAAGACAGTTTGGGGGAAAACACACCCAACAGCCATTCCCCCACCCAACCCCCATCTTGGTCTGCATACCGAGACGGTGGAGCTGGGTGTGTTGGTTCCATAGCCGGAAGACGGGAGGGAGGCCAGAGACCATCTTCTGCCGTCCGCCCTGGAAGACAGGGATGGACGGATGGACGGATGGACGGATGGACGGACCTCCTTGGGCCCCTGAGGGGTGGGTGGCTACCCGAGCCTGCCAGGGAGCCCTGTCTGGGGCATGGGGTGCGTGTCTGTCCCCTCTGGGCTGCAGCCTCCCCGTTCCTGGTCCTGTCTGAGGCACGTATACAGTAGGCGTCCCATAGGTGTTGATAGGAAAGGAGGCTGCTGGTAGCGGGCAGGGCTTCCCTTCTCCCCGCCCCTGAGGGCGTTACCTGTCGGCCAGGGAGATGTGGCTACAGGCGTCCGTGTGTGTGGGTACCAGAGGCGGTGACCGTGCAGGGCAGGGGCCGGGTGGGGTGGGCGGGGGGAACAGGTGGATGAGGAGGCAGCTCCTGCCCCCAGCCCCGGCTCTCGCCCATGCTGCCCATGCCACCCGACCCCTCCCCACAGCCCCAGCCCCAGGGGAGCCGCTCACCTCCGGGCGAAGGGGAAGTTGGCAGCGGCAGCGGCAGCCGAGAAGTTCCGGGGACTGTCTAGGGGGCTGCTGCCTGCTGAGGAGGAGGCAGGGGGTAAACTGAGTCAGTGGAGGAGGGAGGCCCAAGTCCTGGCACCTGCCCGTCCACCCACCTGCCCGCACTCACCCGTGGGGATAGATAGCGGCGACAGGGGCCGGGAAAGCGTGGGCGAGGGGGTCCCCACTGCCAGGCTCTTGCGGCTCCCACTGCGGCAGCTGTAGCGGGTGGGGGAGGAGACAGGGTGGCGTGGGGGTGGCGTGGGGGTCAGCTGAGGTCAACAGACCCACTTGCCCAGCGCACGGGGCTTGGGGAGAACAGGAAGTGAGCATGGCCCCTTTTCCCATGCCACCTTCAGCCGGGCACTCAACATCAGTCGAGCCAGGCCTCACCACTGCCAGGGGGACCCCGGGATTGCCCACCTCTCTGTGCCCGACACCCCACCATATCCTTCCACTTGCACCCTCACATCCCTGCCAACGAGAGGTGGTCCCCCACACCCAGATACCACCCAGCGACCAGGCCTGCAACCCTTGGACACTGCACGGCTTTCAAGGTGAAGGCATGAACCTTGCAGGCTCTCAGCTCCCCCACCCCCTCCAGGGGCCCTGGCCTCAGCCAGGGTCGGGGGACCCTCTTTGCCCTGCCCCCATCACCTTGGCAAAGGGAAGCAGGGAGCGCCACCCCTGCCACGCCAACCCTCCCTCCCCCGGAGCACAGTCGCCCAGCAACCGCTCAGCTCCCCAGTCAAGTGCAGCGGCCCACACACCCCCCAGCCACCAACGCAGCTCAGCAGTGACAGACTGGGGTGAAGAGGAAGGCCGAGCCCTCCCATCCTGCAACAAGGGATGGGGGTCTGGGGGGGTGGACAGGGGTCACACAGGCACACCAGGAGGAGGAGGAAGGGCTGTTATGCTGCTGCCAAGGACCCTCAGTTCCCCCCCTGGAGGACTTGGGGTGCTGGGGACCCCCATGATGCACCTCGCTTCAGTGGGTACATGACAAGGATTCCCAGGAGAGGTGGTGGGGGGAGGGATGTGGGGACACAGAGCAGGCGGACGGGGCCAGATGCGCCCCTTACGCAGACTGAAAAACTGAGGCCACGCGCCTCAATCCGGCAGCCCCCGGGGGTTTGAGGCACACAGCGAAGCAAAAGCGAAAGCCACAAACCCTGCACAGCACTTCCGGTCGCTCTCCCAGCCCACCCGTCCCGCCGCCCGAGGGGGCCCGTACCCCTCCTGGCCCCCTGCCTCACTTGCAGCTCCCCAGCAGGGGTAGGGAACACGCCGGGGTTGCCCCCTGCCTCCCCCGGGCACCATGCTGCCCACCGTTTGTTCCAGCGCCCCTGGGGAAGCGGCCCTCCCTCCATCTGGGGTCAGCTTGGGTGCTGGGGGGGCTCCAGGCTGGCCCAGCCGGGCAAAACATGGGCGTCCCCGGGGTCAGCATTCCAGCCCCTCTCCCCCCAGCAGCCAGCGGCCGCGCACACAGGGAGCGCACGGCGCGGCCTGGGGTCCCAGAGCCAAGCAAGACGTGGGGTACGCCAGCCGGGGCGCCAGGAGGCTCCCCACCCCATTCTCGGAAAAGGGGGAAGGAGACGCCCACCGCCCCGGCTCCCCCACCCACAACACTCCATCCACACCCGCCCCCGTTTCCGCCGGGCTGCGCGCGGGCCGCGGCGATGGGCGCACAGGGTTCGAATCCCGGCTCCGGCAGGAGCCCCGCGGGGCCGCCCCGGGCCCCCAGCACCCGCGCCCGGGGTCGCCCCCGGCCCCCAGCACCCGCGCCCGGGGTCGCCCCCCACCCTACCTCTTGGAGCGCTGCAGCAGCGCACCCTTGGCCAGGCGGCTGCGATGGCCCGGAGCCGCCACCGCCGTCCAGTAGCTGGGATCCGACATGCCGCCGCCCTCCCCGCCCTGCGAGCTGGGGAAGGGGCTGCTGGGGTCACCCCGCGCTGCAGGGGCGACCCCCGAGGGGGCGGGGGGCACCAGCAACGCCGGACGACGAGGAAGCGCGCGCCCGCGCCTGCGCGCGCGCCCCGGGAAACCCGCCCGGAGAGCGCGGGGGCGGGGCGAGCGCGGGGGCGGGGCGTCGCCATGGCGCCGGGCGGAGGGGCGGGGCGTTGCCATGGCGCCGGGCGGAGCGTCGCCGCGGCTGCGGGCGGAGGGGCGGGGCGTCGCCATGGCGCCGGGCGGAGGGGCGGGGCGTCGCCATGGCGCCGGGCGGAGGGGCGGGGCGCTGGTCGCAGCTGCAGGTGACGCGGAAAACCCATTTTCCGCGGTTTTGGGATTTTGGGCGTTTTGCTTTTTCCCCTCCGCGCCCTGAGCTCGCCCGGCGCGCTAAGCCTTTCAGCACCCAGAGGGCCCCGCCCGGACGGAGCCTATCAGGCCTCCACACGCCCCAGGCTCCTGGCTTCAGATCAGTGCAACACCAGCCGTTGTGGCCACTTGGGGCGTGAGTCAATGGACAGAAGATCTTCCTCTCTGTCTCTCCTCCTGTCTGTATATCTGACTTTGCAATAAAAATAAATTAAAGCTTTTTCAAAAAGAAATAGATTAACTCTTTCTAAAAAAGTAAAGATAATGTGGAAACAAGGTCTCACCCCCCTTCCCCTAGTCCTCGACCCTTCCCGCCCTGATCCACTATCTCAATCTTATCAAAAATGAAATTTTAAACATTTAAAATAAACCCTTGCTTTGGCCGTGCTGGAGCGTACTCAGCTCCCTGCCTGTGTCCTGGGAAAGCAGTGGGGGATGACGCCCTCTCTCACGGCTCCTGGCTCCAGATCGACTCAGCTCAGCCCATCATCACCCCAACTTGGGAGCTAACCAACAGGACTTGTATTCCCACAGGGTTGGGCTGTAGCACTGTTGGCATGTTGTGGGCCGGGGGCAGGCCTAGCTGGGTTCTCCAGCACACGCTGGTATAACCCACACACTGGGTTGCAGGCCAGCCAGGCTAGGCTGCAATACCAGCTGGCAAATGCTGGGTGCGAGTCCTGTCAGGACTGGTAGATGCAAGCTCCAGAGCCTGGCAGATGAACTGTGGGTACTCTACTGCCTGGGTGCAACTCGCATGGTGAGCAGGAGAACCAGCGCTATGAGTGGGCCAGGATGATCAGGACAGCAGCACCCATCGGCGTCTGCGAGGGCTGGGTCTGGCTGACACCCATGGGTGCACACGAGAGCCAGCTGGGATGTGGGACAGATGGGTAGGCCACAGCACATGCTAGCATAGGCAAAGACCAGGTCCATGGGTGGGACTGGTGGGCGGTGATTGGGGTTCGCCCAGACTATGTCGCTGTACCAACTGGTATGTGCAAATGCTGGGCCTGTGGCAGGCTGGGCTGGCTGCGGCATCTGTTAGCTTGTGTGACATTTGGGCCCAAAGACAGAACTGCCGAGGCAGCTGTACCCACTGGCATGTGTGTTGGCTGACCCTGCACTGGCTGGCTGGCGGACACCAGAGCCAAGTCGGAGGTCACCCCAGGTCAGGCTTTTAAGGCACAACCCGAATATTGTTGGACTTAAAACTTGCTCTCAACCCCAGTGCAATGAAGCTGACTTTTCAGAACTATCAAAACCACTCCAGCAGCCCCCTCTGCCCCTCCTCCCCACATCGGGGTCTGTCCCCCATCCCCGGTGCTGATGTAGTTTGTCAGCCAGGAGGGGTATCCCTCCTCATCCTCCCCTGCATACACAAGAAAAAAATTTAAAAGTCTGAAAAATGTATTCTTCCTATTTTCTTCCATACCTGACATTCCCTGTCCTAATCCCACACGGGCGTGTAACCCTCTCAGCTATGTAAACAACAGTTAAAACAAAATTTAGGCCTGGTGCGAAGACCCAGTGGCCCATCCTTGCCTGACACGCACCAGCATCCCATACGGGCGCCAGTTCGAGTCTCGGCTGTTCCACTTCCCACCCAGCTCCCTGCCTGTGGCCTGGAAAAGCAGTGGAGGACGGCCCACAGCCTTGGGACCCTGCACCCACGTGGGAGACCCGGAGGAGGCTCCTGGTTTCAGATCAGCTCAGCTCTGGCCATTGTGGTCACTTGGGGAGTGAACCAGCAGGTGGAAGATCTGTCTGTCTCCTTTCTCTCTATAAATCTGCCTTTCCATTCAATATAAACACATCTTTTATTTTTAAGGCTGTGGAGTTGGCGTTCTGGGGACCGGCCCAGTGGAGTGGTGACAGGGGGGGACCAGGGGGTGGATGGGGCTGCAGGGACACACGTGTGTCCTCCCTGCCGGGGTGCACAGCTGGACAGCTGGCAAGGTGGGTGTCCTCCTGTGGCCTGGCCTGAGGCTCTGGGCTCTGCTCCCCCCTGCTGGCAGCTGCGCCATCCTGCAGCCTCTGGTTTTCACTCTGCCGCCGCTCCTGCCTTCCCTGGGAACCTGAAAAGTTTATGGTCGTGGCCTGGGGACTTCAGCTAGTCTGAGGACGCCAGTTCAAGCCACGTGCATCCCACATTGGGGCGGGCCTGGGCTTGCGGCCCCCATGCGTGCCCTGGGCCCCTGTCACCCCGGCTCCTGGGTCAGCCTGGCCCAGTCCCAGCTGGGTGCACTGACTGACAAACTCCACCTTTGTTCCTTTCGTTTAATCAGTGGTTCCCTGCCTGCCTGCTGGAGTTAGACAACAGCAGCCTAAGGACTGCTGGGCCCTGAGCGCCTCCCCGCCCGGCAGGCGCCTGTCTCCCTGCAGTAAGTCCATGAAGATGAACAACTGACAGGCCATTGAATTCAAGCTAGCCTTCCCTGCCCAACACTGCCCCTCCTTAACCCACACCACAGCTCACAAGGGTGCCTGAGGTCGTCCCCGGCTAGGGGGCAGCTCCAAGGTGCCCCCTCTACAGATTCCTAATGCCCCAGGCAGCCTGGGACCCCCTGGCTTCCAGCCAGCTGGAAGTAGAACGGGGTGTGTGTCCTGGGGAACACGTAGCTGGCACTCATACCACCAGGCTCCTCCCCTAGACACCCACACACACTCCAGAGTTCCCACGGGGGACGCCCAGGCTGGGGGTGTGCCTTCTGTGTCCCAAGGTGCCAGCCCAGGAGGCCAGGGGGTCACCTGAGAACCCTACACCTGCTCCGGAGTCCCACCCTCAACGTGCGCCTGTCTGGTCTTGGGCCCCCAAGGAAAACAATGTAAAGAACTAAAATTCTTTCTCCCCTTTCCCTCGACACACACCCCCCATCCGGCCCCGGGTGGAGCCCCCAGCACTCTTATTAGGAGGGTAGACTGAGCTCCGTGTAGACAGGCCTGCAGCTGGGGGCAGTGGGGAGCAGCTGGGAGAGGCGCAGGGCCGCAGCCAGCCCTGCCTGCCCAGCTCCCCGCCACCCTGGCAGCTGCCACTTACCTCCAAGGGCGCAGGCCCGCTGAGGGGCTACAAGGGCTGCGCAGGGAAGGGCTCCGGGTGCTGGGGGACAAACTACAAAGACAGAGCCGGCCGCCCCTGTCTGAGGTCTGGCCCAACGCTGGGCTCACCACCACCACCTCCGCCCTGCTTCCCTCCTGACAACCCCAGAGGGCTCCCTGCAGGCGGCGGCCCGTGCCTAGACCCGAGGCGCAGGTGGGGCGGGCTTTGGGTATCCCAGTCCTCCTCGGCCCTCCCTCCCCGCCGCCCTGCGCAGCACTCACTCGAGGGTCAGCGCGGGGATACGCAGCTTATCCCTGCGGGATTTCATCCCGATTCCCGCCCCTTGCTCCACGTCCCCCGGGGGAGGGGGTGGCGCGACTGGACACAGGCCGGACTGACTGCGCGCTCCCGGTTGGCGGGGGGCCGGCGAGCCTCGGGGCGCACGGGGGCGCACGGGGGCAGGCGAATCTCGGGGCGCACGGGGGGCGCACGGGGGGCATACGGGGGCGCACAGGGGCGCACGGGGGACCGGCCTTCCCCGGCCGCGGGGCGGGGCTCGGGACCGGCACCTGCGCGCAGGCCTAGCCAGGCAGGAGGGAGGAGGGGTCGTCTCGCCGGGGAGAGAGAGGAACCCTGCCTGGCTCGTCCCGAGAGGAAGGGCGGCCGCGATTGCCCCATCTGGACCGCGCCCTCGCCAGGGCCTGCACGGCCGCAGTCACTCCACCCTCGCTCGGCGCGGCGGGTTTCCGCCCCGCGCATCCCCGCGCATCCAGGCCCTGGCTGCACGCAGTTCCCCGCGTCCCGCCCACCCCGTGGCAGGTGCACAGACCCCACGGGCTCCGCGCTTGGGCCGTGTCCCTCCCCGTACCCCGGAGGCGGACCTGGCCAAGGGGACAGGGAGTGGACAACCCCCAGGGCTCGGCCCAGGGCCCAGGACTTTGGCCGGGTCCTCCTGGCTGCCCGCAGCGGGGGTGGGGGGCACAGCAGGGGACTGCGCGGCTGCCTGGTGAGCCCCGTCCCCAGCTGTCCCAGATTCTGCCCCCGAGGCCCCGCTCCATCCAGCCAGCGCCCCCACATCCGGCCCTGGACTTGGGGCGCCCCCAGCCCCTCAGCTCCCGCTCACTCAGGGCGCACAGACCCCACGATCACCGCGCCGGCTCATGCCATCCCCCCTCCCCGCGTTGCCCTTGCACCTGTGTTCTCCACGGTGATCTCCCCCGAGAAGGCCCCCCAGTGCCCAAGGCCACCGCTTTCTCCTTCTAGGAATCCCCTAAACACCAAGTTCCCCAAGGACACGATTTCCTAAAAGGAATGAGCTCCCCATCCCAGGGAGTATTCAAGCTGCCTGGGCAACCCCCCGCCAGCCGCTGGCACCCCAAGTTCTTGCTGGGCACCCCCCCACACCCAACTAAGGGAGGGGTGCAACCCCCAGGCAGGGACAGCAGAGGGAGGAACTACGTCAGGTGGCAGTTCATTGGCTGTCCAGGACCAGAGGCCACGCCCTCCCTCCACACCTGCTGGAACTTACCCACGGCCGCGGCGGGGCAGGCTCAGCTCTTTCTGAAATGAGATGAGATGGGGGTTCATTGGCAGGAAACGCCGGCCCCCTGCCCCACCCCTGCCAGGCCCCCTGCCCCTGCCAGGCCCCCTGCCCCTGCCCCTGTCAGGACCCCTGCCCCTGCCCCACCCCTGCCAGGCCCCCTGCCCCTGCCAGGACCCCTGCCCCTGCCCCACCCCTGCCAGGCCCCCTGCCAGGACCCCTGCCCCTGCCCCACCCCTGCCAGGCCCCCTGCCCCACCCCTGCCAGGACCCCTGCCCCACCCCTGCCAGGCCCCCTCCCACCTGCCCCACCCCTGCCTGGCCCTCCCCCTCCCCTTCTCTGCCTGGCCCCCTGCTCACCCCTTGCCTCATTTAGAACCTTGGCCCCTACTCCTGGTCCTCCCCAGCCTCCAATCGCTCTCCCTCAGCTCCAGACTCCAGCCCCTCCCCTTCTTCCAGGCCCCCCCACCCCGTCCCCCCTCCCCCTGCCTCCCCACCTGCCACCCTGTCTTTGAGACCATTTACCTTCACAAAGAGGGGGCCCAAAGTGGCTACACACCAATCCCTTTTACTTTGGGGGCCTGGTGCAAAATCCTCGGCTGACATGCACCAGGATCCCTGTGGGCACCAATTCAAGTCCCGGCTGCCCCACTTCCCACCCAGCTCCCTGCCTGTGGCCTGGGAAAGCAGTGGAGGACGGCCCACAGCCTTGGGACCCTGCACCCGCGTGGGAGACCCGGAGAGGCTCCTGGCTCCTGGCTTCAGGCTGGTTCAGCTCTGGCCATTGTGGCCACTTGGGGGGGTGGTGAAGCAGCAGGTGGAAGATCTTTCTCTGTAATTCTGCCTTTCCAATAAAGATAAATAAATCCTTACAATGGGGCCTCAGCTAGCTGACCTGCAGCCAGCAGGGGCATGCTCATTGTACACCAGGCAACACACTCCAAGCTGGAGGCCCCATGCGACCCCAGACTGCCCTGAGACCATGTGACCCCGGACTGGCCTCAACACTTTTTTAATTCTCCAAGTTCTTGCCTGTGTAGCAATATTTCAAAAATCTGGGGACACGCTGAACTCGGCCGCCTCTTCTTTTTAAAATTTATTTTTATTGGAAAAACAGATATACAGAGAGAAGGAGACAGAAAGAGCTTCTATCCGCTGATTCACTCCCCAAGTAGCCACAATGGCCAGAACTGAGCCAGTCCAAAGCCAGGAGCCAGGAGCCTCTTCCAGGTCTCCCACGCGGGTGCAGGGTCCCAAGGCTTTGGGCCGTCCTCCACTGCTTTCCCAGGCCACAGGCAGGGAGCTGGGTGGGAAGTGGGGCTGCTCCCATATGGGATGCTGGTGCGTGTCAGGTGAGGACGGGCCCACTTCTTACGGCAGCCCCTCTCTGGCCACAGTTGTGATGTGGACATGCCTGGCAGGTGGCGTCTCCATAGTGGATACAGCCTCTCACTGGTTGGAAACTGAGGCCTGACCAAAGCTGCCCGCCCACCTCTCACTGGGTCCCAGGATGTCCCCTCATCGGTGGCCACCCCCCCACACACACAGATACACATTGGGGTGGCAGTGTTAGGGACAAATGACTATTTTTATTTTGGTGGGCTCCAGGCTGCCCACGTCCCTCTGGGATGGTCACCATGGCAACCGGTGACATCACCATCCCCCGCAGCCCCGGAAGCTGACAGGCGCTGGACCAGCGACCCGGCTGGGCTGCGGGGTGGGGCAAGGCTCAGCGGGACAGGCAGGGATGGGTGGGTGGAGCTGGGATATCCGTTCCTGGCTTCACCCCTGCCTCACTTGGTTTTAGAACTCTTCAGAGCTCAAGATGGGCTACCCACAAGGCTGCAGGTCTTTCAGCTGCTTGCATACCCCTGGGGACAGGGAGCTCAGTGTCCTTTGTGGGAACTGCCTCGGTTGCTCCTGGGACGTGGCGGGGTGGGGGAATGAAGCAGCAGAGTGCAGCCCAGGGCTTTGTTGGGGTGGAGGGGCGAGCCTCAGTTTATGAGCTGCAGCTGGTTTGTAGAGGCAGGCAGCTGCCCCCGGCTGCCTGCACCCGTTCTGCAGGGAGCTGGACCGCCTCCAGAGCCATCCCCCCCAGCCCCATCCACCCGTCTCCTCCTGCGGTGCCATCTGCTTCCCCAGGCGGCTGTTCCCGAGGGGCGGGCCTTCATCAGCGGGGAGGGCGCTGCTCCCAGTAGGGTTAATACGCTGACATCTGAAGCCTTCCAGGGCACGGAGGGGAGATTCCTTAGCTGTGGAGACAAATTCCTTCTGGCTCTTTTTTTTTTTTTTAGGTGGGGTGGGGGCCCTGATATTATGAAGTTATATCCTCTGAGGAATAAAACTGCAGCTTTTGCAAAGTGGAGGGGAAGGGAAGTCACGAAAGAGTAACAGCCACAGACTGTGACACCTGAACTCAAACTCCCGCACAGGGCCAGGGGGTGGCCAGGCGAGTCCCGCCTCCGCTCGCCCCGCAGCCAATCGCCCTAGCTCCAGCTGCCTGGGTTGGCCAATCAGTCCGGCTGGAGGGGGAGGGGGTCCTTGCTCTTTCCCACCCCCCCCCCCAAGCTTTATGAATTGAATCTTGCACTTTTAGCATCCTTCGCAGCCCCCGCCCCCTTCCTGCCTGGGGAAGTCTGATTGGCTCGCACCCAGCAGCCTGCCTCCTGATTGGCTAGGGTGCTCCCATCGTCTCCTAGACAGGCCTGGCACCTGCTGGCTGGCACCCCTGGCGCTCCCCTCTCTGAAAGTCTTCTGGAAAATTCGATGCGTAGCGGTAAGCAAGCGCAGAGGGAGAGCGCGTGTTGTTGGGGGGATTTGGAAATCAGCCTCAACTTCCTGCTCCCCGTCACCCCCCAACTTAGCAGCTGCAGAGAAATCTTTCCATTCCCCAGATAGGAACCCACTACTCTAGAAACTTCTACAGCTCCTCAGGCATCTTCGGGATAAAGTTGAAATACAAAAGAAAGTCCCGGCACCACCTAGGGACTCTGCTCCCGCCCCAAGGCGAAGCGGCAGCTTGCAGCCCCAGCTTCTCATCCCACAGGGGGCAGTTCTGCGTTGTCTGTTATCTGTGTTACCTCTTGCCCCCCCCTCCGTCCCACCTCAACCCCACACCTCCCTGGAGGAGAGGGGACCAGGGCCATGGGGGTCTAGAGGACTGGCCAGCTCTGTCTACATCCAAATCCTGAGCTCTGCCCCCCTGCTGGGGGAGGGGGGAGACCTGGATTGGGGCGGGGGTGGGATGAGCCTTCGTTTTCCCCCTGCAGCACTGGTGGGATGCGCCCTCCGGGACTGTTGGACCAACCGCCCCCCTCCAGTGGAGCAAGTCCCACTTCTGACGTCAGCAGCACCCCCATCCGCCTCCCCTGGAGGCGGCTTCCCTATTTTAAGAGGCTGCGGGGGGTGGGGGGGGGGACTGGTAGGGAACAGGGGCTCAAAGCAGAAACCCTGCGCCCCCCCACAGCACCCCAGGGTGCCAAGGCCCACTGCCCCCTGCTCTTTGCTCAGCTCTCCTCTCCCACCCCAATCCACTCCCCTCTGCAGACCAGGGTTGGGGTGGTCTGCCCTCCCACTACTCCGCACACAGCTCCCCCCAGTGTCTCCTCTAGTTCATGGGGCTGTCCAGACGCCAGCCCCTCCTATGCCTCCTCACCCAGAGCCCCCTTCCTGCACTCCAAAGCCACCCACCCAAGCCACCCGGGGGGGTCCTCCTGCACGTCCTGAGCCTGGATGTCCTCCCCCGCCCGCACCAGGACTGAGCCCTCTGTTGCTCACATCTGCCCGTCCCTGCAGCTGGGGACACAGCCCCTCAAGCAGCCCCCGTGGACAGATGCCACCCAGCGAGGGACCAAGGCCTCCCCGGGGGGAGGAGGGGTGCTGCACAGCTAAGTGTCCACTTGCCGGGCACCCGCTGACACCCAGGCCGCAGCATGTGTGTGTGTGGAGGGCTCAGAGCTCATGGGGGGAAGCCTGCAGCCCAGCGCCCACCGAGAGGTGGCCAAGGGCTCCCTGCATCCCACGTGGGCCACCCCGGAGCAGGTGGCTGTTTGTTTTCCTCTGGAAGCCTTACTTTTGCTGTCTGACACAGGCAGCTGCAGGCAGCCCCGGGCGCTGCAGGAGCGGCCAGGGGAGGCTGTGGGGCGGGAAGCGGTTAGGGACCTGAAGGCAGAGCTCGGATTCCAGCAGGACCCTCCGGGTCAGCCGGCGGCGGCTGCCTGTGGGGAGGGGAGGCCAGCTCCCGGACGGGGCTCGGCCTGCCTCGGTTTCCCCCCCTGTCAGCAGGGGTCCGCGGGGTGGGGGAGCCCCCAGGCCCGGCGCTCTCGGCCTGCCTCGGTTTCCCCCCCTGTCAGCAGGGGTCCGCGGGGTGGGGAGCCCCCCGGCCCGGCGCTCTCGGCCTCCGTCTGCCCACCCCCCGAGTCCCCCAGGGGCCTCACCTGGAGCCCGCGGCGCCGCAGGAGGCTCGGCTCGTCCATGGCCCCGCGCTGGCCGCCGCCGCCCGGGCACGCGAGGCGCCGCCTCCCTGACGCCGCGGACCGAGGCCATCAGACGCCGGCCCCGCCTGCTGCGCCTCCTCCTCGGTGGACGCCGGCAGGCCCCGCCCCCGGAGAGCTGGCCCCGCCCACAGGGAGAGCTGGCCCCGCCCACAGGGAGAGCTGGCCCCGCCCACAGGGAGGGCTGACCACGCCCACAGGGTGAGCTGACCACGCCCCGGGGCTAGCCACGCCCACTGGGAGTAGGGCCACACCCCCGGGAGCAGGTCACGCCCCCACAGCAGGAGCATGACCACGCCCACCGGGAGATGACCGTGTCCCGGGCGAGCTCGCCACGCCCACTGGGAGCGGGCCACGCCCACATGGAGAGCTCGCCACGCCCACTGGGAGCGGGCCACGCCCCTCCAGCCAGCACTGCCCACCCCATCCTGGTGGTCGCCCTCCGACATCTCTGGTTTCCTGCTGGGGTCACCTGATGCCCAGCAACGCAGGAAGACAGAGCCATCGCCCACCGGCTGGCCACCCCCAGCCCCCCGGGAGCTCCAGCCTGGTCTCCCACGCGGGTGCAGGGTCCCCTGTGGGCCGTCCCCTGTGGGCCGTCCTCCACTGCTTTCCCAGGCCACAGGCAGGGAGCTGGGTGGGAAGTGGGGCAGCCGGGACTCGAACCGGTGACCCTATGGGGTCCTCGCGCTTGGAGGGGGAGGATGAGCCTTTTGAGCCATCACACCAGCCCTAAAGGGGTCTGGGCTGCGGTGGGCATGGAACCCCAAGGTGATTTGGCGCTTGGGGCGGCCGCTCTAGGGAATCGAGGTCCCCCAATGGCTCCATGAAGGGTGTATGTGGTGGAGGCGGAAGTTTTGTGGCTGTACTTGTCACGATTTCCTGCCCGGGTGACCCAATCCTTCCTGCTCAGCCTGCTTGTGAAAGTGGGGCAGCCCTGGGTGGGGCCGGGGGAGGGAGCGGCAGCACCAGCAAGGCGGCCATGGGGAGTTGGGGCGGCTCAGGAGGAGCCTGAGACCTTGGTGTTTGTCCCCCCACTCACACCCCCAGCTGCAACTTCCGCCTGGAGCTCCACCTGCCCCCTCTCCACCCCCATGCAGCTCCCCCTCTCCGTCTTCCCAGCTGTGGGGTCCCCAGCCCCAACATCTTATTCAAATCTCAGCTCCGGCATCTCCTTCTCCAGCAGTCTGCCCAGCTTAACCCACCCCGTCCTGCAGCCAGTGTCCAGCCTGGACCCCGAGGGCCACCAGCGATGCTGAAACTGTCCTGGCTGGTGGGAGGGCGGGAGCACCTGCAAGGGACCCTGCCCTCCTGGGTCCTGGCTACCACGCACCCATGGGCAGGTTGGCAGAGGGAGCCTTGGTGGGCAGTGGGCAGCTGGGACATCTGCGAGGAGCGGGCAGCTCCGACCTCCAGCACACCCTGCTCGTTTTACCCTGTTGGGGTATGCGTGTTTGTGGGGGGGGGTGCCCCACAGGCCAATGAAGGACTTTGTCTGTACGCAGGGTCATGGGGCGCTGTGCCCGCAGTGCCAGCCCCAGGACACTGCCCCTTTGTCCGGCAGCCCGATGAGGTCACCCTCTAGGCGCCTGATCCTGGGGGACCAGCCCAGCTGCCACAGGGGCCCAGGCTGGGGGTGGGTGGGAAGAGAGAAAGGGGTCTCCCGGGTCTCCCAAGCCAGGAGCCAGGAGCGTCTTCTGGGTCTCCCACACAGGCGCAGGGTCCCAAGGCTTTGGGCCGTCCTCCACAGTTTTCCCAGGCCACAGGCAGGGAGCCGGATGGGAAGCGGGGCCACCAGGACATGGGACATAGGCGGTGCCCCTAGGGGACCCCAGCGCATGCAAGGATTTAGCCACTGAGCCGTTGCATGGTCACCTCCCCACCCCACCCCCAGTTCATTTAAGGCAAACAATTAAATAAATAAACAACTTCACAAAAATGACATCACCCAGAATTGACTGAAAGCTAGGAGACTGCATTCCGAGGCATGGAGCACCCCTCCCGTCTAATTCTAGGTTATGATCGACCCCCAAAAGCAAGCCCCCAGCTCAGGACCCTCCCTTCCCCTCCCCCTCCCCTCCGTCTCCCTCCCCTCCCCCTCTTTCCTCCCCTCTCCCCTGTCTTTCTCTCCCCCCACCCCCTGCAAACCTAGGCTTCCTTTCGGATTCCTGGCTGCCAATCGGGTCGGGCTTTTCTACAAAACATGTCACCCCCTGGTGCCGTGATGTCATGGAGGCTCATGCAGGGGGCAGGGGAGACCCCTGTCTGTCTCCCCTCAGATATGGTGGGGTGGGGGTGTGGACACGTGGCGTTAGATCAGGAGACTGCGAAGAAAAAACAAAAAAGGAAGAGGAACTGTCAGTGTTTGCTTTGAGCCGTGGGACCCACACCTAGGAGCCAGGTGTCCCTGGGCTGTGATGTGGGGAGGGGGGCACTCTGGGCAGGAGGAGGGCACATCTCGCCCAGGGCTGCCTTAGCAATGTGCACAGCAGAATAAACCTGCAGATGGTCCAGACCAAGAGCACAGAGCACTCGGTCAGCTCTGGGGCCTTAAAAGTGTGACTGTGAACCGGGACCCCCTCAAGCAAGGCCGGACGAGTCCTGGAGGTGGGGGTGGCGGTCGGGGGTCCAGGGCGGGGGCTGGGGGCAGCAGGGCCGAAGGTCCCAGCCAGAAGCAGCACTGCCCCCAGCGTGGCTTTGTGGTTGAGGTGAGGCCACCGCCACCGAGCTGCCTTCCTGGCTCTCTCTTTCACTCTGACTCGTCCTGGGAGGAGCTGTGACACTTTTTTCTTTGGAGGGAGTGGTTCTTTTTTTTTTTTTTTCTGGTTCAGCTTCATTGCATGCTGGGACAGGGAGTGGGGTGCCGGTGCCGAGGCCGCAGCTCCCCGGACCACGGCTGCGTGCCCGAGGCTGATGGGGACACGGGTGGCGGTGTGGCGGCTGGCTCTTTTATTCCTCCTGGTTCCAAGGCAAGGCGGTAAGTGTCGCCCCCTGTGCAGCCCTCTTTAGGGTGGGGGCTGTGTGTGTGCGTGTGTAGGGTCAAGAACTCAAAGCCGCACCTCCGTCTTTCCCTCTAGTAAATGGGAGATCGATGGCTATGCTTTTTTTGGGGGGGGAGGGGAAGGGTGTTCATACTTAGCATATCTCCTTTCTGGTCTTTTTTATTTTTAATAGAAAAGCATATTTACAGAAAGATCTTCCATCCACTGGTTCACTCCCCAAGGGGCCACAACGGCCAGAGCTGACCCGATCCACAGCCAGGAGCCTCTCCCGGGTCTCCCACGCGGGTGCAGGGTCCCAAGGCTGTGGGCCGTCCTCCACTGCCTTCCCAGGCCACAGGCAGGGAGCTGGGTGGGAAGTGGAGCTGCCAGGACATGAACCAGTGGCCACATGGGGTGCTGGCACTTGGAGATGGAGGGATAGCCAGTTGAACCAAGCACTGACACAGACAGCAGGAAGGGCCTGGCACCTATGCATAACTGAGCTTGGACCTTGATCCAGGCTCTGCCGTTGCTGCTGTGTGACCTCAGGTCACTTCTTAACCTCTCTGTGCATGGGCTTTCCATCTCTGTCATCCAGGGGTCAGCAGGGGGCCGGCTCCATACACTGTAGTGACACAGGGCCCCACTGGCCCTAGTGCAGCCCAGCACTGAGCAGGGAGATGGGGGTCGTGGGCTACTTCAGTGGCAGCCGGGACCAAGGGGTAACTTGCTAGTGGTAGCCGTGGATCCACTGGCAGGGGGCCCCAGCATCCAGCGTCTTTCCAGGATGAGGGGTGGAACCCTGGAGGACGTCCTTGTCCTCTCAGGGTCCTGATCTGCTCGGGGGGGTTGGGGTGGTCCTTCCAACGTTGGGCGACAGTCCCTGCAGCCCCTTCTCGGCCTGTCCTGGCTGCATACCTGCAGACTTGGGCTTGCCCGGGTGCTGCTGCTCCTGGCTGCTGGCGGGTGAGCCACTCGGTCCGGCTTTCTCCTGCCCCTATCCCGGCCCCGACGCTGGTCATGCTGCCTGCATTTCTTCCTGGGGGCCCCTCAGCCACACGCTGTTTCTCTCTGTGTCTTTTTGCCCTTTCCCACTGGGGAGACATCGCTATGGACACCCCCAAACATGTATCTCTCCCCACTATCGAATTTCTACCCGACCTCCAAGGGCTACCCAGTGGTGGACGGACAGATAAGTGGATGGAGAGATGGATGGATAAATGGATGGGTGTGTGGGTAGATTGATGAGTAGAAAGGCAGGTAAGTGAGGGTATGGGTGGATGGCAGGTCAGTGGGGGAGTGGGTGGGTGGATGGAAGGTCGTGGTAGTGCACAGGTGGGTGGCGAGTGTCTGGGTGGATGATGGCAGGGGTGCAGGACCCCTCACACATAGAGGACCGGTTGACCTCTCTTTGTTGCCTTTGCAGCCAACTGTGGACACAACAGGTGCTGTTTTCAGGACTTGCCGTATCCGGACACAGAATCAGGTTTGGGCAGCTTGCTTGTTCTGGGATGAGGGTTATGCTGGGCTCCACCTGTCCCCCTCCTTGGAAATTTCTGTCCCAGCCACCTGCATCCTGCAGCCCAGACTGGGGGGGAGGTGCATGAATGGGTGGGTAAGCAATGATTGGCTGGTGGGCAGGTGAGTGGATGGATGGATGGACACTCGGACGAATGGGTGTGTGAATGGATGGAAAGATGGATGGATGGATGGATGGGTGGATGGGTGGATGGATGGATGGATAAATGGATGGGTGGGTGGATGGGTGGATGTGTAGGTGGATGAATGGGGTGAGTGAAGGGTGGATAGATAGATACAATCCCAGTCTGTTGGCCCACTGGCAGGTTCAGGGTGCATTGGAGCAGCCCCTTCCCCTTGGAACTTCAGCTCCCTGGTAGCAAGGTGGGGGTACTTGGCTGGTCAGTGACCCTGAAGGAGGAACTGAGGTGTCAAGACCAGGAGGAAAGGTGTTTGGGGCAAAGGGCAGCTCAGCATCACAGCGCTGTGTCCGGGGTGGGCATGGCAGAGCAGAGATGACCTTTTTCCCCCTCTCATCTGACCCCAAACCCACAGGGTCTCTCCCAGGCTCAGGCGCGGGCCCCAAGGACCTGAGCTGCTACCGGATCCCCGGCGAGGGCTATGAATGCTCGTGGCAGTACGAGGGGCCGGCGGCCGGGGTCCGCCACTTCCTGAGATGCTGGTGAGGGTCTTTCTGGCCCCCAGCACACACCCCGTCCTCATCCACCAGCCAGCCCATGTTCGTGTCCCTCCTCTGCAGCTGTGTGGCCAAGCTGGGTCATGACACCTACCTATGACCTGGTTTTCCCACTCAAAAGGGATCATTGGGAGAAAGGAATGAATTGTCTCAGGGTGGGGGGCTATGCGGGTCCCAGTAGCCATTCTTTCACCTTCACCTCTTCATTTGTTCATTAACCCATCCATCCATCCTGTCAATTCAGCCACTATCCACTGACGCACTCTCTCATCCACTGACTCTCATCTGTCCACCCATCCATCCATCCACCCATCCATCCACCCACCCACCCATCTGTCTACCCACCCACCCATCCATCCACCCATCCATCCACCCATCCACCCACCCATCCACCCATCCATCCATCCATCCACCCATCCATCCATCCATCCATTCATCCATCCATCTACCCATCCATCCACTCACCCATCCATCCATCCATTCATCCATCCATCTACCCATCCATCCACCCACCCATCCATCCATCCACCCACCCACCCACCCACCCACCCATCCATCCATCCATCCATCCATCCACCCACCCACCCACCCACCCACCCATCCATCCAGCCAGCCACCCATCCATCCACCCATCCATCCACCCACCCATCCATTTACCTACCCGCTTCGTCCTTCCCTTTGTGGCCCCTCCCACTGGGAATCCTGGGGGGACCCCTACATTTCCTGCCCAGTTTGATCCCCATGGGACCCCGCAATGACAGCTGTAAGAAAAAGCTGCCAGATGTGTTGCGATGCACAAAGTCCAGGTCAGCTTCTTGCCCCTGGGATGCCCTGGACCTCCTGGGTCTGTCCTGCCTCCCCAGCCGCCAGCGCTGCTGCTACTTCCCAGCGGGTTCTGCCACCAGACTCCAGTTCTCGGAGCAAGACGGGGTGCACGTGCTGGAAGACGTCACGCTCTGGGTGGAGTCCCGCTCTGCTAACCGGACAGAGAAGTCACCCAGCATCTCCCTGACACTCTACACTTGGGGTGAGCACCCCATGTTCCCCTAGCCCCAGCCTTTGCTTCCTCTGGTCTCCCACACAGGTGCAGGGTCCCAAGGCTTTGGGCCATCCTTGATTGCTTTCCCAGACCACAAGCAGGGAGCTGGATGGGAAGTGGAGCATCCGGGACTCGAACTGGCGCCCCTATGGGCTGCTGATGGAAGATTAACCTCTTGAGCCACAGCACCAGCCGCAGTTGTTAATATTTTAAAGGTGCCATCAGGAACAGGGTTGGCTGTGGAAGTGTTGAGTCTAAACCGCAGCCCAGCAGGCTGAGCGGGGACTCGTTGTGTGGGGAAGGTTTGAGGGGCTCAGCTGCTGGCCCTGGGGGAGGAGACGGGGGGCCAATGCAATCCCGCCCACACACACTTCTCCTTGCAGTCAGATATGACCCCCCTGAAGAACCCTTCAGTCTGCTCCGGGCCCCGGGCCGGCTGCAGATCCAGTGGGAGGCCCAAGGCCAGCCGGACGGCGTCCAGGTGCAGTTTCGGCGGCGGACACCCAGCGGCCCGTGGATGTCGGTGCGTGTTTCTGGGCCCACCTCCCTGCCGCACTCTGTCTATGCCCTACACATGCGGGGCCCCGCAGTCCCCAGAGGGGGCTCCTGGCGTGGCGGAGACAGAGGCCTCCAGACTCTGAAATGTGGCCACGAGGACTACCCCACAGACACAGCTGCCTCAGCTTGAGCCCCGCTTCCCCTTGGAATCACACGTGCACTCCTCAGTGTGCCCATCAGGGAAATGGGTGCGAAGTAGGGGCCTCTGACATCATCATGTTTTACATTTCTGAGCATTTTTATCTCAAAAGTGAGGGAGGCCACAGCCACTTGTTGGTTCACTTTTCAAACGCCACAACAGGCCGAAGCCAGGAGCCAGGAGCCTCTTCCGGGTCTCCCCCGTGGGTGCAGGGTCCCAAGGCAGCCAGGACAAGAACTGGGCGTCTCATTCTGTAACACAAACTCCAGTGCTGGTTTAAATGTCACCAACCTTCTTTCCTCAATCCCATCTGGGATTTCATGCTTTCACAAAATTACGCTTAAAAATGAAAAATTAGGGGGCTGGATCTATAGCCTAGTGGCTAAAGTCCTCACCTTGCACATGCCGGGATCCCATGTGGTCGCTGGTTCGTATCCCGGCTGTTCCACTTCCCATCCAGCTCCCTGCCTGTGGCCCGGGAAAGCAGTAGAGGACGGCCCACAGCCTTGGGAGGCCCGGAAGAGCTCCTGGCTCCTGGCTTCGTATTGGCTCAGCTCCAGCCGTTGTGGCCACTAGGGGAGTGAACCAGCAGATGGGAGTTTTTTTCTCTTCTTCCAGGGCGACTGCGGCCCCCAGAATGACAGAGTCACAGGTGAAGGTAACTGCGGTGTGCGTTTATCCAGCACCTACTGTGTGTGCGGGGCGGGGGCAGCAGGGAGGGCAGAAGCAGCAGAAGCGGATCAGGTGAGCCCCACTCACTGAGCCCCACTCACTGAGCCCCACTCAGGGGAGGCCCCGTGGACACACTTCCCTCCATACCCCAGCTTGCTCCTGTATACAGTCGGAGTCTAACATGTGCACAGCAGGTCCGTTTGCAGCACCAAGCTAAATGCGGGTCCCGGTCCAGGGACCTGATCCCCCCCGGCTCCCCGTGTCACTGTAGAGTCTTGCCTGTGTCCCCTGGAGATGGAAGTGGCTCAGGAATTGCAGCTCCGACGTCGCAGGCTCGTGGGGTCAGGGACTCCTGGGGGTCCCTGGAGCAGCTGGGGCAGGCCCGTGTGCGTCCCCCCTGGTGAGAGAGTATGCAAACCCTGGGTCCCCCAGGGAGGGTGTGGGGGCGTCGGATGGGGCACAGAGCAGGTCTTGGAGACACAGCCGCCAAGGCTGCTTCTCGTAGGTGCAATAGTGCCCCTGACCCCTGACCCCTGACCCCTGTTCCCTGTGCCCCTGGCCACTGACCCCTGGCCCCTGACCCCTGGCCCCTGGCCCCTGTGCCCCTGACCCCTGGCCCCTGACCCCTCTCCCTTCGTCTTGGGGTGCTGAAGCAGCTGGGGTTCCACATATCAGCCATCACCCATAACGCTCTCCACGTCTTCTCTCGCATCGCAGAACGCCCCCCGCAGCCTGAACTGCGGCTGGCCGTGGAGCCACTGCGAGGTGATGGGAAAAGGGTCCTGACCGTGCATGGCAAGGTAACGGGGCAGAGGTTTGGGAGAATTGTGGGGCTGGGAGGGAGGCGTGGGGATCAGCGCCGAGGTCGTGGGGGGCCATGGCAGGTGTGTGACCAGACGGTGGCAGGCTGGCTGTGGGCACCATTAGGTCCTGTGTGATGGCGGGTGGGGTGCAATGGGTGGTATCAGGGCAGGGTCAGAAAGTCAGTGGACCTGACTTCTCTGAGAAGACATTCAGGACGGGCTAACCGACACAGCCGCTGGATTTGTTGAGAGAGTTTAGCTTATTTCTTTGTAAGGTAAATTAAAGGGAGAGAGATCTTCCACCTGCTGGTTCAGTCCCCAAGTCACCGCAACAACCAGAGCTGAGCTGATCCACAGCCAGGAACCTCTTCCAGGTCTCCCACGCGGGTGCAGGGTCCCAAGGCTGTGGGCCGTCCTCCACTGCTTTCCCAGGCCACAGGCAGGGAGCTGGGTGGGAAGTGGAGCACCAGGAACTTAAACCAGGCACAAACTGGATGCACATCCCGCCCAGCAACCTCCCCTTAGATGCAGGGGGTGGCGCGTGTGCCTGGACCCCTGCACCCACATGGGAGACCCCGCCGGAGCTCCTGGCACCTGGCTGGCCCAGCCCTGGCTGCTGTGGCCACTTGGAGTGTGAACCAGCAGATGGAAGATCGCTCTCTTTCTGGCGTGTAAATAAAAATAAGTGAATTTTTAACTATAAAAGGACTTGGGTTTGCTGCCTCTTCCTCTGTTGCCAGCCACCGCCGTTGGCACTGCCGGAGGGCTGCCAGGACCCGGAGGCCAGCGGCGCCGAGCTGACCTACTTCGTGCACCTGCACATGCTGTCGTGTGTCTGCAAGGCCAGCGCCACGAGGACCCTTCGCCTGGGCAAGAGGTCGCTCCTCTCAGCGGCCGCCTACAATGTCAGCCTCCTGACCCGCGATCGCTTTGGCATGAGAAGCAGACCCGGCCAGACCTGGCATATCCCAGCTGACACCCACACAGGTACGACGGGAGGGAAGCTGCGTCCCATCCCCACCCCCGGGAGCTGGACCGCGAGAGACTCAGAACGCCGCTACTGGATTCACGGCCAGGCATGTCAAGATTAGACGTGCGTGAAACCGTCTGAGTCTGCTCAAACAGGAGAGAGAGGGAGAGATCTTCCACCTGCTGGCTCACTCCCCAGATGGCTGCAGCTGCCAGGACCGGCCCACACTATAAACCAGGAGCTCCCACGTGGCATGGCAGGTGCCCAAGGGCTTGAGCCATTCCCTGCTGCCTCCCGGGGCGTACATGTGCAGGGGGATGACAGGATGACCCCTCCAGGCTCTCCCGCCCACGCCAGGCCTGATGGCTGCCCCAAATGTACACAGTGACGTCAACCTTGTGAACGTGTGACCCGCCATCTGCTAGCCTTTACAGGGCATCTTGGCAAAACGCGGGCCGCCGGGGGGCTTTTGGTGCCTCACCGCCCCTCCCCCAAGCCACCCATACCCATTACACGGGCGAGATAATTGAGGCTGAGATGGGGGTCGTGGGGAGCCGCCTGCAGGGGCTGCCCAGCAGTGGCTCAGTCAGTCCCCGATTTGGGGTTTGGGTGTCAGCCTGGCCCAGTAGCCTTGGGCCCATGGGGTGATGAGGGGAGTGGCCGGCCTCACTGTGGGAAGGGTGGACATGTCCTCGTGGCTCTGACGTCCCACACTCCACCTTGTCTCCGGAGTCCGGCCGGGCCGGGAGAGTGTCCACACTTCCAGTGTTGCCAACCCCGTGCAACAAGACGGGGAGGCGGCCTTCGACGGGGAGGCGGCCTTCGACGGGGAGGCGGCCTTCGACGGGGAGGCGGCCTTCGACGCAGGCGTCAGCCCCGGCGGCATGGCCATCGTCTCTCCACCGCCTTTCAGAACTAGGGACCCTGAACATCAGCATGGGGCCCCACGGGACCACCCTGACTTGGCCAGCCCGTGCCCGGGACACCACGTACTGCATCGAGTGGCGGCTGCAGCGCCAGGGGGCAGGCCCGGCCGGCTGCAGGCTGACAGAGGCCGCCCGCGGCGACCCTGGTCCCACTGGCAGCGCTGGCATGGGTAAGGTGCCATCTGCCTCCCCTCTCCCTCCTCAGCCCGCCCACCTGCCCCGACCTGCACGGGGGTCCTACAGGACAGAGGACAGGCTGGGACGGGACCCTCCTCTCCATCCCAGCCCGCAGGTTATGCTGTGTCTCTGGGCTCAGTTCCAGGGCGGGTCGTAGGTATGAGTCGCGCCTCTCAGGGTGAGAAACGGGTGACAAATTAATGAGGCTATTAGCGGGTGACACCCAGGCGGCTCTGGCTCTCTTACTGTCTGCCCGGAGCCTCCTGCAGTGGGGGGCGGGGAGCAGTGTCAGCCGGGACCTCAGGCTACTGGAGTATAAAGGCCTGAATAGATAGAAGAGGGATGTTGGGGGAGTAGGCAGAGTGAACTGCCTAGGAAAGGCATTTTGGAGGCAGGGCATCGGTGAAAGGGCTTTGCAGCACGGATAGGAGTTTTCCAGTAGTTGTATTATCTGCCTGACCCTTGCCTTTCCTCCCAGACACAAACAGCTGGACACCAGGTGCCGGAGACATGGAGCAGGACTGTTACCATGTCATGGTCTTCGCCTCTGCCCACCCGGAGAAGCCCACCTCCTGGGCCACGGTCCTGTCCACTTACCACTTTGGGGGCAACGGTCAGTGTGGCTTGGGCAGGGGTGTCAGCGGGAGGGCCTGGGGGTGGGAGGTGTGCAGAGAAGCACTTACTGTGTGCAAGCCAGCCCTGGGGGCTCCAAGGATGGCTGAACATGGTTGCAAGAGTCAGGGCTGGACCAGGATGGAGCCAGGAGCCTCTTCCAGGTCTCCCATGCGGGTGCAGGGTCCCAAGGCTGTGGGCCGTCCTCCACTGCTTGCCCAGGCCACAGGCAGGGAGCTGGGTGGGAAGTGGAGCTGCCGGGACTCGAACTGATGCTTTGATGATGGGATGTCCTTACTGCAGGCGGAGACTTTGTCTACTGTGCCACAAGCACAGTTGCTCAGCCGTCCCCTGGGCATGTCCGAGGCTCAGGATAGAGGGCCGACCTGGCTGTGCCCAGCTCTGACCCTTGTCCCCATGGCAGCCTCCCTGGCCGGGACCCCACACCACGTCTCCGTGAGGAATCACAGCCATGACTCGGTGACCGTGGCCTGGTCCCCGTCCCCGTTGAGTGCCTGCCCCGGGGTGCTGAAGAAATACACCGTGCGCTACCGTGACGAAGAGAAAGACAGCGTGTCAGGTGTGTGGCAGGGTCGGGGGGAAGCCATGCATATCGTGACCATCACCATGGCTATCATGGCTCAATGGGCTTGTCCTCTCTGGGCAGGAGCCAGCATCCCATAGGGGCGCAGGTTCTAGTCCCAGCAGCCCCACTTCCCATCAGCTGGCTCATTCCCCAAACACCCACAGGGTCAGACAGTAAACCTCCTCTTCGAGGTCTCTCACGCGGGTGCAGGGTCCCAAGGCTTTGGGCCGTCCTCAACTGCTTTCCCAGGCCACAGGCAGGGAGCTGGGTGGGAAGCGGGGCTGCCGGGATTAGAACTGGTGCCCATATGGGATCCCAGTGCATGCAGGCAGAGGATTAGCCTGTTGAGCCATAGCAGGTGCCCAAACACTTGGGCCAGCCCCTGTTACCCAGGAGCAGGGAGCTGGGAGTCAGGGCTGGGACTCAAACCTGGGTCGTGGGTGTCAGGGTTCCTCCATGGCAAGCGCGCGCACTGAGATGTTCGGAGGAGCTGGTGGGGCGGGGGGCGGGTCGGAGGTGGGGTGAGGTGAGGAGAGGGGCTCCCCTCCTGGCCCGGCGTGTGGGCCCTCAGCCCTGCAGGGGTGAGGAGAGGGGCTCCCCTCCTGGCCCAGCGTGTGGCCCCTGAGCCCAGCAGGGGTGAGGAGAGGGGCTCCCCTCCTGGCCCAGCGTGTGGGCCCTGAGCCCTGCAGGGCTGAGGAGAGGGGCTCCCCTCCTGGCTCAGCGTGTGGGCCCTGAGCCCTGCAGGGGTGAGGAGAGGGGCTCCCCTCCTGGCCCGGCGTGTGGGCCCTGAGCCCTGCAGGGCTGAGGAGAGGGGCTCCCCTCCTGGCCCAGCGTGTGGGCCCTGAGCCCTGCAGGGGTGAGGAGAGGGGCTCCCCTCCTGGCCCGGCGTGTGGGCCCTGAGCCCTGCAGGGCTGAGGAGAGGGGCTCCCCTCCTGGCCCAGCGTGTGGCCCTGAGCCCTGCAGGGGTGAGGAGAGGGGCTCCCCTCCTGGCTCAGCATGTGGCCCCTCAGCCCTGCAGGGGTGAGGAGAGGGGTGTCTGACGGCCCCTGCTCTCTCCCTGCTTCCCAGCAGAGCAATCCCAGGACCCCACGAAGACGCAGTTCACTCTGCGTGGCCTGCGAGCGGGCGCAGCCTACACGGTGCAGGTGCGGGCGGACACGGCTTGGCTGCGCGGTGCCTGGAGCCCGCCCCAGCGCTTCCGTGTCGGTGAGCACGGGCGCCCCGGGTGTGTAGACATGCCTGCGGGGTGTGATGGTCCCTGCCAGCCCCACCGTGACCCACTTTCAGCCCTAGCCGGCCCCTGGCCCTGCCCCCCACCTCGCCCTCCAGCTCTCTGTCCCTCCCTCCCTCAGTGCTCCCATTACACCTTCCTCACCAGTCTTGTTCTCAAACTCCTACTCACCCTTCAAAACCCAATGCAAAAGCCCCCTCATCACGAGGCCATCCAGGCCTTGGGTCTGAGCCGTGGAACAGGTGCATCTCCCGACCGCCTGTTGCAATGGGTGGGTGGGAGGTCTCTCCCCCTCAGCCCCAGCTCCTTGCTCCTTCTAGAAGTCCGGAGGTCCCATGTGGCCATGGTCTTGGCTTCGCTGGGAAGCTTCTTTAGCGTTCTCCTCGTGGGCATCGTCGGGTACCTGGGCCTCACCAGGTAAGCCTGCGTCCCTCCCCCTGGCCCCTGCGGGGTCCCTGACATGAGTGGGTACCAGACTGGAGGGTGCCCACTTCATGGAGGAGTAAAGCGAGGCTCGCAGGGCTGGCGGGGAACCCTGCGTGCGGGTGTCAAGGTGACATTGGAACCAGCCTGCCCCTCCAGCCCCAGCTGCCTTCCCTGGGTGGGGCAGACTAAGGCGTGAGGCTACCCCAGCTACAAAGTGACAGTCCAGTGGGTTTTAACCACCCCCCTTCCTCCTCTCCCTCCTCCCTGTCCTCCCACTGCCAGGGCTGCCCAGCTCCTGTGCCCGCCGCTGCCCACCCCCCGTGCCAGCACCGCCATCCAGATCCCTGGCACCCTAGGGCACCAGGTGAGCACCCCTTCCTCACTTCTGGGTCCCATATGGTGGGTGCAGGCTCTGGTCCGCGGTTGGGGGCTGACGGGGTGCTCCTCCGAACGCTTGCCATTGGCCGGAGGGGCGCACCCTGGCCTTCCTCCAGCTTGCCTGGTCTCCCCTGGCAACCGCAGCCCACAAGAACCTCAAGGCCATTGCTGATTGGTTCAGCTTGCATCACAGGCTCACCCCGAGCCAATTCCTGAAGGCCAGGGGCTCTGCAGCATTGTAGCAAGCTGAGAGGGAGCCGTGGTCAAGTCCATCCGCAGGAGGGCACAGGGAGGCCGGGTTCAAGTTCACAGAGTTCTCAGGGTTTTGGAGCACTCGGCCAGTGGTAGCTGGGCTGTCCCTGTGTGGACCGGCCATCAGGGTCCCACCCTCTCACTTTCCAGACTTGGCTGTGGACCAGCCCAGAGGGCTTCCCGGAGGAGGTGTACCCACAGCAGGCCCTAACAGTGCTGGAGCCGTCATCGTGGGACACAAGAGAGGGGACTGAAGCCTTGGAGGAGAAGCCAGAGCCACCCTTGGGCGCTCCCCGGCTGGCCCTGGACGAGCAGGCCGGGACACAGCCACAGGGCCAGGAGGGAGGTCTGGGTGCCCACGGGCCAGGCAGGCATGGGGCTCCCCGCCTCCCACTGCTCCCTGGGGTCATCCTGCAGGACCCCCCGCTCAGGGACCCCTGGTGGGCTTGGGGACCCGAAAGGGACAAACAGACCGACTGACGTGGCTGGTTCGCCAGCCCCTGCTGTGTGCTCTGCCCCCGCCCCTACCAAGGCTGGCCGGTTGGACTGGTGTGACCCACAGAGGCCCAGAATAAGTGGGCGGGTGGGTGAGCCTGAGGTGGGAACCCCAGAAACTGGTGGGATGGGGGCGGAGGAGGGATGAGCTCCCCAGAGGCTGGTGGCTGGACAGCAGCTGGGCTCCCCGGGACCCCCAAACTCGGACTCAGCGATCCTCAGCCATCTTGCCCCGCTGTGGCCACCAGATGGCAGCAGCGGCACGTGTCGGTCCTGGCCAGTTGATGGGCAAAGGACAATGGGCCATGAGGCCTGGGTGGTGGGCTGCCTCGGTGGAGCACGCCGCTGCCTCGGTGGAGCACGCCTCGGCCGGGGGGCTCCCCAAGCCCACCTCACAGCTAGTCCATCTCTGGCCTGCCCTCCAAGGCAGGCTGGCCAGCTGTGACCCTGGGGGCGCCGTGTGGGTGGCCACCCGAGCTGGCCGCATACCCACACCCTCGAGGGCCTCTTGTCCACACTGCCGGCAGGGTGAGGCACACTGGGAAGGCAGCACTGCCTGAGAGCCTGGATCCAGCTGTGCCTGCTGCCCACCCTGTCCCACCACGTCCCTCTTTGTCCCAGAGTGAGAAGATGGGGAGAGCTTGTGAGACACTTGAGGACGGCCCAGAGCCTTGGGACCCTGCACCCGCGTGGGAGACCTGGAGGAAGTGCCTGGCTCCTGGCTTCGGATCGGCGCAGCTCTGGCCATTGTGGTCACTTGGGGAGTGAATCATTGCATGGAAGATATTTCTCTCTCTCTCCTCCTCTATATGCCTGACTTTGCAATAAAAATAAGTAAACCCTTAAAAAAAAAAAAAAACCTGGGTCCAAGTCCCAGCTACCTCGATCACAGGCGCCCCCAGAGGACACCAGCTCCAGGGCTGGGGTCCCCCCCAACCCCACTGCGGGGAGACCCAGATGGCGCTTCTAGCTCCAACCTGGCCCAGCCTGGGCTGTTACAGCTGTGAGGGGGCGCGAACCGGCAGGTGGAAGACCACTCTCTCTGAGCCTCCACCTTCCAAATCACCAACGGCCAGAGCTGAGCTGATGCGAAGCCAGGAGCCAGGAGCCTCTCCCGGGTCTCCCACACGGGTGCAGGGTCCCGAGGCTGTGGGCCGTCCTCCGCTGCTTTCCCAGGCCACAGGCAGGGAGCTGGATGGGAGGTGGGGCTGCTCCCATATGGGATGCTGGTGCGTGGGAAGTGGGGCTGCGGGGATTAGAACTGGCGCCCATATAGGATCCCAGCATGTGCAAGGCGAGGACTTTAGCCGCTAGGCCACCACGCTGGGCCCATCTCTCTCTGTCTCCTCCCCTCTCTTTCCTTTTCTCTCTCTCCCCCTCGGTTCCAGGACCCCCAGGCCTTCAGTCAAGTTCACACTCTCCACTAACCCTGGCAGCCTCAGGGACCCTCCCCAGGGAACTGTCAGCTGGGGACACAGGCTTTTCTGCTCAGCCCGCGGCTGCTCCTTGGCGCCCCCCCCCCCCACACCCTCCTGGCATTATAAAAGCAGTGGGTGGCCTCCAGGGCCCCACCCTGTGGGAGCCGGCTTCCCAACCGTCCAGCCTGGCAGGTGGCCCAGGCACAGTCCCAGCATCCAGCGGCACTGGTGGCTGCTTGCTACTGGCTGGGCACAGGGACCCACACAGAGGAGGGGCTGCAGGCAGCAGCGTAGGGGTCAGGAATGCCCGTGGAGGGCGGGAGGGAGGGCCCCCCCAGCCCCGGGCACCTCCCCTGCCACACTGGGGAGTGACTGTCCACCTAGCTGGGACAGTGGTCAGATGCCCCGAGGGGGCCAGGGGTACATATGTAAGATCTTTAACCAGTTCACGGGAAAGGCAGGGCAGGTGCACTGGGTAACAACGCAGCACGCGTCCATCCGGGACCAGGCTCTGGCGCTCTGCACCTGTGCGCACCCTGGGCGGTGGCAGGTGACTGCTCAGGTGCTGGGGACCCTGCACCCGCGTGGGAGACCTGGAAGAAGCTCTTGGCTCCTGGATTCGGATCAGCTCAGCTCTGGCTGTTGTAACTGCTTGGGGAGTAGACCGGCACATGGAAGAGATCTCTGTCTCTCCTTCTCTGTGTAAACCCGCCTTTGCAATAATAAATAAATAAATATATATTTAAAGAGCCAGTGACAAGAATCCATTAATGAACCGTCAGGGTTCCCCAGTGGATCCCAGTGTGCGAGTGCAAGATCCCGCATGGAGGGGGATGTTCATTACAGGATACAAACACACACACACACACACACACACACACACACACACACACACTCTACTGCTCAGCCAGCAAAAGCACCAGAGGCGTCCCTGGTGGCAACAGCAATGACTCGGGAGGACGCAACCTTCCAGGGACGTAAGCCAGGCGCTGCGGACACATCAGACGTGAATTTATGTCTCTGGGGAATCTTAAGAATAATTTCGTCACCAGGGCAGTGAGGGGGATCAGGGTGTGTGGAGACAGCCGGAGCACCAAGGTTCCGGGCTTCCGCAGGGCCCAGCCATGACTAGTGTGGGTTCTGGGGGGCTGTGAACAGCCACTGGGACATCTCTTGACCCCTCAGGCCCCACCTGCTGGGAGACACCGCAGCTGGATCTCCTGAGGTCACTGCAGCTCCGGGGGGACCCCAGCCTCAGCCCCTTCCGCAGCATCCAGGCCCTGCCTGCTCCCCGGCAGCATGGGGGAGGCGGGTGTGGTCTGCGTGGGGTCCCTCCAATTTCTAAGTCACCAGCCAGACACTAGTTGTTCTTCCAACAACCTCTCCATCATGTTTTATGGAGCTGCTGGCCCGGGGCCAAAGCCCTAACTGTGTGGGAAAGTCCACGTCCCCACCCCCTGGAGGCCTTGGCAAAATGGCTGAGCCATAGGAGCCTGTGGTGGGGGGCGTCATCTTCAACTTCCAGGTGAGTGTCCTGCGGTGGCCGTGTGTGTGTGTGTGTGTGTGTGTGTGTGTGTGTTCCAAGGGGCTTCCATGTGCCTCGGTGGCACAATAGCTCAGTGGCTAAAATCCTCGCCTTGCACGCTGGGATCCCCTATGGGGGCTGGTTCGAGTCTCGGCTGCCCCACTTCCCACCCAGCTCCCTGCCTGTGGCCTGGGAAAGCAGTGGAGGACGGCCCAAAGCCTTGGGACCCTGCACCCGCATGGGAGACCTGGAAGAGGCTCCTGGCTCCTGGCTTCAGATCAACTCAGCTCTGGCTGTTGTGGCCGCTGGGGGAGTGAGCCAGTGGATGGAGGATCTTTCTGTCTCTCCTCTCTGTCAATCTTCTTTTCCAATAAAAAAACAAAATAAAGCTTTAAAAGAAAGAAAAAATACAACACAGTGGGGTGGGGGAAGAGGGAATTTCCAGGGACTGTTAAGAATCCTGATTCCTTATCGGCAAGGCGAGCCCGGGAGAAGGCAGCGAGACCAGTCCTGCCACATACTGGGACCATTGGGGCACTGTCAGCTGGAGAGCTGAGTGGGCGTGTGGGTGGAAGGGCCCCAGGTGCCTTCACACGGAGAGTGCGCCTCTGCCTGGTGGGACCCCATGCTGGGAGCTGCAACACGGCTCCCTGCTTCTTCACACAGCTCAGCTCCCAGCACAGAGGGCGCCAGAGGCGGACATGGAACAAAGTGTGGTAAGAAGGTTCTGAAAGAGCCTCAGCAACGTAGCCTAGTGGCTGAAGTCCTCATCTGCACACACTGGGATCCCATATGGGCACTGCTGGTTTAAGCCCCGGCAGCTCCACTTCCACCCAGCTCCCTGCCTGTGGCCTGGGCAAGCAGTGGAGGACGGCCCACGGCCTTGGGACCCTGCACCCACATGGGAGACTTGGAGGAAGCTCCTGGCTCCTGGCTTCAGATCGGCTCAGCTCCGGCCATTGCAGCCGCTTGGGAGTGACTCATTGGATGGAAGATCCTCCTCTCTGTATATCTGCCTTTCCAATAAAAATAAATAAAATCTTAAGAGAGCAGAGTGCAGGGGACTCGAACCCGGGTAGCTCACCCGGACAAATTTCCCCGTCCTGGAGCACAGAGCAGTTAGTAGGACTGGCACTTCACACTGGCTCACTGGGAGAATAAGTCACGTATTCACACAGCAAGCACCCAGTCGGCGGTCCTGGCGAGGAGGGAAGGAGGGCTCAGGGCACCCGAGCTGAGTGCGCTGAGCCGAGTGCAGCCGCGCCGAGCGGAGCCCAACCGAGCCCAGCTGAATGCAACTGAGCTGAGCCGAGCGGGGCCAAACAGAGCCGAATACAACCGAGAGCAGCCGAGCCCAGCCGCTGCCTTCCCCAGGGTGCGAACAGTCGTCGTCTCAGCGCTGGCTGCCTCAGGGCGGTTGGAACCGGATGGCGCTTGCAAACTGAAACCTGGCCGCAGACTCTGGCCACCCACTGGTGAAACCCGAGGGCAGGGCAGGGCAGGGACAGGGCCGCCCCATCTGTGGGTCACCTGTTGCCTGAGACTGCAAGTTTTATAGAGCAAAGACTTGCCTCAGATGTCTGCAGCTGAACCCCAGCTTCCCCCACCAACCCAGGGCTTTGGGGGCCAGCATTATCTATTCTTTTTAAGAGATTTCTTTCCTCAAATGGCCACAATGGTCAGGGCTGGGCCAGGCCAAAGAACTCATCCACGGCTCCCAGCAGGGTCTCAAGCATTCGGACCCTCCTCAGCTGCTTTCCCAGGCCCACCTGCAGAAACGGAACAGCTGGGATGCGAACCGGCACCCATGCATGATGCCGGCACCACAGACAGGATTAGCTTGCTAGGCCACTGCACCAGGCCCTGTCTGGCTCATTTTGAAGTGGGCATTGCCCAGTGGGTGGAGCACCTGATCTTCCACGTCATTGCTTACTTGGCATCATTGGGGTTGGAGTCCCAGCCCTGTCTCCTGCACGTGGGTGCTCCTGGAAAGTTTCAGCGAAAATGAATGAATATTGACAAGGCTATGATGAGAACTGTCCTTGCTGTGTGGGGAGTTAAGCCTTCACCCAGGGTGCCGGCATCCCAGATTCAGGCCATTTCTCAGTCCCAGCAGCTCCACTTCCCACCCAGCTCCCTGCCTGTGGCCTGGGAAAGCAGTGGAGGACGGCCCAAAGCCTTGGGACCCTGCACCCGCGTGGGAGACCCGAGGGAAGCTCCTGGCTCCTGGTCTCAGGTCAGCTCAGCTCAGGCTGTTGTGGCCACTAGGGGAGTGAACCAGTGGGTGGAAGATCTTTCTGTCTCCCCTTCTGCTGCTAGCTGTTTTTTTAAAATAAACAAGTCTGACTGTCTTAAAAACAGGTCCATCTGAGCTCTGTTGCTCAGTGTTACAAAGCTGGGCTCACACACCCTCCTTAGCTACTTTGTTTCCAGGCCACTGTGGCTGCTAAGCCACCCTGAACGCCCTATGCAAAATCCTGGGTTTTGGAAACCCTTGTTACACAATGATGCAAATGGCCTCTGCCAGCTGCTGCCCCTGCCGCCATGGCTGGGCAGCTGTGCCTTCCTGTCCCCAAATGCTTCCGCATTCACTGGAACCCATGCAGAGCAGGCGTGGGCCTGAGCGCCTGAGACACTCCCCTCCCACGCTGGCGAACCTGGGTCCCTGGGCAAGGACCTCCTGGGCTGGCTCAAGGAGTCGGGTCTGTGCCATCCACAAGGGAGACCCGGATGGAGCCCCAGCCTCTGCTCCCTCTGGATCTCCCATGCAGGGGCAGGGTCTCAAGGCTTTGGGACATCTTTTGCTGCCTTCCCAGGCCACAACAGGGAGCTGGAAGGGAAGTGGAGCAGCCGGGACTTGAACTGGCGCCCCTATGAAATGCTAGCATTGCAGATGGCAGCTTCACATGACGTGGCACCACACGGGGCCCCAAATATCCTCTATTTATTTTTGGCATTCCTTTTGGGTCTGCGACCCCTTCCAGCAGTGGCCACTTGAGCCGGAGTGTCCAGCCCACTGGCCGGCCCTTGGCAAACAAGCCCGTCCCATCTCCGTGTCAACAGCTGGCGACGTTCGCCGTGCCCAGCTGGCAGCACGCCTTCCCTGCCATTCGATCCCGTCATCACTCGACACCAGCTAAGCAGTTTCCTGGATGTCGGGGTGCAGCTGGGGTGGTGACAAGCTCGGAGCGAGCCAGGCACCCGTGTCTGTCCCCGCCAGCCCTCCTCGGAGCGGGGTGAACCCCAACCTTCCACCTGGTGCCAAGCTGGGCCAAAAGGCCTCCTGGCTCCCCACCCCCATCACACAGCCAGAGCTGGGACTTGAACCACGGAGTCAACAATTGACCCAACAGTGACCCCCAGCACCTGCCAGGCCCCTCCATGCATTTTGCAACAGACACTCCACCCGGGGTGCATTCAGTGAGCGCCTGCTGCATGCATCCCTCCCACCTCACCCCCTGGGTTCCAGAGGGGACACTGAGAAAGAGGGTGGGTGTAGGGAAGAGACGGGTCCTAGGAAGCCGAGGGGTCTCTGGGAAGGGATGTTGGAAGGTGGGTGTCAATGCCGTGAGGAGGGTGGGGTGGCTGGTGAGGCCACGTGGGGACAAGGCGGCAGGGGTTGTGGGTCACATGTCCCTGGCTGGGCAATGCTGGGTTCCTGGGGGGCTGCCTGGGTGCTGGACACTACTGAGTGGCAGGGAAGGGGGGGCAACAAAAGGACAGGGTGGCCGTTGGGCTTCGGGGCCACAGAAAGCCCCATGGGCATTGTGGCTGGGCAGGTTAAGCCCATGTCCCGGGCTGTTCCACTTCCCATCCAGCTCCCTGCTCAGGCACCTGGGAACACAGCAGGTGATGGACCAAGCACCGGGGGCCCTGTACTCGTGCAGGAGACCCAGATGGAGCTCCTCGCTTTGGGTTGACCCAGAGCAGGGCAGATCTCTCTCTCTGCCAACTCCTCTTCATCCGTGTAAACCCCAACACCCATGCCCCTACCTCCCGGAGGGGTCCCTCTCCAGCTCTCAGGCCTGCTGCCCGCATGGGCCACTCTGACCCCACAGGTACCTGGGTCTGCCTGACCCCTGGCGTGTGTCCTGGCGACTGTCCATCTGTACCAATCCTGGTGGTCCTAAGACCTTAATCACCTCTAGGTCTCCGCCCACCGGCCCGGCCGGAGCCACATCTGTGAAGCAATGCTTGGACCTGTGTCTGACTACCTGTAGCTTTAAGGGGCCACGCGTGACCACCTGCCCATGTCGGGACCAAAAGTCAGCAGAGGGAGGGACCTGCCTGCCACACGTGGCCAGGGGGTGTGTGAGCTTATGCCTCAGTTTCCCCACTGCAAAGGGCATTTACACAATTCGCCGAGGATCAGACGTGATGGGGCCGCCTGGCATGGCTTCCTCCTGGGCCAGGCTTCCAGCCCGGGCCTTTCTGGGGACTTTTCCTGAACACCGGCGCCAAGGTGGGGCCGGGTGAGGGCGGAGGCGCGGGTGGCCACCAGCCCCTGGCGGGCATCCAGCTCCCATGTGGCCCTGCTACACACCCCAAGGGGGCGTTTCCTCTGCACGCTGGAGGCCCCAAGCTCACCGTGCCGGGCCAGCTTGCTTGCACACCTGCCTGCGATCAGGGGAGTGGCGCCCAGGCTGCTGGACCTCCTCGACTCAGCCTGGGATGCAATAAGTTGCAGGGTGGGCTTGAGCCCTGGGCCGTATACACTGTGAAAACAAACAAACAAAACCCTTTAGGCACCTGCTGGCTGTGTATGCCCAGCTGGCAGGGCCCCACTCACAAGCTGGTGTGGCCAGAAAGAATACAAACACATGGCAGGGCTCGTCCTGGACCGGCGAGGGTGGACCAGGAGGGGCAGAGATGCGCAGACACGGGGGCGGGGGTCTGGCCTGTGGGGCAGCAGGTGCAGCGCCCACGGGTGGGCCCAGGCTGGACACACACACACCCGCAGGCTTGGAGTCCCAGGCTTGGAGGGGGAGGCGCCAGGTGGCCCCACGGCACCACCCTGGACAAGGACACGCCGTCCTGGGACTGCAGCCCGGAAGAGGCGAGAGAGGAGGGACACGGCCCCCTCGCATCCGCCTGCACACCCCAGTGTGCGCTCTGCTCGGGACAGAATGTGTCCGGGGAGAGGCGGGCGGCTGTGGTGCCTGGTGGCTGCAGGATTCCTGAACAGCCGCCCAACCGGGCCCCCAGCCAGAGGCAGCCGGGCAAAACAAGCTACTGTGAGCGGGTGCAGCCAGGGCGGGCCGGGGTGACACCCTTACCCCAAACACAAGCTGTCACCCTCGCAAGCTGCGCGGCCAGGACCAGGAGCATGTGGGGTGGGGTCCCTTTGGTGTGCACTGGGCTCTGGGGCCAGACTCCATATTCAAACATGCAAGCAAACAAGTGAATTTCTAAGGAGAACAACAACAAAAGCTGGGCTGGGAAGAGGCAAGAGCCAGACAGTGGGGTGAGGGTGGTCACTGAGGCGGGAGCAGGGTCCCAAGGCTGTGGGCCGTCCTCCACTGCTTTCCCAGGCCACAGGCAGGGAGCTGGGTGGGAAGTGGGGCAGCCGGGAATCGAACCGGGCGCCCCTATGGATGCTGGCACCACGAGCGGAGGTCCAAGGCACTACGCCACACACAGCGACGTCAGCCCACTTGAGGGTTTCTGCAGAGCAGCCAGGGAGGAAGGGCCGAAGTGGGAAGGGTTATGATTGAAATGGAACATCTTCCTCCGGGACTCCCCTTCCAGCACCCCTCCCTGTGTTCCCTGAGTAAGACGTCCTGCGCCAGCCCCGGCCTGCGCGGCATTTATCTGCCGCAGAAAGGACACGCCTCCTCCCTCCTGCGGGATCAAGTTCCTCACAGTTGTACACTCGGCAGTTCTGAGGACACGGGGCGCCTTGGCCTCCCCCGGGAGGGGGAAGCTGGTGCGACACCTGCACCCACTTCGGCAGCTGGAGAGTCAAAGCGGGGTGCTCATCTCTTGAATACCCTGAAGGACAGGCAGCTCACCCCCTCTCCAGGCCGGAATGCCAAGTGACCGCTCCTCCCTGCTGCCGCGCCCCTGTGACCACCATAGCCTGGTACATCCTGAACCTGATGTTACCAGGACAACTGTCCCCTCCTCCCCTGGGGGCGGACGCCCCTGCCGGACAGAGGAGTCCCTCTCACTGCCCCTCCCCCTCCCGGGACAGAAAGAGCTGGAAGCATGGTAGTCTAGCGGCTAACATCCTCGCTGTGCACGCACCAGGATCCCATCTGGGCGCTGGTTCAAGTCCCAGCAGCCCCGCTTCCCACCCAGCTCCCTACCTGTGGCCTGGCAAAGCAGTGGACCCTGCACTCACATGGGAGACTCAGAAGGGGCTCCTGGCTCCTGGCCTCGGATCAGCTCAGCTCGGGCTATTGTGGCCACTTGGGGAGTAAACCAGGAAATGGAAGATCTTTCTGTCTCTCCTTCTCTCTGTAAATCTGCCTTCCCAATAAAAATAAACACATCTTAAGAAACAAAAACAAACCAGCATGTATTCCTGGGTGCTGTCAGAGCAGGGTCACTGGCGGCCTGTCCCAGGCGCCCGGGCCCGGGTGGGGTCCTGGAAGCGGGCACAGCCCTCTCTCTGCTGCACCCTGACCGTTTTTTTATCTTTCGTTTTGGCATCACCATGCGCCTGTGTGGGACAGAGCAGTAAATTGTGGCAAGCAGTAGTCGGCCTGGGGTCATGGAAAATACTAGAACTTCCCTTCTCACACTCCGGAGTGTGTTGGCTGGCTTCCCCTCCTCCTCCGCACGGGCGAGGCTGCGAGGCCGTGCCTCCGGGTGGGCGACGGGCAGGATCCAGGAGCAGAGGGGCTTGGGGGACCCCCGCCTGGATCCAGCTCGCAGTGGAAGGCAGCAGGGAGTGGCTGAGGCCTCGGGTCCCTGCGCTGCCTCCCGCTGCGGGCTTGCCCTGCTCCCGCCCTTGCGCCAGGGCCTCAGTCTGTCTGGACCTGGGGTCCTTCCCTGCAGCACCCGCGCCCCCCTGGCCCCTGGACGCGCGTCCCGCCCGGCGGCCGGAATGCAGACGAAGCTATAGACACACTCCTTCTCTCTCCACACGGTTAATATTTTTCTCCAAAAATAATTGTACAAAAGAGAAGGCTTTCTTAAGGCATATCGGAAATGTTGGGTCCCGGGGGGCCCTGCCCCCACCGCCACCGGGACTCTGCCGTCGGGGGAGGGCCGACCCAGCTGCCCCTCCCGACACACCCCCTCCCCCGCCCTGCAACTTCTTCCCTCCTGGACGCAGGACACGCTGGCTGGTCCCCTCTGTCACACTCTGCCAACACGGCAGGACCCCCACACACCGCTTAGGGTCACACAGCCGGGGGCTACCTGTCCCTTCCTCCCTCGGGTCTGCAGGACCACTGCCCTCCCCCCGGGCACCAGAGTCCACCGCCGAGTGGACGCGCCTCAAGCATCACAGCTCCGACCTCCTCCCACATCCCCTATCCCCCACAAATACACTCCGGCTCACTCTGCGCTGCCTTCTGACAACTCCTACACACACAGCAAAGCCTCAGCCAAAAGGCCCTTTCTTCTCCTGCTCTCCCAGCCCAGGGTCCCTCCTAAGGTGGCTGCACCTCTCATCTCTCTCCTGGGGACCCTTGAGGCCGGACCCAAAGCTCAACCGGCAGTACCAATCTCGGCTCAGGCTGTTGGGCGTGCGAGCGCTTCCATGAACGGCCAAAGTCAGAATCCCGCCTGGCGCCTCACGCCGACTCAGAAATGTCAGACCGGTGCACGGCTGGTCTGGCCGGCTCCCTCTGCCATGCCCTCCCTGAGGCGTCCACGTGCGGCTCAGCAGGTCATGCAGCGTGGTCTCTGGGCCTCCGCGGGCGGGTTGGGGTCCTCCTAGGACACACAGCCCCCCATGAGCCCCAGGGTGACGGGCCTGGGTTCCCTCCACCACCACCCCGAGTACCGGAAGCGATGCTGGCGGCGGGGTTGAAGTTAGGGGCATGGAGGCTTTGGGCTGTCCAGGCACCCGCAGGAGTTTCTACCAACACCTCCCACTCGTGGCAGGTGCAGGGGGTATAACCTGAACCCCACGCAGGCGCACTCACCTCGGCGTACAGAGGCGGCGGGCGGTAGCGGAACTCCCGGATGTAGGCGAAGAAGGGCCCTTCAAGGCTGAGCTCGGGGTCCAGCAGCGGCGGGAGGAGGCCCTGCTCGGTGCCATGGGCCACCACCTCGGAGTACTCGGGAGGGGCTGCAAGGAGCGGACATGGAGGCTGAGCCCGCCGGAGGAGCAGGAGGAGGGGCGCAGCGGGGCTGGCATGGGGGTGCAGCGGGGCTGGCATGGGGGTGCATGCTGAGGGAGCGGCATGGGGGCGCAGCGGGGCTGGCATGAGGGGGCAGCGGGGCTGGCATGGGGGGGCAGCGGGGCTGGCATGGGGGTGCATGCTGAGGGAGCGCCATGGGGGCGCAGCGGGGCTGGCATGGGGGCGCAGCGGGGCTGGCATGGGGGTGCATGCTGAGGGAGCAGCATGGGGGTGCAGCAGGGCTGGCATGGGGGTGCATGCTGAGGGAGCGGCATGGGGGCGCAGCAGGGCTGGCATGGGGGTGAATGCTGAGGGAGCGCCATGGGGGTGCAGCAGGGCTGGCATGGGGGTGCATGCTGAGGGAGCGCCATGGGGGCACAGCGGGGCTGGCATGGGGGTGCACACCGGGGAGTTCTTTGTCCCCGTCCATCCCTCACAGCTCACCTTCCGGGTGCTCGGGCAGGGCTCCCAGCCCCCAGTCGAGCAGCAGGCCGGCGTGGCTGCCCACGCTCAGGGAGCGGCGGCCGAGCGGGTGCAGGGGGACTGTCCCGATGACCAGCGGCAGCTCCAGCAGCAGCTTGGACGTGCCGGGAATGTCCACACACACCTGCAGCAGGTGCAGGAGGGTCACCCGGTGGGCGCCGGCCACGCCCACCTCCAGCAACAGCTCCACGAGGCCCCGCCCACTCATCTAAGGCTCCACCCATGCCCTCAAGCCACGCCCACCGCAAGGAACTCCCTCCACCCACCCACACCAGGATCCACAAACCAAAGGAATGCCAACCCCGCCCACCTCCCTCCAGCCACGCCCACCTCCCTCCGACCCCCGCCCACACCACAGGCCACGCCCACCCGACCCCGCCCACCTTGAGGCTGTAGTCCACGTGCAGCACGCGGCAGCGCAGGATGGACGGGCCCACGGGCGGGATGCGCAGCGCCCGGCCGTGCCACAGTGCCCGGTGCCCGGCGCCCACGGGCTCGCCTGCCACGCTGGCCACCACCACGCGCTTCTGCTTGCGGGCGCCGCGCGCCATGAACGTCTGCGTCTGCACCACGGCGGCGCGGGGCAGCACGGGCCGCGTGGAGCTGTTGTGGATCTCGGCGAACACGGGGATGACCTCTCCTGCGCAGAGGAGGCGGTGGGGCCTCGGCCTCGCCGGGGCACCCCTCCAACCTGCACCCCTCCAACCTGCACCCCTCCAACCTGCACCCCGGCAACCTGCACCCCCAGGGCCCTGTGGCCCCACTGCCCCACCTGCCCACCTGCCCACACCCCAACCACCCCACCTGCCCACCTGCCCACACCCCACCACCTCACCTGCCCACCTGCCCACACCCCACCACCCCACCTGCTCACCTGACCATGCCCCTGACCACCTCACCTGCCCACCTGCCCACCTCCCAACCACCCACCTGCTCACCTGCCCACACCCCACCACCCCACCTGCCCACACCCCACCACCCCACCTGCTCACCTGCCCACCACCCCACCTGCCCACCTGCCAACCACCCACCTGCCCACCTGCTCACACCCCAACCACCCACCGCCCCACCTGCCCACCTGCCCACACCCCAACCACCCCACCTGCTCACCTGGCGTGTACCCTTTGCGGTCTATCTTGGCTGACAGGGACACGAGGCCCCGGTTACAATACCAGGAGCGTGCAAGCTTTTCCCGAGCGCCAGCTTGCGGTGCCTGGGCCACAATGGAGAGTGACAGTGAGAGGGAGAGAGTGAGAGAGATTCAAGGAGAACCAGCAAGAGAGAGACAGAGGAGAAAGGAGAGGCAGAGAGAGCTGGGTCACTGTGTGCACACTGCAGACACCACCCACCTCCAAGTTTGGGGTTTCCGCGAGTATTCCCAGGAATTCCCTACAGCTCAGGGCCAGCTCGTGTTTGCAAGGACAGAATGAACGCTCTCTGGACCTAGGGAATCAGGAGCCTCCCTGCCGGCCCTGGCCGTCCTCCCCTGCCTCGCACCGGGGCACTGCGAGGCCAGAACACTGCCCAGCGCCACACAGGTGCAAATGGGCACGCCCGGTGTTTGCATTCAGTGCCCCTGGGCGGTCCGTCCCCTGCGGCACGACCCTCTGAGGCAGAGCTGCCAGCGTGGGGTCAGCCAGCTGAGCCAGCCCCGTGTCGGTGGGCATCCTAGCTCACCAGCAGGGCGGGCGTGTTGATGTCCACGGGTTCAATCACGGTGAACACCTTTTTGGCCCGGCGGGCTGGGGCCCAGGGCCGGTGCAGGGTGGCCTTGATGCAGTAACGGACGCTGCCGTGCTTGCCTTCGAAGGAGGTCACCAGGGTCCTGGTGGGGGTGGGGGGAGGAGGGATACAGGAGGGCAAGGGCTTCAGGAGGGGAGGGATGGGCCATGGAGACACAAACAGAGCCAGGCTGTTCCAAAGGGTGAGCGGAGCGAGGCTGCTGCTCTTCCCCAGTGGGGCCGGAGTGGAAGAGCTTGCAGAGATGGCCACCCGCGTTCCACAGCATTGGCAGTAGGATCCCAGCGCACCTCAAGGACTGCCTTCTCCGCCCCACTCCCCGACACCCAGCACCCCGCCCTGGGACTCACAGGGGCAGCTGGAAGCTGAAGGGGAACTCGTGGCGTCCAGCGGGCAGGGTCGTGGGTTCTCCCGTGTCTGCAGGTGGGGAGCGAGAAGGGCCCTGCTCAGCGGCAGGGTGGACAGGGATGCCCGGGGGTGCCAGCGGCAGCTGCAGCACCGCCTACCTGGAGCCAGCAGCAGCGTGGCGCGGTGGCTCAAGACCTCCACGCGCTCGCTGTAGCTTTGCGTGTAAGCGGTGCTCGAACCCGCGCTGCGCGACTCGGTCCAGTGCACGTGGGCGCGGCCCCGCGCGCGCAGCCTCAGGGCGCCCACGCGCGCCGGCCCGGCCAGCTCCAGCCGCACCCGGCCCGCCACGGCCTCGCCGCCGTGGAATGCGGGCTCGGCGCCTGCCAGGGCCCCGTCCAGCTGCACGGAGAAGGCCTTCACCTTGTCGAACAGCATCGCGTCCGTCCTGTTCCCCGCCCGGTCTCCGTTCCTCACCCTGGTCTCGAACCCGTGACGCGCCAGCCGGTGCAGGTACAACCCGGAGCGAGCCGGCTGAGAAAAACTCCCCACGCTGGGCACGCCGCCGCTTTTATAAGCCAGGGCGGAGCGAGGCGAGTGGCCAGCCACGCCCTGCGCCTGGACACTCGGCCAATGGCACGGCTACCAGGCATGGCTCCGCCAGGGAGACCAGCGACACCCCAGCTCGCAGGCGGCCCGCCCTGGAGGTGGGGAAACTGAGGCAGCGAGAGTGGGGGGGTGGGCAGGAGGCCGGGGGGAGGCGAGGCCTGGGCCTGACGTCACCGCCCGGAGCTGCTGGCCGGGTTGTGGGCAGACGTGACACCAGGCACGCCCCAACCCCGTGCACAGTCTGAGGAGGAGGAAGTGGCCGCCTGCTTCCTGTGATGCCCCGCTGCCCCGGCAGCTGACAGGGATGGAGCGCTGGCGTCCTGCTGAGGCACGGTGTGCCCCCCGACTTTCCTCGCCTTACTCCTGGCTGGGGGGTGGTCCTCACCCCCAGCCTTCCCCCACCACCTGACATCCCCAACTTTCTCCCAACTCTGGCCTACTCGCCCCCTCCCCGCAGCCACAGTCTCTGATTCCGCCACAGCCAGCCCAGACTGGGCGCCCTACCCCGACCCTACACCTCCCCACACCGTGTTGGGGGGCGCAGCACCCACGCCGACCCTCTCCCGCTGTTCCTCCAGTAACCCCCGCACAGGTGCCGGCCGTGGCGCGCCGCTGCCCTCTGCCGACAGGGCCACACATGGCGGCTGCTGTGCCAGTGTCCTTCCTGGCCCATGAACCCCCACCTCGCCCCGGGGCTCCGGGAGGCCTCGGCCCACCCCACCCCAAAAACACGGAGGAGTCGGGGGCGAGGAGGCGTGACCCTGGGGGACCCCTTTGCCCAGGGCGCACGCGGAGACCTCAACACGGACAGGCGATGTCCGGGGCTGGGAAGAGAGATCCCCTAGGCGCACCAGGCAGGCAGGGGACAGCCCCTCCATGCACCCACCCAGGCCAAGCGGCGGCTCTCCCAAAGCACCCCAATATTCCATTTGAGGCTGGCGAGAGCAAGGAGATGAAGTTCCTTTCCGGGGTGGGGGGTGTGGCCCCTTCCAGCCACCACGGAGCCCCCAGCTGCCTGCGTGGGCCTCTGGCCCCTGTATAAACCGGCTGGATGCGGCCTGGCGCCGTTGGGAGGGAGTGGGGCAGCTGGGGACCCAGACCCCAGGAGTTGAGAAAGAAAGGAGGCGAACCCCATATGCCTGTGACCCCCCAGATTGGGGTGGCATCTCGGTGGGGGTGTGGAGTGGGAGAAAGCTGCTTTACAACATCAGGGGGCTCTAGACGGGGTCTAGGAATTCTGAGCCAGCGTGGGTGGAACAGGGGACCCCCCCCCGCTCCCCAACATTTCAGGTCTGCCGGCCCTGGCTGACGGTGGGGGGGTGACCCCAAGGCTCCCCACCACCCCCAGCACCCCGGCCTCACCTGGCAGCAGCAGCTGCCGCCGGCGCAGGAAGGTCTCGACCGCGGCGAAGTCGCTGGCTACGGCGTTGATGCCCACGCTGCGCCCCTCGAGCCAGTGCGTGGCCGCGCCACCGCGCGCAGCCACCTCGAGCGCCCGCACCCGCAGCGGAGCCGTCGCGTCCAGCAGCACGCGGCCGCTCAGGCGCTCCCCGCCGCGGTACGCGCCCCCGGGGCCCCGCGCCAGCTCCAGCGCGAAGCTGCGGACGCCCCGCAGGCGCATGGCGGCGCGGGACCCCCTACACACACACACACCCCACTTCCTGCAGGAGGGGAAGGTGGACCGGGCTGCCCTGTGCGCGCCTGGGCCGGGCGGATGTGGCCGCTGCTTCTCCTCCTCCTCGGCTCCTCCCCGCTGCGCCCCCACGTCGCCGCCTCCGTGTTTATTTCCGTCCTGGTTCAGGGTGGAGTTGAGGGGAGTGTGTGTGTGTGTGTTTGGGGGGGCTCCTGCGTTACATATAGCCACGAGGCCTCGAACTCGCGTCTCAGCCGCCCGCCCCTGTTATCTCCCCCTGCCAGGCAGCCCAGGCCTTATCGCTCAGCTTCCAGACTGTCCTCAGTGGGGCTCCCCAACACCCCAGGTCCCAAGCCTGCAAGGGGGCGCACCTCTCTCAAGCCATCCCCACCTCGGGCCCCACCCAGCCCGCTGCAGCTGAACCCCAGCTCCTAACCCCTTCTGCTCCTCGCTGTGTGGCGCCAGGCTGGTGGCTTGCGCTCTCTGAACCTCAGAGCACCGCCCCTGCCTGTTCAGGCTGGCCACGCCCATGGCATGCCGCATACAGCAGGTGCTCCAAGTGTGCCCTTGTCTGCCCCTTCCTTCCCGAGAGGATTTGGGGGAGCTCCCGAGGCTGAGCCCCACCCCAATCCTGAGTGGCAGGGACCCCCGGCAGAGGACAGGCATAGGGGTCAGAGAGTGGGTGGTCCCGGCTTTATTCAGAATGGCCAGGACCCCATGGTCGGTCGGTCAGTCGGTCGTCCATCTCTTCCTGGCTGTTCTACGCCCACCAGGGGCCTGGGGAGTCGACGCAGGGTGGGGACGGCAGCTCCGGGCTCCCCCCACCCCACTCTGTCCTGTGCCCATGGTCGACTCGGCTTGGTCCACTTGGTCCAACTCAGTTCACCTTCCGGGACCCCAGGACACGCCAGGGGCTGCTCAGGGCTGCCCAGGGCTGCCCCCGTCCTGCGACGTGGAGGAGGCGGTGGCGGCCACACGATGGCCAAGATTGAGGTGTCCGGTGGCGGACAGGGCCGTCACCCGCAGTCCGAAGGGCTCACAGGCGGCCAGCTGCATGGAGGGCTCCGGGCAGCCTGGTCCGGGGTGCCCGGGCAGAGCCGGGACGGCAGGGGCGGTGGGAGTGGACGTATGGCTTGGGCGATGAGGCCAGGCAGGGCCTGGAGGGAGGAGCTGAGCGCGTCCAGGCGGCTTTCCAGGGCCAGCAAGCGGGCTTCCAGGTCCTCCTGCTGGGCGTGCAGCTCGGACACGAGGTCGTACATGACGTGCTGGGTCTGCGGGGGACACAGGGGCTGGGTGAGAGATGGGCTCGGGGGCGCACAGGGGCACCCAGGAGCCAACCAATGTGGGGAGCCAGGGTGGGTGGGGAGGACCCCCAGAGCCAGAGCTGGCCCCATCACAAGTGGAGGCGGAGCTGGACGGCTAAGAGCGCCCCCTCCTTCGTTACACGCCCCCCAACACACCCAGCCACCCAGCCACCCCGCCCTGGCCAGTGGGGTGTCCAGCCAGAGTGCACACACCCCGCTGGCCACCAGGCAGCGCTCCAACATTGCCCAAGCGGCTGACCGGCGTTGTGCCCACTGGCCTTGGGTGGGGGCGGTGAAGGGCAAGGATCCCCACTCCCAGGGTGTGAGGGGATACAGGGAGACCCCCCAACCCCCAGCCTCTCCGTTTGCGCCCACCGCAGCCTCCACTGCCTCTCCTCGGCTGTGGTCCTGCCCAGCGCTCACTGGACATGCAAACACCCCGACCTGCGGGTGTGTGGGGGCACATCCTAGGACCTCTGACCCCCAGCGCTGCCTCGGGGAACCTGGAAGCCGGAAACCCCAAGACTCAGGTCAAGGACAAGACGCGCGTGGGAAAGCTGCCGTATTTGAATTCATTTAAAAACAAAGGAACTGCGGAGATGGAAGCAACCTGGCAGTGTTTGGCCACAAGAGGACGCCCTCGCGCCGCGTCTCAGCACCAGGTGGACCTGCTGGCCGGTGCGCTGCGCATGCGCGCCTTGGAGGCCACAGGTGACCGCTGCGGTCCTGGGGACCCTGCTGCCCTGGGGGGGACCTGGAAGGGGAGACCTGGTCCTGGGGTCCCTGCTGCCCTCAGGGGAGACCTGGAAGGGGAGACCTGGTCCTGGGGACCTACTGCCCTCAGGGAAGACCTGGAAGGGGAGACCTGATCCTGGGGTCCCTGCTGCCCTCAGGGAAGACCTGGAAGGGGAGACCTTGTCCTGGGGTCCCTGCTGCCCTCAGGGGAGACCTGGAGGGGAAGACCTTGTCCTGGGGTCCCTGCTGCCCTTGGGGGAGACCTGGAGGGGGTTCCTGGTCCTGGGGTCCCTGCTGCCCCGCCCCTCCCGGACAGCCCCTCCCTCTGATAGCCCCACCCATCCTTGCTAGCCCCGCCCTCCTCCCTCACCTTGGCCAGGTCTGCCAGCGTGGAAGCCTGGTCGTTCAGCTTCCCTTGCTCAATCTTCACGCTCCGCAGCCTGGGGGGGGTCACAGGAAAGTGGGCAGAGTCTGGGGTCACTGTCTGGACAGCGGGGGGTCTGCGGGAGCACAGCTCCCCACCCCGACCCCTCCCTGATCTCAGCCCCCACCCATCCCCTCCATCCCTCCCTGCTCACAGGCCCCCACCCCAAGCCCTCCGTGATCTCGGCTCTGCCCATGCTGTCCCCTCACCCAGTCCTCCCGCCCTGTCCCCACACCCCGGACGCCGGCCAGCGAAGGCCACTTACTTCTGAGCCCTGGCAGGAGGCAGCCAGACAGAGAAGAGAACAGTCACAAAACGATTTTAACCCGGTGCAGGCAGCAGCCCACGCCAGCCCTGCCCACCCCACAGGCGCAGGGGGAGCTGAGGGGGGTGGCCTGGGGAACCCCATCGGGGATGCCCTCTCCCCAGCCATGCCCACCATGTTGGTGCCTTGCCCAGGTGGCCAGGGTGCAGGAGGGCTTGCTTGGACACGTCCCCCAGTCACAGGGGTCCCTGGACGGAGAGCAGCGCTGGCACAGCTTTGTGCCCCCCCACCTGTCCTTGGGGGAACTGAGCCAGCCCTGAGCGATCCTTTCAGGGGATGCTGGGCCCTCCCCTTTCCAGTTCCGGCACATCCCAACTCAGTCCTGGATGCAGACACCTGGAGTGGCCTCAGGAGGGTCCAGCCCAGCCCAGGACGGAGGAGCAGGTGCACACAGGTGGTCCCTGCCCTTGAGATCAGCACTGGGTGCTAGGAGCTGTAGGGAAGACGCAGCACCAGTGGACGGCCCAAAGCCTTGGGACCCTGCACCTACATGGGAGACCCAGAAGAGGCTCCTGGCTCTTGGCTCTGGCCTGGGTTACAGCGGTGACCTCGCCGTGGGGCCAAGTGTCCCAGACCCTTAGAAAGCTCGGCCCTTGCCCCTCTCAGGCTGGCTCTTCACCCCAGGGACGCCTCAGTTCTGTCTGTGACCTGCCATAGCTTCTGGCATCCCCAGAGACCGGCTCTCAGCCTCTACCCAAGTCCCTTCCACCCTCAGGCCCAGGTCCATCTGGTTTAACATCATGGACCCCTTTCCAGGATGCAGAGAGCCCGAGGGGTGAGCGAAACAGTCCTCCCCCCACTCCACAGGGACACCCAGAGCAGTTCCTTTGCACCAGACCTCAATTTCCATCCCTCTGTCACCCTGCAAGGACACTTGTAGAACATTCTAGAATGTTCTAGGGCTGTGTCTATTCTCCAGGTTTGACACCTAACAGACCCATCAAATGAAGCCATTGTGGGCACGATCAGGGTGATACCACCTCCTGCTTCCAGAGGGAGGCACCTCCGGCCTCCCACTTTACAGGCTGGCGGGGGGAACCTCAAGTCCTGGCCCTCTAGTAGCAACCAGAGCTGGGACTCGCAGGGCTGTGCTCTGCAGGCCTCCGACTGAGCCCAGGGAGGGGCAGGAAAGGGTGCCAAGGGTGACCAGACTGTGGCACCGTGCCCAGGGCCATGCCCGCCACGTCCTCTCCTGATCCCTTCCTGCCCTCCCACCTACCAGTGACGCCAAGTGGCCACTGTTAGTCACCCATTGATAGCAGTGGATACAGTAAACATAAACGGATTAAATTCTGCAGCTCAAAGATAAGGGCGTGGAGTGCATGCTTAGCACGTGGTTCGAACCCTGTCTGGGGCGTTGGTGCTGTGACATAGCCCCTGGAGCCGCCACCTGGGACGCCAGCACGCCATATGGGCGCTGGTCCGAGACCCGGCTGCTAAATTCCCCATCCAGCTCCCTGCTGAGGTGCCTGGGGAGGCAGCAGAGCGAGGCCCAAGTGCTTGGGGCCCCTGCAGCCACAGGGGACACCCGGAAGAAGCTCCTGGCTCGGGACTGAGTCAGCTCCAACTGTCATGGCCATTTGGGACGCGAACTAGCAGGTGCAAGAGCTCTCTAACTTTGCCCTTCAAATAAATAAATACGTCTTTTGGGCTCTTGTCTAGCTCTGCTTCTGACCAGCTCCCTGCAAAGAGGCAGCCAGGATGGACTCACAGTGTGTGTTTGGTGGGGGGGGATCTGGTTTACGTCCCAGGGTCCAGGCTGGGACATGCATCCGGGGAGTGAACCAGCAGACAGCAGCCCTCTCAACTTCCATCTATCTCTCTCGGAAAGAGGTGGCTGAGCTGCCTGGCCTGACCGCCTCCCAGGGGGCCACAGCTGACTCCGTGCCAGGCGGACACAGAAACGTGAGCTCGGAAGGTGCCGGACTTACTGATGGATGGCTTGGAGGAACTTACGCTGGTGCTTCCGAACCCGGGCCTGGTCAGGCTTCTTCGCCAGCCTGGTGTGTTTGTAGATGAGCCACGTCTCCCTGAGAACATTAGCAGCGGCGTTTTTGATCTGGGAACCAAAGGGAGAAGGGTTTCTTTCAGGACCGATCCAAAACAATGAACGTTCCGGAAACTTCTAGAAACTTCCAGCAAAGCCTCCTTTTTTGGGGGTGGACCGGGGGGAGTGGGGTGGTTTGTAGGCCGTAAAACAGACCACACTTGCACATCAGTGGCTATGCCATGTTTATAGGTGGGAGAGCCTGGTCTTGACATGGACCTGGAGGAAGCCCACGTGCCTGCACTCAGCGAGGGCGGGAGGGTCCCCGGGCGCCTACCCGCTTGGTGAGCTGAGTGTCCATCATGAAGTTGTGCACATGCTTCTCAGCCTTGGTCAGTTCCAGCTTCCGGGCCACCACGGCCACCACGAGCGCGGTGCAGCCAGCTCCCTGCGCACACAGCCCAGGTCTGGCACCGCCCCCTCCTCCGGGGAGCCTGCCCTGGTGGAGCAGGGAACCCACAAACCCCTGACCCCGCCTCCCCAGCCCTGCTGCCTCACGGCCGGGCTCCACCCCAAGACCCTCTCGCTGGCGGCAAGCCAAGGGGTGCGTGGGCCCCGCGCTCACCATGATGCCCGTGAGCAGACACACGCCCTTCCCGCAGTAGGTGTGCGGGACCATGTCACCGTAGCCGATGGACAGGAAGGTAATGGAGATGAGCCACATGGCCCCCAGGAAGTTGCTGGTCACTTCCTGTTTGTCGTGGTACCTGTTGGTGAGGGGTTGGAGGGGACCAGGATGGGGGAGGCTTGATCAGGAACCCCCACCCGGGTCATTGCACACACCCTCCCCCTCTCTTGGTCCCTCCCCAACCCAAGACACACAGAAGCAGCAGGAAGGAGGGTGAGGCTGCAGGCCAGACACCAAGAGGGACTTCCACAGCTGGCGAGCATCCAGCAGGTACCCCAGGAGGAGAACAGGAACAGCAGTCCCCAAGCCAGGCCATTTGGGGACACGCAGGGAACCCGCAGCTTTCCCAGCAGGTGCAGAGACCCGGGTGTATAGGAGGGTAGGCACCCCACATCGCAGTGCCTGGCTGCCCCACTTCCCACCCAGCTCCCTGTTCACGGCCCCTCCCTGCACCCGCGTGGGAGACCCGGGTGGGGCTCCTGGCGTCGGCCTGGCCCGGCCCTGGCCACTGTGGGCACTGGGGGAGTGAGCCAGGGGCAGGAGGATCTTTCTCTGTTTCCCTAGCTCTCTGTCACTCTGCCTTGCAAAGAATTTGTTTAAAGTGCATGGAAAATGGAATGCAAGATCAGTTGGTTTTGACACAGACCACACATCCCATTTTCCTGACCAGCCTCTTCCAGAAGCTTCTGCAGAACCCCAGGCTCAGATGCCAAGTTGTTTATGCTGCAAACTCTTATGTGTGGGCGCTGAGGGGCGTGGGCGTCGAGGGGCGTGAGCGCCACGGCCTCGGGAAGGCCTGAGCTTGGAGCCGCTCGTGGGTGGAATGGGGACTGGCAGAAGCTTCTGGCCCCAGCAGGTGAGCAGGGGTGCCGGCATGCTAGAGGCAGGAGCCACGGGGGGCCCAGCAAGACAAGGTGGGGCCAGGGGCTGCAATTTAGGACTGGCTGCCTGCCACCCCAGCCCCTCCCGGCCCCCCAGGAATGTGTGGCAGCGTGGGATGGGGGGATCCAGAGACCACAGGAAGAGCAAGTGTGGAGGGGCCAACCAGGACCACCAAAAGCTGTGGGGGGCGGGAGATAAAGGGGCTCCCCTCCCTTGCCAGGACCCCCTAGGAGGCCAGACCAGGCACCCCAACATTCCACTCCAACAAGCCCCCGGGGACCCCCGCCCGCCGAGCGCCTCCATTTTCTGTTTTGTGATGATGTCCCGGGACGCTTGGAACCAATGTCCCCTGCCCCTGGGGAACTGGGGCCCCTTTATCTTTTGGGGTGTGTGTGTAAGGCCGGGTCTGCTGCCCAACCAGCTTGGAGAAGGCCAGCGAGGGCCGCGTCCCTCCCGGAGGGGAGCTGGGCAGCTAATCTTAAATTGCAGGCAGATGGGAGGTGGGGCAGTGGCAGGAGCTTGACAGAGCTGGGGTGCTGGGGGGACTTACATGTGCTCCCTACATGCAGCAGAAAGGGGTGGTGGGAGTCGGGGGGGAAGGAGAGCAGTTACAGGCAGTTTACACTCAGGGGCCAGGGACCTGGGGGCCACTCCCGGTGGGGGGGCTGGGGGTCACTCCCTGTGGAGGAGCTGGGGGTCACTCCCTGTGGGGGGACTGGGGGTCACTCCCCCGTGAGGAAATTAGGGGCAGGGCTCAAATGGGGCGTGGCCTCCCGGGGGGAGGAGTCTGGGTTGGAAGGGCGGGGTCTGGTTTGGGAGGCGTGTCCTGTGTTGGGTGTGGTCTATCAGTGGGTGTGACTGCCCTGTTGGGCATGGGGCGTGGCCTGGTCTTGGGGGGCGTGGTTGGGGTTGGTCTCGGTGGGCATAGCTCTGGGTTGTTGGGGAGTGGCAGGTCGGGGTGGGCGTGGCCGGGGCGTGGTCAGGGCGTGTCGGGGCGTGGTCAGGGCGCTGTCAGGGCCGCCCGCACCTCTCGCACACGCGCACAGTCCACGCAGCGATGACCCAGGACGAGATGCTGAAGACGAGCAGCACGGTGCCGGGGCAGATGGTCATGAGCGTCTTCATGACGAAGCGCGTGTTGAAGGTGATCTTGTTGAGCGCGCCGATGCTGCGGCTGGAGGCGTCCGTGAAGATCTTGCTGTGCAGCAGCATCACGCGGCCCAGCAGGTAGAGGCGCAGGAACATGGGCACGGACAGCAGGACGTCCACGTCGGCCTCGGCCACCGACGGCGCGTACGTGAAGGCCAGGCGTGCCGTCCACGTGAAGCGGTAGTGACCCGGCACCGGGTGGATGGCGCACACCGCCAGCTCCAGCGAGATGAGCAACACGCGCTCGCACGTCATGGCGATGCGCCAGTCGTCCGCACCGTTGTCCACCATGAACAGCTGCAAGGGGGCCGCGAGGGGCGGGGTCTCAGGTTAGCCCTGCCTCCGGACACGCCCCTGGTCCCACTGGGTGGGTGGGAAGCAGGCGGACCCCTGCACCCACGGGGGAGACTCGATGGAGCTCCTGGCACCAGCTCCCACCTCCACGGACACAGGGACTATACGACAGGACGGGGGGGAGCCACACGGCCAACGCCAAGGTCACCCCAAAGCTGCAGCACAGGCCAGGGTCACCCCAAAGCTGCCGGCACAGGCCAGGGTCACCCCAAAGCTGCCGGCACAGGCCAGGGTCACCCAAAGCTGCCGGCACAGGCCAGGGTCACCCAAAGCTGCCGGCACAGGCCAGGGTCACCCCAAAGCTGCCGGCACAGGCCATGGTCACCCCAAAGCTGCCGGCACAGGCCAGGATCACCCCAAAGCTGCTGGCACAGGCCAGGGTCACCCAAAGCTGCCGGCACAGGCCAGGGTCACCCAAAGCTGCCAGCCACCTTGCAGGGACCCTGGGAAAGAGGCCTGGGTCAGGTCCTCAGGTCCTTGGCACCCGGTGGGACACATGCCAGCCGGGACTTCCCTGTCACCTGCAGGAACAGGGTGGGCCCTGAGGGCCAGGCACAGCTGTGCCCACCTGCAGCGGGGTGCCCTGAGTTGGTGGGCTCTCTCTCCCATCACTCCACCCTGATCTTGATTGAGGGTAAACTCCCTGGCACCCTCCTCTTCCAGCCCCCCAGCCTTTGCACAAGACCCCCGCTGCCCCTGCTTCCTTCTGAAAGCACTGACCTGGATCTCACGTGCGTGGTACAGGACCACAAGTCCCAGGAGGATGACGGTGGACAGGCTGATGAGGCATTTGAGAGCGAAGGAATGCAGAGACTCCTGGACAAAGAAAGAGCTGTGGGTGGGACGCCTGGCCAGGCAGTGCAGCGCAGTGAGCGGGGTCCTCCAACCACACGGGGCTCTGCCCTCCTGTGGGGGTCCCCTCTGAGCCTCTGCCCTCCTGTGGGGGTCCCCTCTGGGCCTCTGCCCTCCTGTGGGGGTCCCCTCTGGGCCTCCGCCCTCCTGTGGGGGTCCCCTCTGGGCCTCCGCCCTCCTGTGGGGGTCCCCTCTGGGCCTCCGCCCTCCTGTGGGGGTCCCCTCTGGGCTCCGCCCTCCTGTGGGGGTCCCCTCTGAGCCTCCGCCCTCCTGTGGGGGTCCCCTCTGAGCCTCCGCCCTCCTGTGGGGGTCCCCTCTGAGCCTCTGCCCTCCTGTGGGGGTCCCCTCTGAGCCTCCGCCCTCCTGTGGGGGTCCCCTCTGAGCCTCTGCCCTCCTGTGGGGGTCCCCTCTGAGCCTTCACTTTCTCTGGGGCTCCCCAGTCCCCTCCACTAAGCAGGAAGAGCACGGCAGGGCAGGCTGCGCTCGGGCCCTCCACGCCCACCTTGGAGTACACGCCCCAGGACAGCTCGGTCTCGGTGACCATGACGGCGATGCCGAACATGCCGAAGATGAGCGCGTAGTCGCTGAGGCGCTTGCGCTTCTCGAAGAGCGCGCGGCGGTGGCCCAGGCGGTGACCCGCGGTGGCCGGCCGCCCCGACGCCCTGCCCGGCCCGTCGTCCTCGTCCTCGTCCTCCGCCTCGGCCTCCTGCTCCTGCCGCCGGCCCCGCGGCTCGCGGCCGGCCACCACCACCTGCAGGCCGGGCAGCGGCGGGGCGGCGGGGTGGCCGGCCTCGGGCTCCGTGGGCTCGCGGCCCAGCAGGCCCAGCGGCCGCCCCACGCTGCCATTGTAGCTGTGGCTGTTCATGCCGAGCTGGGGCCCGGCATGGCGTGGCGGCTGGGCCCTCGTGCTGACCTGCAGGGACAGGAAGGGGGCCGGGCTATCTCCGCCTTCTGGAACATTCCTTCTTGGTAAACATTTATTTGATGTGCCCCGACGCGATAGCCTGGAGTGTCATGACCTTGTATGGGCGAAGGTTCGAGTCCCGCCTGTTTCACTTCGCATCCAGTTCCCTGCCTGTGGCCTGGGAAAGCAGTGGAGGACGGCCCAAAGCCTTGGGACCCTGCACCCGTGTGGGAGACCCTGAAGAGGCTCCTGGCTCCTGGCTTCAGATCAGCTCAGCTCTGGTCATTATGGCCACTTGGGGAGTGAACCAGCGGATGGAAGATCTTCCTGTCTCTCTTCTCTGTAATCTGACTTTCCAATAAAAATAAATTAAGATTTATTAGAAAGAGAGAGAGATCTTGCAGGCCCTGGTTCACTCCCCAAATGGCTGCAACAGTACTGAGCGAGGCGAGAAGCCAGGAGCCAGGAGCTCTGTCCCTCCCTGTCCCCATCCCCGGCCGGCAGCAAGGCAGAAGATTCCAGACCCCAAACACCCCCTGCCCTCTTCGAGATGCGCTTCCTGCAGGCCACAGCGGGTGCCTGCTGACCACAGAGCTCCTGCCATGTCCCGTGAAGGGGGTGGGAACTGGGCCACAGACAGCAGTGTGACCCTGAGACCATGACTGCGTTAGGGCTAAGGGCAGGCACTGTGCACACAGAACCTTCCAGAAACCCTCGGCGGCCGGAAGGTTCAGGCACTGGCTGCTGCACCTCTGAGCCAGCTTCCTGCAGGGGCGCACGCTGGCTAGCAGCAGGTGCCGGGACCCCTGCCCACCGACCTGGGAGACCCGGATGGAGCTCTGGGCCCCGGCTTCTCGCCTGGCACAGCTCTGGCTGTGGTGCGTTTTTGGCGGAGCAAGGCAGCAGGTGGAAGAGCCCTGTTTTGCTTTGCTTTGCAAATTAAAACAAATAAACAACAGTACACGGTTTAACACTTGGAACGTGTTCACTTGTGTAATGACTGGGGACCACGGTTGACCTTGGTTATTGGAAATCACACACACACATTTCAAGGCCTGGGGCCACTGGGTACCCTTGGCCATCACACTTGGCTGAGCCACCCGGCACTCGGCCGTGTCTGTCCCCTGAAGGACACACGGGCTCCTCCTTCCCCTGCCCCCTGCACCCCTGCCCCATCACATGCCCCAGCCCCGCTGGCACAGCCTCCACCGCGTGCCAGGCTGGCCTTCACCCTGCTCTCTCTCACATCTCTCTCTCCTCCCAGCTTTGACAATCCCCTGCAGCCAGCCACTCAGCAGGCTTGGGCTGCCATGGTGGAGGCCAGGGGCACGTCTGGGCGCTGGCACCACATGCACACGTCAGTGGTGGTGGTACTGAGGTCCTGGGCCCTGTCCTCACTGGGGCGGGGGGCGCCCCATCCTGCCCCCCCTAGGAGGTGCAGAGGGGCCTGGCGCAGGCAGCAACGGCAGACACACGACCTTCTGCAGCATGTGGGGAAGACGCTCTGTGTGGCTATGACTCAGCCGCCTGTGGCTCGGCCAAACGCAGCCACCATGCACTGCCTGTGTGCGGTGGGGCGGGTGTGTGTGGCAGGGGGCAGGGCCCAGCCACCGGGGGCTTCCAGGAAGGTGTGTGTGTGCAGGTGTGTGTGGCAGGGGGCAGGGCCCAGCCGCCGGGGGACTTCCAGGAAGGTGTGTGTGTGCAGGTGTGTGTGGCAGGGGGCAGGGCCCAGCCACTGGGGGCTTCCAGGAAGGTGTGTGTGTGGAAGTGTGTGTGGCAGAGGGCAGGGCCCAGCCGCCGGGGAACTTCCAGGAAGGTGTGTGTGTGCAGGTGTGCGTGGCAGGGGGCAGGGCCCAGCCGCCGGGGGACTTCCAGAAGGTGTAGGGTGCGTGTGTGTCTGTGTGAATTTGGGGGCAGTTTCTACTGCAGCCGACATGTCCCGAGCTCAGGATGGCACAGGTAGGCGCCACCACTCGGCCACACGCGTGGCCTTCCCTCCCATTTCATCCGTGGAGTTGGTCAAGGTCATGTTCATGCTACACCAGCTCCCTGCACATGTGCACACCCTGGGCGGCAGCTGGCGATGGATCCAGTGCCTGGGCCCTTGCCACCCACAGGGGAGACCCGGACGGAGCCCCCGGTCCAGCCTGGCCCGGCCCAAGCAGATACACAGAGAAGAGGAGAGACAGAGAGGAAGATCTGTCCAATGATTCACTCCACCAAGTGGCTGCAACAACTGGAGCTGAGACAATCCCAAGCCAGGAGCCAGAAGCCTCTTCCGGGTCTCCCACATGGGTGCAGGGTCCCAAGGCTTTGGGCCGTCCTCCACTGCTTTCCCAGGCCACAGGCAGGGAGCTGGGTGGGAAGTGGGGCTGCCAGGATTAGAACTGGCGCCCATATGGGATGCCAGCTCCGTGAATGGCAAGGACTTTAGCCACTAGGCTACCGCACCAGGCCCTCAAATAGCAGTTTTCAAGAGAAGAAAAGGCAGGAGCTGTCCCCAAACACCTCATTCTCTTTCCAGAGAAACTCTTCGCCCTTCCCCCACCATAATGGGTTCCTGGGATCCAGCTGGGGGAGGCAGGGGTGCCCAGAAACCCAGCAGGCCTAGGTAGCATTTGCATGTTCTCCTGGGCCGCTGTGCTAAGGAACCCTTCCATAATGCCAGGGCCTGCACCTGCAGGTGGCACTCGGTTTGGGGGTGGCCCTGGGACTGTAATCCCATCCGACCTGCCTGGGACGGGGGTTCTAATCCAGACACAGATCTGCCACCTGAGCATTCTCTCCCTAAGTTCTCTATCCCACAGCTTCCGGGGCGGGGTGGAGGGGCAGGAATTTAATCCAGGTTCCCCCCACCCCGGGGTGGCAGGACCCAGTCACTTGAGCATTGCTCTGCTGCCAAGCCAGGGTGCTTGCAGGCGCAGGAAGCTGCGGGGAGCGATGGGGCCGTACCCCGCCGCCGCTCCCACGCGCCAGGTGCCAGAGGTCTGAGGTCGCGGCTCCTCCCGCCCACCAGCCCGCGTGCCCGGACAGAAAGAAGTGAGAGCATTTCCGCACCGCCCGCGGCAGGTGCACCTGAGGGATCTACAGAATCCGAGCGAGCCGCAGGACTCGGCAGAAACTTCCAGCACGTGCAGTCCCCTGTGGGCCGCCCGGGACATCCGCGTGGCCGTGCGCCCCTGGGCTGCCTGCTGGTGGAGGAGGAGGGGGACAGCACAGTACAGGCTGCCTGACATAGTACAGGATGTGACAGAACCATCCTCTTCCCATCACCGCGCGCCGCGACCCTGCCAGGGGCCAGCAGCAGGGACGGAGCTGGCCCCTAGCGGGGTCCATGTCCAGGGCGCGCGTGGCTCAGCCTCCCCAGGTCCAGGGCGCGGCGTGGGGGTGTAAGGGCAGTGCGCCCTGGGGCAGCGCGGACCCCAGGCACGGCCCCCACCTCGCCCCGCACCTGTGGAGTTTGGCGGTTCTCTGTTCTGCATCCCTCCCCCTCCTCCCAGCGCCCTCCCTCTCCGGGTGGGGGGCCCACCCACGGCGCGCACGCTCCTTCCAGGGACCCCACCGCCACCCTCGGTTCCCGGGGCCCTGGCAGGACGCTCCGGGCCGTACCTGCGGCAGGTGACCCCGCGGGGCGCGCCGGGGTGCGGGCCCGAGCCCCGGGCTGGGGGGCTGGCGGGGCCCAAGGCGCCCCCCGGCAGCAGCAGGTGCGTCCCCCGCCGCCCAGCGCTCGGGGCCCGGCGGGGCGGGGGCGGGGCGGCGCGAGCGGCGCTGCCGATTGGCCGAGTCCGCGTCGGCCCCGCCTTGGGCGACCCCGCAAGCGCCGCCCCCATTTAAAGGCCCCCCCAAGACATGCCCGGGCGCCCCTCGCGGCGGCCGCATCCCCCCATCTCCTCCAAGTATCCTCTCCTCCCTGCGCCATGGAGGACACTTCGGCCAGTGCCACAACCGCTGCTCCCCCGAGCCCTGGAGACCTTGCAGCTCCCAATATGGGGGGTCTCCAGCCTTGAGCAGCCTGTCAACTTTTGTAGGGAGGGGATACAGGAGCCAGTCGGTGACTCACCACCCCCCAAGCCCTATGACTGTCAGCACGGGGAGACTCAGGCTGGGGGGTGGGGGGCCTGGAAACCCAACGGTGTAGGGGGCTTCTAGGGAGGACAGCGTGTCTGTTGGGTTGTTAGGGCTCCTCCCACACACATGTGCCTCCGCTGGCGGTCAGCAGAGGCCCTGGGGGACATGGGGGTACACCCCTCTTCCCCTGGCACCTTAGGGTGGCCATGGACAGCTCATTGGCTCCAGGCACATGGTGGTCGCAGAGGCGTAGGGGACCTGAGGCTGCCAGTGGCCTAGCCTGTCTCTGGTCCCCGAAGCCTGCTGGCAGGGTCGGAGGGGGACCAAGAAGGAAGGGCAGAAGGGCGAGCTTAGGGGCTGGTGAGGCTGAGCTGGGCTGGACAGCCTGGCCCTACCTGCTGGGAGGACGCTGCCCTGGCTATTGGTGATGGTGCAGGGACCATGCCTAAGTGGAATTGTTGGTTAGTAACCCTGGAAGGTGCTGCCTGCCTGTGAGACAAAGAGGTCGTGTGTTACAGGGGAGCCCCCCTCCTACCCCAACCAAGGGCAGTAACTTGGGGAGTTTCTTTTCTTTAAAAAAAAAAAAAAGACTCATTTTTGGGGGCTTTGTGTACCGTAGTAGTCCAGCAGTTAAAGTCCTCGCCTTGAATGCGCCGGGATCCCATATGGGCGCCAGTTCTAGTCCCGGCTGCTCTACTTCCCATCCAGCTCCCTGCCTGTGGCCTGGGAAAGCAGTGGAGGACGGCCCAAAGCCTCAGGACCCTGCACCCGCGTGGGAGACCCAGAAGAAGCTCCTGGCTCCTGATCGGCTCAGTTCCAGCTGTGGCGCTCACTTGGGGAGTGAGCTATCGGACAGAGGATTTTCCTCTCTGTCTCTCCTCCTCTCTCAGAGA